GGGGGGGGGTTGTGGGGGTGGGATGGTTCCAGTGACCATCTCATTTGATCAACATACCTTCAGCTCCAACACCTGGTACTTTGATCTTTAGGTCATTGTCTACAAAGGCGATGGCAAGGGCGAGGTTTTGGATCATGTGGATTCTGGCCTTGGGGTCAAGGTCGAACTTCTTGCCCAACTTCTTTCCAGAGATCATCTCGAGGAAGAAGATCAACTTTACACCATCGCTCAAATCCTTGGACACATCAGCAATCTTATCTCCACGTTTGTCCAACACTGAGTTGACCCAAGCAGTGAAAGCCTTCTCCTGTACAATCTCCCAGTCTTTTCCAACGGCCATTATTATTATTTATAATAGATTATATATATATTATTATTTGTAAATAAATTAAAGGTTATTGATTAATAATGATAGGATTGATTGATTGATTGATTGATAAGGTAGTGTGATGTGTTCGAGTAGTCGACATCGTGGACAAGCTGGACAGGGTAAAGAGGAAGGATAGTCCTCCTTTCATTGAAATTCATTGGTTAGCAATAGAGTGTGTGTGTGTGTTTGAGTCGTGAGGGGTGCTGTTTCACTCCCGGAAACACTCACCTTAGTGTAAACAATTAAGTGTGTGAATGTGTGTTGTTGCCTTTTGTGTTTATTTGAATGATGAGGTGACCTTCAATCATTCATTCATTCAATTCTCATAACACAATGGCAAAGGTAATAATTAGAGTTCTAAAAGTTGAGTAATAATAATATTAATGATGATAATTATAATGATATGATAATGATAATTAAATACACTTGCACTCTCATGATCATGATCACATGTGTGTCTGTTCGTTGTTAGCTAGAACCTTTCTGGTGTCAACAAGAACTTCCCTATCTCTCTTGTTAACTCAGTCAATCACTCTAATTCATTGATGTGATGTTAGATAGATGACTGTATCTGTTTGGTTGGTCTCTGTGCTGACACGTTATCAATCTTTGAAAATAAGACAGATATTATATATGTTCGATTTGTTACGTGTCGTGTCCAACAATGGAGTGATCAGGTACGGCTGACCTGTCACGCACAACACCGAGATATTTATTTTGGTACCGACCACCACTACTACTGCTACGGCTACAACTTCCGTGTCTGACTGACTTGCGAATGCCTCAAAAGGAAGGGGCGGATAGGTTGTACGGTACCTGAACAACAACACCTACCTCGATGACAATCAATCAGATTCATCAATCATCAATCTTTCATCAATCAACCAATCATAATATATATTGTTGTAATAGTACATACATAGATACATTATAATACAATGAAGTCAATTACATTGATCGTTTTGCTTGCAATCTGTACCTCTACTATATCCGCCAGCTTCTTTGATGGTTGCACAAACTCAGCCTACAAGTGTATCCCTGCTGGACAATCTTGTGACCCGTATGTCTCCATCCACTCATCGTCCCATACATTGACTCACTCAATCAAACTAACAACAACTGGGACTATTCCAATCAATCACAAATAGACAATCAAATGTCAATCTTTGTCAGTTTGGCGGATGCCCTTTGTTGAGCGATGCTCCAAAGTGTCCAACTGAGGTTGGCGTTGGTGGCACTTGCAATGGCCAAGACTTGACATGTGCCCCAGGCCTCTGGTGCGCAGAGAATAATACATGTGTGGACGCCGACTATGCAACATTGGGTGAAGGCTGTGTCCATCAATACGCATGCGCCACCAACAGCATGGTGTGCCAGAAGGGTGTTTGTGCGCTACCAGCCAACACCTCATGCGAGTCCACCGATGAGTGTCCGTACGGCACACAATGTGTCATTTCCTCAAGCCCAAGCTCAGCCGCTGGCAACAGCAACAAGGCATGTATCGCATCTCTGGCCGCCAATGGCAACTGCACAGACACACAGTCTACCCGCTGTGGTGTTGGTCTGATCTGCTCATTCATTGATGGCAAGCGCGTAGAGAAGGCTTGTGTGCCACTCAGTTCCAAGGGCTCTGGCGAGCAATGCAACGGTATCACAGGATCATTGTCGATGAATGGACGCATTCCATCGATTGAGTGTGATGTCTCGTTGGGTCTTGCTTGCATGCCCTCCAACAACAAGGGCCAGTACACTTGCCAGACTCTCACTCCACCCGCTTCCACTCCAGTCGACTGCAGCACCAATGATTGTGGTCTGTACCAAAGTTGCAACTGTCCCACCTACAACTCATCGGTTGGCACCTGTGCCCCAATGTTCAATCTGGACGCCTCCTGTGCCAAGTCGATCAAGGACCTGGCCCAATGTGCCCAGACCAACAAGTGTCAATTCAACTCTGGTAGTGTCGCATCCAACTCTTCATGTCTCTATCTCCACTGTGCCAGCATCATGTGTAGCAACAAGTGCACTCAGACATCATTGGCCGATGGCAGTACCTGTGGTAGTGGACCACTCTATCCCAATTGTTACAATGCACCCTCTTCATCATCCACTTCCTCGACTACATCCACAACAGGTACAACTGGAACAACATCAACAACTGGTACAACATCCCAGTCTACTACTACAACCAACTCCCAAACCACTGCGACTACATCCACAACAACTACAACTACCAAGCCATCATCAACCACAACTACAACAACAACATCGTCAACTACCGGTCAACCATCATCAGGATCACTCCTCACATGTTCCATAATGACATTGGCTGCCCTACTCCTGATCTCAATCATTCTTGCCTAATTTGAATTATCCAGGTTTTGTTCAAGTCCCTCACGCCCTCGCGACCTTTCAAACACTTTACAAGTTTTTGGAATGTATTCATTAAACTTACCTTCGTACATGTATACATTTAGTAATAATAAATAAGAATGGATACACTCCCAGACTTGCTGTTGAGGAAGATATTTGACTATCTGGTAGTGGCGGAGGACTTTTGTCATTATGGTGATGAAAGATTCAAGATGGATAGTCTATCAGACTTGGTTTGCATTAGTCTCACAAGCAAGAAACTTCGAACGACCTCTCAAAGGACTCTTCGTAGGACATTCACGATCCATGTCAGCATCGATTTGAAGAGTGAGGATGTCGCTTCTGATATCTTCACCAGTTCAAACGTCAGTGCTACTGCACTTGGTCTGTCACATCGCTCATACGACGACAACATCAAAGTATTGGTACTCAAAGATTTCAATCAAGACATTGAGCCTGGCTCCCTGCCACAATCACTCAAGACATTGAGACTGGGCGCAGTGTTCAGCAAACAGCTACGACAAGGTACTTTACCAAACTCAATCACAAGTCTTCAGTTTGGTGGCTCATTCAATCAATCGATCTCATTGGATGACCTTCCAACATCTCTGGCCACACTCAATCTGAGCGGTGACAGCACCATAACCCTCCTCAATGAACTTGATGTCCTACCTTCATCGTTGACCAAGTTGTCACTTGAGAACTGCAAACCAAGTACTCAAATCAGAGCGGGCTGGCTACCAAACTCACTCACTGAACTTTCGATCAGTAGCCAACCAAGTAAGTATAAAGATGGTCCGAACTCAATGGGTCTGCTGCTGGTACCTGGATCACTTCCTATGTCGCTCAAAACATTGAGTCTCCTTGATGAGTTTAACCAAACGATCCTCCCCGGCATACTCCCACCATCACTCACCTCACTTACCATCGGAAACAAGTTTAAACAGCCTATCAAAGCTGGAGTACTGCCAAGTACACTCACTCACTTGTCTCTGGGTGCCAAGTTTAATCATAGTCACCTCTTTCCTGGTGTGCTTCCCAACTCGCTCTCCCATCTCACAATCAATAGCCATAATGATATACTTGGTCAATCAAACTCGTTATTACCATCATCACTCAAATACTTGAGTGTTAAATCACTATCCAATGTCAAGGTCCTCCCTCCACTTACCTACCTCCAAGTCAGCTCTTTAACGGCTCCATTCACACCTGGATCACTGCCACCAACCATTCAAAGATTGGTAATGAGCAACTTTGTACAACAATGGACAAATGGTGTAATTCCCGACTCTGTTAGATCACTAGTTATCCTAACTAGCGAGCAGATTCTACCTGGTACGCTACCTTCACTTCTCACTTTGACACTGATGAATTACAATCATCCAATATTACCTGGCACAATACCACCTTCCTTGACCAAGCTTATTTTCTCAAATCCTTTCAGCTCGTATTGTCATCCACTTCCAGAAGGAGTGCTGCCTCAATCACTAAAGACACTAGTTCTTCCTGGAAACTACTTTCAACCGGCTGACCTAGTTTCACTGCCAGATGGATTGACAATGTTGGCGGCACCACTGTGCTACGCAACGTGTCTTCCCTCCAGTTTGGAGACATTCAAAGTGAATATACGTATCGTCCAGCAAGCATCAATCATCCCCATCAATGTCACACTCAAACTATTGGAGTTTACATCGTCATCATTGGACCCAATGGTACTTATCAATGCCTATCCCCATATGGAATCATATAGAATTGACAACAACCTATATCGTGTGATTGATTGGTACCCTCCAATCACTGGACCAGATGGAGGACCAGTAACATCCTCGAGGATACCAAGAACAATTATATCTATGGCAAGGTGTGTGTCCAATAAACGAGGTCCACACATGATTGAAACCAACAATAAGGTTACCTTCATTGTGTGTTGACGCGGTGGCTAAATTAATACATAATGATCATTTGATTGGCGATCACTGGTATCGATTGATTGATGAGATGATTGTTTTTGTGATTGATTATTGAGCACTTGATGAATGTAATGTGTTATCACTGTTCCATCGAGTTGATCAATGATACAAAGTATTAGATTCTTATCCAACATTCTACCAGTGATCTTGGTATTCGTGATAACGTTTGTGATGTAATAAGTCACAACATCGTCAATTGAGAATAAATATTTCCATTCAACCTTGGAGACATCAATATATCCATTTGGATTACAATCCATTTGTTGGGTCTTGACACGAAGAACATCCAAATTGAAAGCTGGTGGGGCATTGCGATCCATCTTGTCCGCTTGATTGTATCGATACCATTTGAATCTATGAATCTGGTTCTCAAAGATACACAACTCTTTTAGACCAGATGGCAGTGCTCCACGCTTGATTACGCTACCAAAAGCCGATCCGAATGATAAATATGTAATACTCTGTGGAAGTGACCCTTTGAGAATCGTTTGATTGAACATTGTGCCAAAGGATAGAGACGTGAGGGCGGGTGGGAGAAAGCCAACACAAATCAACTCGTTGTAGTAGGTAGGAAGCTCCAGTGTTGTTATTGTCTTTGGGAAGGAATTAAAGTCAAACTTGTAAAACCAGCTGTCTGCAAATGACAGCCAAGTTATTGATGGTGGAAAGACAATTCCATTGATAGAGTATGTCTCAATACCTAGGTGCGTGATTGATGTTGGGAATGTGCCTACATCTTTTAGAACGTCACCAGTAGATAGTGATGTCAAGAAAGGTGGCAGTGCATCCAAGTCGATTCTCCTGCAATAAGGGTCTAGGTAGAGACTGAGCAAGGAAGAGGGTAGATAGCCAGGTTTTATCGGTTGATGGTACCTTCGAAGTGATAGCGAGAGAAGAGAGGGAGGGAGGTGCAACAGAGGTTGGTCAAACAGATAACCAAGCCAAAGATGCTCAAGAGACAATGGAAATGTATGTGGATGGATTGATTGATTGAAGTTCTGTCCAAACTGGAGATACTTGAGGTTTGGAGGCAACACATTATCTAGGAGAGGTTGGTTGAAATGACTTCCAAAGTTTATCTTTGTTAAGGATTCTGGTAGTGATCCGGGTTGTAGAGGACAGTCGAATCTCTGTAGGTTGAGTGTGAGCAATGATGGTGGGAGCAAACCGGGTGGCAGAGGTTCGTCATACACCAAATCGAGAGAGGTGAGTGAACTTGGTAGATGACCAGGTGTAATTGGATGAGTGGCAAGATTGAATTTCAATAGCATGATTGATGATTTAGGTAGATTGTCAAATTGATCACTATGAACAAGGTCCATGATGAGTTCCTTCGTGCTGTTTGCTTCATGGTATGATGGAGTAAAACGTTGAAGTACTTTATAGAATCGTTTACAAGTGTATGAGAGAGATAAAATATCGATCAAACTGTCCAACAAAGATTCTCCAATAGAACTTAATGGTATATTTGGTAAACTTTCCATTGTTATTATTACATGTAATAAATATATTTATCTCTTTTGAAATAAAAAAAATGATCATTTTTGGACAACTTGATCACTTTTTATGGGTGATTGAGCACAAGAATTATCAAAGAAAATTACATAAGTTGACATTTATCTTTGGAAAATGATGAGACTGGAGATTTCTTGCGTTCCTTGTACTCGGGTAGTAATCCAATGTACATGGTCCTGGTCGGGCCACAACCGTGGACAATCACCTTCTTGTTTCCAAAAATGATATGTGAATGATCAACAATTGACCAAGAATCTCTGATTGATTGAGCGGGTGATGTGGAGTCCTCTTGGATGGGCTCAAAGACTCTTGTGCGGAACTTAGTAACTATTTGTATAAGAGGTCGCTCCTCCTCAATCATGTAACATTCAGTGATAAATGTTGATACTCTTGGAGCAACAGCTACCAACCTCCTCATGAATCCTTGCATCATTGCATCACGTTTGTCGAGTTCCGCTCTTGTCGTTAACTTTAGAGTGAGTGTTTCCAGTTTGTTATCAATATGTTGAATGATGTGTCCAATTGTAGTCTCTTGTATTATCTCAATGATCTTGATATGTTTGACTGTTGTTGGGAGTGTATTTTCCATAATCTTACTACTTGACATCACCATCAGCATGTGAAGAGTAATGGTCAATGTATGAACACTGGGCGGTATCTGCAACAGTTGACCGAACATACTTCCAAACACAATCTCTTCCAATGAGAGTGGAAGTGTCTTGGGCAACTTCTGATTGTATCGTCGACCAAATATGAGTGTTTGGAGTGAGTTTGGCATCTCCCCTTCTGGCAATTGGTGATTGAAGATATTGCCAAACCTCAAGTAGGTTAATGAGGTGCATGCAGAAAGACTTCCCTCTTCGATTTGACGTAAATAGTTGTCTCCAAAGGTGAGTTGTTGGAGTTTGGTGGGGAGGACACCAGGACTGATCGTCTGGTTAAAGAAATAACCAAACACAAGACTAGTCAATGATTGAGGAAGAGACCCTGGCACAATCTCTTGGTCAAAATGGTATCCAAAGGTGAGTGTTTCCAGAAACATCGGCAATACCGATGGACCAACAGGTTGGTTGAATGTTTCTCCAAATGTGATAGACAGCAAGGATGAAGGGAAGCAAGAAGGAACCAATGGTTGATTGAACCAGTAGCTGAGGTGCAGATGAGTAAGCGTGGGCGGCAGGAACCCCGGTGTTATCTGTTGATCGATGCGCTCACCAATGGTAAGTGTTTGTAATGAAGATGGTAGTACATTTGGAGGGATTGGCTCCCCTGAATAGTCGCCCATCTTCAAGGATGTAATAGAGTTGGGGAGCCAACCAGGTTGGAGTTGATGACTGTAGTGATGACCAAAGTTTAGTTCGGTGATTGAGGAAGAGAGCAAACCAGGCTGCAATTGCTCGTTGAACATGTTGCTGAATGAAAGTGATACAAGAGTTGATTGTGTTTGTCCTTTGGCATCTAATGGAAGAGAATGCAACCAATTGACATTGGTCATAGTGCCTGGTGGATCTGGTACTTCAGTTCTAAGGTCATAGTCAGGAATCCATACTTTTCTAGGCATATCAACATTGCTCAGATTGAGTCGTTTTTGTTCTTGTTGTTGTTGTTGTTGTGCTTGTGAGTCTGACTTTAGAAGTAAAGTCCACAACCTCTTTGAAGTTAATCCAAAACATATCCTATCCAAGTCATCAAATAACAATTCAAACAATCTACCACATATAATATTTGGTAAACCATCCATTTTCTCTCTACTTATCTCTTTATCTCTTTATCTCTTTACCTCTAACTCTATATCTTATCTATTTCTAATTGATGAAAAACATGAATGAGTGATTGTATGAATGTGAAAAGAAGGACATGTACACAATGTTATCAATTATTTCCAAAACAACAATATGTTGGAAGACATAACCCAGTGACACAAGATAACGTAGAGAGAGATGGATCTGATTTATACTATTTTGGTAATAATGTCAAGACATCTGTCCAATTCAATATGTGTGCCCCAACATCGATCTTACCTGTCACCAATTATTACYTTTATGTTTTTTTCATCAACAAAAATCTGACTTGGTGATTGTGATGTGAATCAAGATGGTGACCCTTTGATGATTGATTGGTTGACAGACGATCTATTGTATGCTCCACCATTCAACAACTCTTGAGTCTAAGTCAATCCACTCACATATCTATCTATATCATTTATTTATTTGTAATAATATATATATATATATAACTTGTACTCTATCAACTCATAAATATAATACATTCATTCAATCATCCATTCATTCATAAAGAGAAAGAGAGATATATAATAAAGGATAGAGATAGATGTTTAACTTCAAGTTGGTGTTGGTCGGCCCTGGAGGCGTTGGTATGTGTATCATCAAGTGGCGGCATCACAATCAAACATATATACTGATCAATGACAACAAACAGGTAAATCATGTTTAACGATACAATATATTGCTCAAAGATTCGTCGATGAGTATGACCCAACTCTGGAAGATAGTTATAGGAAGCAGTCGACAATAGATGGTGAGGAATGTATATTGGATATATATGATACGGCTGGCCAAGAGGACTTTAGTGCGGTGCGCGACCAGTATATGCGCACTGGCGAGGGCTTCCTCTGTGTATATTCAATCACCTATCTACAGAGCTTCAAGGAGATCCCCAAGCTGCACCATCATCTGCTAAAGGTCAAGGATATGGATCGCGTGCCCTTCCTGCTCGTCGGCAATAAGTGCGACCTGAAGGACTTTCGTGAGGTGCCAACAGCCGACGGCGAGGAGCTGGCTCGCAAGCTGAACTGCAAGTTCCTGGAGACCAGCGCCAAAGATCGCGTCAATGTAACAGAAGCCTTCCACGAGTTGGTCAAAGAGGTGAAGCGGGCGCGTCTGAACAAGCCGGCGGGCTCAGAGTCTTCAGACTCCCAGCACAAGAAGAAGAAGCTATGTGTTGTATTATAATTAGTGTGAACATCGATTGGCGACAGGATGCAACGCGACAGGTACAATGAATGCATGCATGCGATAACGATCACACTTCCCCCTTATTTATTAAGAAAGAAACAAAGGATAGATAGAGGCTGGCAACAACAATGCCATCCATCAATCCATCAATCATCAGCCTATAATCAATCAATCAATCAATCAATCAATCAATCAATCAACCAACAACCAAGGCAAACACCAGTAGAGAGTTAGCGAGAACAGCGACACTCACATCATCACTATCCATCAATTATCAATGTAATAATAACCTATGAGGTATATGTGTGAAGCCAGTTTAACGTGGAGACACAGGTATCTGCGCTACACACCAGCCCATCAACCAACCAATCAATCATCCAACTCCATCACCCAATTGGATGGACCAATATCCGGGCCATCCAGTCGACTATCACTCAATCCAGAACCAATAAATACATCACGGACGAATCGATGACGATCAATCAATCAATCAATGTCCATCCACAAATAACTCATTCTAATTCGATTGCTTGTTGTTGTTATATACATGTGTCCCTCTAATGTGGACCTTGATACTTGATGCTTGTTTATTTCTTGACGGGCTGTGTAGTGACGTCAATGATCTCTTCTACCTTCTCAAAGGCATCGTACTCATCCGCGGACTCGATATCCTCGTGGATGTTGAGCTTCTGGCGCAGTGGAGCCAACTCCTGGTACTCGCGCTCTCCCTTTTGCAGCAGGTTGAGGAACTCCTGCATCAGAACGTTCAGATGTCCATCCTCCTCGGCCTTGATTCTGGCAGCCTCGGCGTCGTCCTCGGCCTTGAATCTCTTGGCGTACTCCTTGGTACGGTTCTGGATCGACTTGAGCTGGTCAGAGGTGAGGATCATGGGTGGGCGTGGACGCCATGTGAACTGCTTGAAACGGTCCTTGAGTACCTGGTACACGGGCTCGCCAGCGAATGTCCAGATCTTGTAACCGGTATCAGTCTGCACCTTGAAGAACGAGACGGTGGAGGTCACGTAACGACCAGATGGGTTCCAGTCGATCTGAGTGCAAGACATATGCTCGTCGGTGGCCATTGTCTCGAGACTGGCAGTGTTGTAGAACTCCAACTCACCAGTGTCGCCAACCTGGGCAAGCACGATGTAGGTACCGCGTGGCGACCAGTAGATCGAGTTGAGCTTTCTGTGCTCCAGCTTGGTGAGCAGGATCACCTTGTTCTTCTGTACCTCAAAGAAGGCGACGGTCATCTCTGTGCGGTGCTCTCCGTAGATGATGCACAGCTTCTTTCCACGTGGCTCCCAGGCAAAGGCCTTGATGGCGCCTGGCACCTCAAAGTTCTCGATGGGGATGTTGGTCTCGTGCATACGGAACAGCTCAAAGTTGGTGGGCAGTGGCTGGTTGGTCTTCTTTGGCTTGGCGGTGGACCTGTCGACCTTGACGCACAGGTAGTCACCCTGGTTCTGCCAATGCATACGGGCGTCGGTGGCCTCCCAGATGCTCTTCTCGGCCAGGGTCTTCATGGTGGGGACCTCAGCAATCACGATACGGCCTGGCATCGTGGCGGTGGCGGGAACAAAGTAACAGATGTATGGGTCGGTGGGCGACCATGTGAAGGACTTGAGGTTGGCGATTGGGTAGGTCTTGTTCTTGAGCATGTTGCAGGTGAAGGCCTCGTAGATGTCGATGCCTCCCTCGCTCTGCTTGGCAAAGAAGGTGTCCTTGGCGGACCATGAGAACACTGGCCATTGGAACTGGTCCTTTGGTGGCGAGGGGAAACCTCTCAGTGGACGGCCACTGCGGACGTCCCAGACGATGATGGACTTTTGGTCCTTTGGTGATTCGGGTGGGGCAAAGGTGATCATGTACTTGTCCTCGGGGGAGAAGTCGACGATCATGACGTTGTTGTGCTTGAAGAGGCCGATCTGAGACCAGCTCTCGCCTCCGTAGAGGGCGACTCCCTCCTTGTGGATGGTGACGAGGTAGCTGCCCGAGTTGGACCACTGCACGTATGTCGATGTCCAGTTGTTCTGCACCTTCTCCGAGATGGGCTTGCCCATCTTCATCTCGTTCCAGCAGATCTCGGTGGTGTCTCCGTAGCGCAGGGCAAACTGATCGAAGCCCTTGAGGGAGCGGTTCGAGTAGAGCCACTGGTAGTGGTCCTCCTTCTCGACGTACTCCTTGGCGGTGGGGGCGACGTAGGTCTCGCTGATGTTGGTGAGGGTCTTGTGATCGTCCAAGAGGTTGGCGCGCAGGGCGTGTGCCTTGTCGAACTGAATGTTGTCCAGACGCTTGACGGCCTCGACGGCCTGATCGCGCTTGGCAAACTCGGCAAAGCAGTATCCCTTGTTCTTGTTTGTCGCAGCGTTGAATGGAATGTGGAAGGAGGCGAGCTCGGCACCAGTTGTCTTGGTGATGAAGGTCCTGAGCACATTGTTGAGCTTCTCAATCTTCTCCTTGTCTGTGATTGGGATGTTGTCTATGATGATGAACTTGCTGAAGGATGTATCGACCTGTACGGGAGGCTCAAAGTCCTCGAGACGGGTGACCAACTCCTCCTCTTCACTATCGTAATCTTCTTCTATATCGCGTGGCATATCTTTCTAATCTAATCTATATAGCTATTTAGGTATCTATCAAGTATCTATCTATCTATATTATGATCGGTTCGTTCGTCTTCTTCGTCTGATATATATGATGATTGAACGGATTCAGATGTCGATGTGAGGGATGTTGTTGGGAAGGATACAGGATACGCTCGAAGGGTGGTTGTTCACCTTGTGATGTTGAAAATTGAATTAAATGGATTTAATTGAAAGTAGTGATAGGGTTAGGTTGGATGAGGGCAAGGGTTAGGGCAAGGGTAAAAACCAAGACCTGGTCCAATCGATGTACATGTAGAACACTTTAAATAGATGACATTAATATTTATTCAATGTCATCTATCTTGTTTCTGTAGAACCTTCCATTTATTATTATTCAATCAATCAAATACAAGATGGCCATCTGAATCCAATCAAATGACAATATGGACATTATTGATTATAATAGTAATACAACTTTCAGTCTTATGTTATTGTCATTTATGATGAAACACTAGTTATAATAATAATTAAAACAAGACAACACACATATTCACACACTCTCTAACAATCAATAACCAGCTGGCATGTCTGCAAGCCAATCAATACTGACAACATGTCTTGTCTGTGGCTATTGACACGACACTAACAATTCCATAACATTATATCGTGTTATTAGTTGTAATGGGGGAGTCATAATTAATGTAGCCAGATGACTCTGGAGGATAGTCTCGACTGAGTTGGGGGAAGGATTCTCACACTGGCCACACACCCACCACACAAACAGAACAGAAAGCGATCGAAAGTCTGTGGTTCTGTTTTCAGTGCATTACCAAGAGTGACACGTGGGCTTGTTTGTTTGTAGGTCTACCCCATCCTTACACCAAACCGACAAAGTATTCAGATATTAGAGTGTTAGGTCACCTACTCATTATTATCAAAACTTAATTTAAATATACTTATATTGTTGTTGTAATATTTATAAATAGATACTGATAAAGATAAAGATACAGATACAGAGATACATATATACATATAAGTATATATTAAATATAGACATACTAGAATGAGATCTTCAATGATGATGATAATGGTGTTGTTGTCACTGACATGCTTGGTCAGTGGAGAGGTCACAACAGATACATCAAAGTCACTCACATATTTATTATGGTTCGGTCATTCATGGACTGGATTTGGACAGAATCCTTACAAGACACCAAACTATCTTGGTCAAGATGTTATAAAGCCTCAATGTGAAAAGACATGTAATTGGATATGTATGTGTTTAGGCGAGGCTTGAGGCCAAGCCCTGGTCCTGGTCCTGGTCCTGGACCTTGATTGATTGAGGCCTTGCCACCCATACTCACACTCACACACTCGCAGCTGACAGGAAGTTGGTATCGAATGCACATGGAGTGTTGTATGAGGCACAACCATTGGGTGGATATGGATATCACTATTTGAATGAACCGCCACAGTTCCCTCAGAAGGAGGTCGATCAGTTCTATGTTAACTTTGGATTCGAACACGAGTATTACTTCCCCGTGCAGGTTGAGGATGGATTCCTGGCGCACATTGACATCAACGCCACGTTCAGACAGGCACACGACGTCTACTTGACATTCGCCTGCAGTTGGGGCCAGTATGACAATGGCAACATTGACAACTTCCGCAATGCCAAGGTGGTGCCCTTTGCCAACAAGATCAAGGCCGTCGGCTTCATGTCGTCCAACTGCCACGGCGGTGGCGCCATCCATCGCACGACATACATCCTCGACTTGATGACACATATACAGGTGGATGGACTTGGTGAATGTCTACACACCAAGGACTTGGACCCCGAGGATGATCTCGTCCTCTTCAAAGATCTTGGCAAATCCATGAAGGTCAAAGAGAAGGTACTTGGTCGATACATGTTTGCACTTGCCTTTGAGAACAACAACATAACAGACTATGTCACAGAGAAGGTCTACACATTGTTATTGTAAGTTCATTCAATCATTCAATCGTTCACCTCACTCATTCACTCAACTCAACTCAATCAATCAATCATATATGATAGGAGTGGAACTATTCCAATATACATGGGATCAGAGAACATTGATGAATATGTTCCAAGTCATAGTGTTATCAAGACTAATGACTTTAAGTCACCAAAGGACTTGTCAGACTACTTGAAGAATCTAATGGAGAATGAGGACGAATACAACAAGTACTTTGAATGGAAGAAGTTACCCTACCACGACAAGTTCCTCGACAAGTACAAGAGATGTGCCTTCTATTCCGGCGAGTGTGCGCTATGTAAACAACTACACAAGGTCTATGATGAGGTATGTTGACTGATCGCCATTGACCAAGTCACGTCACGGACGCGTTGCTAACCACGCCACACCTGCAGGGGAAACTTGGACAGGCGCCAGGACATAGAACAGCATTTGGCGAACCAGAGTCGGTCAAGGGAAATGTGAGAGTGGCTCAGTTCACTCATGATACATGCGTGGAGATTGCCCAGAACAAGACGTATCATAGTCCAATTGTTGGAGAGTTTACTTTCACGTCGTGGATCTATCCCGAGAGTGGCAGCAGCGATAAGATACTGTTCTCAGTGGGTCGCGGCAACATAAGGATTGGAATAGTATCGGTGTGGAAGAACTTCTTCCTCTTTTACTGCTACTATGAGGACTGCACCATTGGTGAGAAGCCCATCCCATTTGGACAGTGGCGACATGTTGCCGTATCCGTCAGCAGACAAAGTGATTACTCCGAGACCATCACCCTCTACATCAATGGCGAGGAGGACGTCTCCTTGCACTCGTCCACCACACTCAATCTTCCCGTGGACACTCTATCACTTGGTTGTTGGAATGGTATGTATTAGATCGTGGATCAATCAATCACTGACTTAATCCATCAAACAATCAACTAACATATAATATTCAATGTAGTACCATTCGAAGGCAAGGTTGATGATTCAGTGGTTTGGAATAGAGCACTGAGTAAGAGGGAGATAAAGCAGTCGATGTTCAAGAAGTATCGTGGCGATGAGAGTGGTCTGATGGCATACTTCACTTACAATGACAATACTATAGTGGACTACTCAAAGTATCGTTCACTTATCACTCAAAAGTCACTGACGACCATACCATACGATCACAAGTTATTGGACCTAAGTGTATGTTGATGGACCACCCATAATTATTATTGTGGTCCAAGGTCCACCCACGACACAACCCACTATGATTGATTGATTGACTGGTGCATTCCATCAATCAACTCACAACACTTACTTATACATGTATGCGACACCCGAGTCGCGAATAAACCTGACCTGATACACTACATACGTGTACCCTTTGTCTCGTCTGTTGGTCTCGCGAACCCATCACACGAGTCCAAGAAGTTCAAAATGACACTTTGGCGCGCCATTTTCGGTTGGGATCATCTGAACACTTCACTTTGTGAAGTTAGATTGAGTTGGAGTTTGAGATACAGAAAGAGATAGAGATAGATATAGTGAAGATGAATAGCAACAACAACATCAATAGTAACAATAATATGAACTTTAGAAGAGCCTCGACACCGGTTGGACCAAAGAAGCCGTTGTACGAGTTTGTTGATGCTCCTCCAACACCAATCAATGTGTTCACGACTAAGAAACAACAGACACCAACATCGGCCACTTCATCATCGTCAATGTCATCGACAATGGGATGGTCAGCTGGCAACAGTAGTACAAACAGTCTCAATAGCAGCTCATTGCCAAAGACTCCGATCACATCGGCCACGCCACTCAGGATACCAAAGTCGGTCACAATGTCGGCGATCAAGCCTCGTGTTCATACATACCCGAGCTCACCTGCGCCTGGCAGTGATGATGGCGGACTGTCAGCAAGTAGTTCTGGTGGCGGCGACAACATAAACAACCTGTCAACATCAAGTTCATTCTATTTTGGCATGGATGATGATGACACCTCATTCATGGGCTCGCCCGAGTCGGTGTTCATGGCGGACTCGGCACGATCCACACCGGCAAAGCTGCGTACCAAGACCACTACCCAACGAATCAAAGACATGCTATCCTATCCCATTGACAAGTGGGATGAGCTCCACGAGGACTTACTCGTGCTCAACAACCATCCACTATACACTCTCGCCGTGTAAGATTGGTCTACCTCATGGCACATTCTTTCATTCGCTCACTCACTCACTCATTCATTCCATTCCATTCAATTCCACTTACATCCTTTAGCTATGCCCTCTGTGCCTTTTTGAATATACTCTTGTTTGGCTATGCCATTGACCTGTTTGGCAATGTAAGTATCTTCATTGGATCAACTCTTCGACATGATTGATTGACCATTCATCCCCTCGACACATTCACATAGTTTATTGGACTCCTTATCTTGCTCATCAGTGCAGGCAACACTCTCTATTATGTAAATAGCACAAAGAAGGTACATCTGTATCGATACCAAGGTGTATGTATCCATCCATCCATCCATCCATCAATTCAATCATGTCACTCACTCACTTACCATCCATCCTTCAACAGACCAAGTTCGCCAGTCCCAACATGTGTCTGGAATCCATTGAGACTGTAAGTACCAATTCCACCATTCAATCATGCATGATCACTATCTCACTCACCAAACTCCATCACTTTCCACAAACACCAGCCAACAGGATCCATTGACAATGTCATGGTACTTAAGATATGGGATCCAAGTAAGTCATATCAATCTAGGATCAATCAATCACTCGCTCACTGAACAACACTACTAACATACCAACAACAACAACAATAACAACAACAGAGTTCACAAGTAAGATGGTGTTCACCTTCTTCTCACCACTCCATGTATTCCTTATGATGATGGCAGGATCAGACCTGGACAGATTCGTAAACTGTGTATTCCTCTCTGCAATGATTGCATATGGTGTAAGTTATATATATTCCAGGATGGACCATGGGACAAGTCTTTGCTCACACACTTTACCACTACCATCCGTCCCCATCAGATCTACTTCCTCACCAATCTACACGATGCCAAGACAAGAGACGAGAAGATTCTTTACACACAACTATGCGAGGAGTATAACTCCCAATTCCGATCCAAACCATTTACTCGTGATCAAGGTACACAAACCATATCAAGATAAGATATATATTATAAATCAATCAATCAAAGTATGCTCTTGGTCTTTAAAGACATGATGATGAAGTTCAAACAATCAACAGATCTTTCTTTGTCACAAGATGGCTGAAAGTATCTTCCATCGAGAATTGTGAAAGTATCTGTCCAACATGTATTGGGCTTAATCCTGGGATGCCCTCAGCCACCAAACACAGTGAATGGATTATCAAAGTTGTTTGATTTTTTTATTTTTTTATCTCATACACTCTTCACAAACTAATGAAGAGACACTTTTTCAAAGGAGGTTTCACATCCATCCATCACAATTGTCCACATGGTATCGGTCACCCATTCAGTACTAGACACAACTTCATACATATACATAATACACATACACATACATTCAAACAAACATATTTATTTATATTATATATATATATATTTTGTATCATAATAATAATAATACTTTGACGAACCAGGTTATCAATCATCCAATCAATCGGTCAACCAATCATAACAATCAATCAAACAGATATAAACAAAAACAGACTCTGACAAACAATCAAACAAAGATACAAACAAGTTAGTCAATCATGTATCAAATCATATTGATCTATCTTATTTGTTCACCAATATCAATTATTGGCTCAGGCTTCATCATTACAACATGGGGACTGTTTGCCAAGCTGAAGCACAGTGGATCAAACTTCATCTTCTTCCAATCAATATCAGATCTACTCTTTACTCTCAAGTATGTATCATATTCATTCATTCATTCATTCAATCTAATACTGACATGTCATTCCCGAAATAACATAGATATATCATGACAGTTATACTTTATTATGCAGCTCCGTCAATTGTACAGTTTGATGACTCGTTGCAACCTTCGGGCTCGTCAGCGGTATGCTTCATGTTGGGAATGTACGGACAGTTCTGGGGACAGGCAACAGTGATGTGGAGCTTCATGATGACCGTAAAGGTGTTCATCTCATTCTTCTACACCAACAACACAGAGAGCTCCGAAAGCATCAAATGGTATCATCTCTTTGTCTGGGGCTTCTGTGGAATGAACGCCGTTATCATTGCTGCATTCGATCAATATGGTCCAAGTTCAAATGGGTAAGTAGTCGTCACCTCTTGTTGCTCTGCTGGCAGACGGACACTGACCCATCACATCCCAATCACCGGATCAATCAAACAAACAGATGTTGGATCGTTAGAGGTAACAACCCATTTAGATTGTTCGAGCTTATACCTCTGTACATCACAATCACAGTGTCAATATGTATATTGGTGTTGATTCTTTGGAAGATCAAACAGAAGAGACCAACATTGTTGATGCCAAACGAGTCGGTCAAGTACAAGATTCAAGAGCGCGAGTTTAGGAACCAGTTGCTCAAGTTCATTCTCATCTTTGTCATCTTCTGGACTCCACCAACCATCCTGCGAACAATGGAGTACATGGGTATTGAGAAGAGTTTCTTTGTCTATCTGGATGCAGTTAGTGTATCATCTCAAGGTATGTTGTTGTCTCATTCATTCATTCTTCACGATCAATTGGTTACTGACCATTCAATCAATCAATCAATCAATCAATCATTCCAGCATTGGCCAACAGTATTGTCTGGGGAACTTCGCCACAGTTCTTTAAGCTCCTGCGAAGGAAGCTTAGAGGTGGTCCAGAGGATGAGGCATTGATCCAGTAATGATACTGGATGGATGATGACTCCATTATTATATATATATTATACACAAACACAGACACAGGCACAGACACAGACACATACATACCTACAACATAGGCAGGATACATACATTCAAACATTCATACATCACATAGATACATACATACATACAATCTTGGGCGATCCAACATGAACTGGACTGCACTTGCAATCGATCAAAGTGGAAAGAGTGGCGAGTCCTATATCGATCATATTTGACCAACTCTTGAAACCAACGATTAGCAAGCAGTAGTGCAGCAGAATGATCGATCATCTTGTACAGCACTCAACTCTCTCTATCTCTATCTCTATCCCTCTCTCGTTCATTTTTCCACTCTATCAATCAATCATCACTCATGTCCATTCCAGCAGCTTAACTCCAAGAGTCTGGCTCAATCCAATCCAATTCAAAATAAAGCTTGCTGATGCTGTTGCCGCCCGTTGTTGCCTTTGCAGGCAATCGGTACGTCCTTCCAACGAAGTGATCATCGCAACTGCATTCTCTCTATCTCATGTTCTTCGTCGTCTTGTTCACTGACTGACTACTGATTGATAGCGACCATGTTGTATACACTTAAATATTTGGATTGGGTTTATTCCTCTTGAAGGAAAGGGTTCTCAATCTCCTCGCATCCTTCCATTGGACAGACCATCATCACACTGCTTCCTCTACAAACAACTAAACCTAGATATCTCTTCTCGCTTGTGACATTCAATGGGTCATTTGGATCTGTTTGATTGGGGGTTGATGTCAGTGTCTGTCGTTGTCTGCAGACTCAATAGCTAATAATCAAACGACTATTCATACCTCTGATAAACTCTTCGCATTGATCCAATGTTATGTTGACCAGAGGATCATATCCTTTCAATATACCTTGTACTGCATCATATGAATAAATGAATGTGTAAGTGATTGAGTTTAGTTGATTGAATGATGAGCACTTTGTCATCGCATAGTCATCATCATCATTGTCTTTCCTTGCTCATCTTCATTGTTGTCAACGGCAGCATACCTTCACGACCACCTGTAAACTTGACGCTTAATCCTTTTCCTATGAACTTCTGCAAGTCAAGAATAGACTCCTTCTTTGATGCCATTGGTGTCGACATTGTATATGTATGTATGTATTTGTATATATATATTGAAATGTGTTTCTCTACAATCTATGAATAAAGTTCATCTTGAAATTGAAATTCATCATGATGGCAACACTCGGAAACACATGGAATCTGACGGTAACACATATTATATTATTGACTTCTCATTGTTTTGGAGATAATGGATTGAATCAAATATCCTGTGATGATGATAAGTAATATAGAAGCAACATATTGTTTTTGTGACATATTTCTACGACCTATTAATCCTGTCAACAATCTTTCAAGTATCCCCTGTTCCTTGTTCTGGCTCAGTATCTTATTCTCTGGAAATGGCCTTTTCTTGGACTTTTTGGATTTGATAATGGGTTCATCAGGCAGGAAGGACATGTTGGACGGGATGGTGACGAACTTTATCCTTTCAGATCCAGTGTCATCATGCTGCTGTACATAGCACCAAGATGATTGATAATTAATCCTCTTGATATGTATGATTTGGTACTTGTTTGTGTTATCCAGGACTCGTAAATGGAAGTTGGATACACATGGATAGGAAACCAGCACAAATCCAATAAAGAACTTATTAGAATAGTTCTCCATTACCCTCCAGAAGCCAATGGAGAGGGAATCTATTACGTAGGGTCGTGGATCGACTTGAACATTTGTACCATGAACTAATTGAATTGTCAAATATAGGATATGCTCTGGAAGCACTTGTACTCGGTCGTTCAACTCATAAAGCGTCAATGATGTCACATTCCATGGAATGTTGTCCAATGGTTGTTGGAAGGACTTGCCAAATGTTAGAGATGTCAACGAGGATGGTAATGAATAGGTCAATAAGATCTGATTGTACTCGCGTCCCATAATCAAACACTTTAAGTTTGTTGGAAGAGAGTCTTGAGGTATCACTTGATTGAAAGTTGGGCCAAATGTCAATGATGTTATTGAAGGATGATATCTCAATGTCTGCCCAATATCAATCACATGTGATAATGAGTCTGGAAGTTTATCGATAAACAACTCTGTGACAAATTCCGGTATCTCTGGGATATGATACAGTTCAACACCAATGAGACTAAGTGATTGAAGGCTGCCAGGATATAAGCTTACGGGTATCGTTGAGTAGGCGTATAATGGGATGCAAAGACTGCTGAGTGATTCCTGTTCTTCGAGGAACCAATCAAGTGGCAGTTCACCAACAAAGTCACTGCCAAGCTTCAAAGTTTGTAGTCGTGGAGGTAGAATTCCATCTTCATCAATGCGTTGATTGAACTTTGAGCCAACGATCAATGATGACAATGATCTGGGAAGTGTTCCTTGGAGGAATGGTTGATTGTAGTTTCTACAAAAAGTCAGTGATTGTAGTCCCTCGGGCAACACATTAGGTTCAATGACCTGATTGTAGTCATAACCCAATGTCAGTGATTGTAATGACTGGGGCAATACACTTGGCGGAATGACCTGATTGTACTTGCAGCCAAGGTCAAGTGTCTTTAGATTCTTGGGAAGCATTCTTTCTGTAAGAGGTTGATTGAACGATCTTGTAATATTGAAGGAAATGGATATCACCGAACTAAACACCAGTGATGTCAACGAGTCAGGTAGTGATCTGGGCGAAATCGAGTGATTGAACCCGTTTCCAAACCGAATAGAGGTGACCGATGGAGGTAAAGAGTTGAATGTAATCGGTTGATCAAAGTCATTCCCAAACTCCAGACATGTGATCGATGGTGACTTGGGCAGAGAACCAGGACCGAAACTCTGTGGGGGTCAGATTTGAGACACATGCTTCAGAGTAGATACACTTGGGGGAATTGTGTAGTGGAGGTCATATTTTCTATCCAAGGGATTGGATGTTCTGGTCCAGTATGCCGTCTTAGTGTATGTTACTATGCAACTGGCCCAATTTCTATTCCGAGTCTCCATCTTGGAAGTCTCCTCACCAGACTTGTTTCCAAAAGTCATGTAAACCAATCGTGGTTCATAGTCTCCGCAGAGTACCTTCAACATTATTCGCCAGTAGGTCTTGCAGGTGAGGCCAAGACTGAGTGCGTCCATCATTAAACAACGATTACTTGTTGTTGTAATTGTTTGATCATTTTGTTGTTGTGGTTGATATTTGAATAGAGTAAATAAGTATGTGATCACTAATGGAGGAAGAAGTACATGTTTGGTCATATCATCCATGTTGTTGGCTATTATGTGATTGATTAATTGATTATTACAGTAAATCATTGATTGGCAAAGTGATCAAAAATCCATGAGGAGATTAGTCCAATGATAGAGATAAGTAATATCCAAACAATATTACGCCTTGATACTCTCGTGTACTTCCTCATCAACAATCTCTGAGGCATCATCAATTGTCTTTTGGAAATGTTTGATGGGATTGCGATGAACTTTAAACTCTGGAATCCAGTCTCACCTTACTGCTCGACATAACACCATGCCGATGATTGATCATCAATCCTTCTGATGTGTATAGTTTGGTACTTGATGTTTGAGTAGGGGACTCGAGCATTTAAGTTGGATAAATAAGGAAAGACAGCCAGTAGCGACTTAATTATGTCCTTGTTGGTGTCTCCTTCAATTGCAAAGACATAATCGATGGAGAGTGAATCCAATACAAAGGGCAGTGGATCGACTATATCTTTTATATGGTTACCAAGTGAGTTGACATGTAAATGTTTGATATGTCCTGGTAGTTCTTTGTATTGATCATTCAACATATGCAGTGTCAATGATGTTACACTGGATGGAATGTTGTCCAATGGTTGTTCGAACATCTGGCCAAAGGAGAGTGAGGTCAACGAGGATGGTAGTGATTTGGGGAGGAGCACCTGATTGTATCAATATCCCATAATCAAACACTTTAAGTTGGTTGAAAGTGTATTTTGAAGTATGGCTTGATTGAAGGTTGGACCGAATGTCAATGATGTGATTGATGGATGATGTCTCAAGGTCTGTCCAGGACCAAACATATCGATCGTCAGCTCTGTGACCGAGTCTGGGAACTTGGGCATATATAACCAATCATTGAGTATGCGCAATGTTTGAAGAGTGCATGGATACGTGCTTATGGGTATTTATTTGTATAGGACGAACGGTATGGTGAGACTGCTGGGAGAGACTTGATCAAGTGGGAGCCTACGATTAAAGCTATGTCCTAGCCTCAGTGTTTGTAGACGTGGAGGTAGAATGCCATCTCCATCAATGTGTTGATTGAACTTTAAGCCAAAGATCAATGATGTCAACGATCGTGGCAGTGTCCCTTGGATGAATGGTTGATTGAAGTGGTGGCCAAAGGTCAATGATTGTAGTCCCTCCGGCAACACAAATGGTAGAATGACCTGATTGAACTTGCGGCCAAGATCCAGTGTCTTCAGATTCATTGGTAGCATTCCTGGTGTTAGAGGTTGATTGAACAAACTAGATATATTGAAAAGATTAGCTGTCGAACATTTAAAGATCAATGATGTCAACGAGTCTGGCAGTGATCCATGCTCAATCGTCTGATTAAACCTGTCACCGAACCGAATAGAAGTTAGTGATGGCGGCAATGAGTTGAGGTATCGGCTGAGTAAAGTCATTGTCAAACTCCAGACAAGTTATTGATGTCAACTTGGGCAACGAACCTGGACCAAAGACACTCGCATAGCTTGGCGACAAGGTGATCAAAGTTGATACACTTGGGGGCAGTGTAAAGTGAAGGTGATAGCTTCTATCCAATGGATCGGATGTTTTGGTCCAGTAGGCATTCCTGTCGAATATTGCATGGCAATTGTCCCAGCTCTTATGAGCATCCTCTGGTGGAGGAGGATGCTGACCTTCATTGTGATCAAACGTCATGTAAGCCAAATGTGGTTCAAAGTCGCTCATAGTACCCTCATCATGATGCGCCAGTATGTCTTGCATGTGAGGCCAAGACTGAGTGCGTCCATCATCATACATGTTTGTGATCGTTGTAATTGTTGTAGTTGTAGTTGTATTTGTTGTTGTTGTTTGAATAGATTAAACAAGTATGTGATCACTTGTGGATGAAGATGTACAAACATGGCATTGATGATTATTTATATATTTATGTGATTGACAATCAAAGTGTTTAGTGATCGTTATGGTGGTCCTGCTGGACCTCTCAAAACTTGTGGACCAAGGTACCTTCTTTGAATTTATTTAATGAACAAGTTACCAAAGGATGATACCAACGATGAGGATACTAATCATTGATAATATTGAATACTTATTCCATAATCGTTGAAGATACATACTTGGACTAGGACTAGGACTAGGACTAGGACTAGGACTGGTCAAAGTGTTGCTCTGTTGCATGTGCTTGGGCTTGTTGGGAACGAGGTAGTATGGGACTGTGATGAACTTTATACTCTCTGATCCATTGTCATGTCCATATTGATGTACATAACACCATGCTGATGATTGATTGTTAACCTTCCTGATATGTATCGTTTGGTACATGTTTGAACTGTTTTTGACCCGAGCATTGAAGTTGGATACATATGGATAGCATGCCAACATCAACTTAATAAGGTGCCGGTTGTTATCTCCCTGAATCTCGGGAATAAGGGTAATGGAGAATGAGTCCAATACATAGGTCAGTGGTTTGACTCCATGTTTTGGACGACGATGGAATGAGTTGACAGTCAAATGTTTGATGTGTCTTGGTAGCAATTGGATTTGATCATTCAACGTATTCAGTGTCAATGATGTTACGCTGGATGGGATGTTGTCCAATGGTCGTGTGAATTCCTGGCCAAAGGATAATGAGGTCAACGATGATGGTAGTGAGTTGGGGAGTAGCGCCTGATTGTAACAACTTCCAATAACCAAACACTTTAGGTTGGTTGGAAGTGTATGTGGAGGTATAACTTGATTGAAGATTCCACCAAGTGTCAATGATGTGATTGAAGGATGATCTCTCAATGACTGTCCAGCACCAATCACATCGATGGTCAGCTCTGTGACCGAGTCTGGGATGACAGGCATCGGCAGCGTAACACTGATCAAACGCAATGTTTGAAGTGTGCTAGGATACATGCTTATGGGTGCGTACTTGAACATGTGGAATGGTACGCTGAGACAGCAGAGTGATTGATGTTGTTGTAGCCAATCAAGTGGGAGCTTGCCCTCAAAGATAGGTCCAAGCTTCAATATCTGTAGGCCTGGAGGTAGAACGTCATCCTCATCAATGGGTTGGTTGAAGTTTGAACCAACTATCAATGATGTCAAAGATTGTGGAAGTGTTCCTTGGACAAAAGGTTTGTTGTAGACATTGCCAAAGGTCAGTGATAGTAGTCCCTCGGGCAAGACATATGGTGGTATGACTTGATTGTACTTGGTGCCAAGATCAAGTATCTTTAGATTCTTGGGTAGCATTCCTTGTGTGAGAGGTCGATTGAACGAACTTGGAGTCTTGAACGTCCTGGCAACTGTTGAACTAAACGTCAGTAATGTCAATGAGTCAGGTAGTGATCCAGGAACAATCGATTGATCAAATTGGTCACCAAACTTAATAGAGGTGACGGATGGTGGCAATGAGTTGACGGGTATCGATTGAGTAAAGTCATAGCAAAGCTCGAGTCTAGTGATCGATGGTGACTTGGGCAGCGAGTCCGGACCAAAGACACTATCATATTTTTTCGACAAGACGGCCAGAGTTGATACACATGGGGGCAGTGTAAAGCGAAGGTCGTACTTCTTGTCCAAGGGATCGGTCGTTCTGGTCCAGTAGGCATTCTTGTTGTATATCGTAAGGCATTTGAGAAAGTTGCTACTTAGGGACGTTAGGGAAGCTGGCTCGCCTGTCTTTGTGCCAAAGGTCATTAGAACAAATCGTGGTTCATTGTCGCTGCACAGCACATTCAACATTCTGCGCCAGTATGACTTGCAAGTGAGGCCCAGACAGAGTGCGTCCATCATCCAGGATGAACATGTTATCTGATCATTCTGATCACAATGTTGTAGATGTTGTTTGAATAGTGAAAACAAGTGATTTATAACTAATGGTGGAAGTTGTATATCTTTGACCAACATGTTGATATAGTTGTAATTGTTATGTTGTTATATTGAAGTGATTGATCACTTGTGTAAAGTACATGTAAAGTGAATGATTGTTTTAGTTTGGAAGATCCATCAATTCCCCAGCTCACTGTCCCAAGTTCTGTTGACTTGAGATATTTCAACAACTTGAATGTATAGGTATCTGACAACTACTACTACTTTAAGTGATGTGACGAAGCATTAATGGATGAGGAGGCAGGAAGAGGTCTGTGGTCCTGGGTGGGGTGTGATAAGTAGTCCCCCTCTATGATCATGTAGTGCACTGAAATCATTCAATCAATCAAACACATACACACATACATACACACAATCACTTTGAGTGTATTTGTTCACATCACTTTGTGCGAAGTGTGAATGTGTACATTGCTAGAATAGTAGTAGGATGGATAGATGGATGGATGGCACACTGACTCTCTTGCTCTCTGTCTTTGCTATTCTCCATCCACTCACTCAAGGGCATCATTTGGAGCATTGCAAGAACTTTATACAGATAATAATCAATCATACTTATATAATCATACTTGTAATGATACCATCAAATTCCAATCATAATGAAGTCGCTGTTGATATACAACAGTTGGACAACAGTAACAGTAGCCCTAGTAGTAGTGTTGTTCAAACAAACCCAATGAGTAGACCAACTTATAGACCATCCAATCCACCAAAGTCCATCATTCTATTCGATGGCATCTGTAATGTATGCGATGGATTCATTCACTTTGTGTATCCTCGCGACACCCAGAAACGCTTCTCCTACCAAGCACTGCAATCAGTCAAAGGCGGAGAGATCCTCGATTACTACGGCATACCCAAAGATCTATCCACCATCGTTCTCATCGAAGAGGAGTCCAACACACATTATACCAAATCCACAGCAGTCCTACGTGTACTCTACTATCTAAAGGTAATGAACGTTATGAAATGAATGGACGTGTATTCAATCAATCAATCCTAACAATCACGTAATAATAGAATCCATACCCTCTGATGTATACATTCTACTACCTACCAAGATTCTTCCGTGACTTTTGTTATGGTACATTTGCAAACTACCGATATCTGATCATGGGAAAGAAGGATGTATGTGGCTTCAACCCTGGTCTAAAGGATCGTTTCATCGACTTTAGGAGTCCAATCATTGATGATGATACTCCAGATGAAACAAAAGAGATGTGAGATATAGAGATACTCTTACCAGGGTATAATACTATCCTATCAATCAAAATCCCAAAGCAATCCAATCATTCCCAAACCCAAGAAAGTAATAATATTAATCAAGTATTAATTATAATTATACTCGTTTAAGTAGATAATATCTTGGATACCACCGTCCCAATCCCAATGAAACAACCCATTCATCATTGAGATATGTTGTTTGGTGTTGATGATGAGGACATAATCACTGGCCTACAAGCACCAAGTACCGACCCCAAACGATTCAATGGTGGTATCCGACTTGCCCATAAGCAAACGACGTCGTTATCATACACAACAACAACCGTGAAGTCATTATTAATGTGTGGTGTGTGTGGGTGGTATCTAAGGAACCATGGTTCATTCGCATGCACCTCGTGTCCCGTCGGGTCTCCGTTGCTCGTCAGCTGCAGACCCACCCAGCAAGTATTCAAAACCAGGGGGTTTGAGCCATCCGATTTTTTTTAAAGTGGTGAAGTTGAAGTGGCTCCTTTTTTTTAATGGACCCACCAATCAAAGTTGATTTTTTAATGATGGTCTCAGAAACGGACTTGACGATACTGAATCTAAATGAATGCCCAACAATCCTACTTAAGCCCTAAAGGATATTTAAGTGTGTATGTGTGACACATACGAGCTGTTGAATGTGAATGGAGTTGAACAAAGCACAATCAACAATATAATGAGCAGGATGGAGGGACTTCAGAAGTGACCTCTACCTCCAATGTTTCGTTAAGTCATTTGCAACCCAATTAAAAACATACACAAATATATACATACTTATATATACACACATACATACATACATTCATACATACAATGAAGATTGTTATCTGTTTGATATTAGTGGCAATCACCATTGCTTCTGCTTTGGATAATGGTGTAGCCCGTACTCCACCAATGGGCTGGAACACTTGGAACCATTATGGTTGCAACACATCTGCCATCAACGCCGACTTGCTCATCAATACCGCCATGGCTATGGTCACCAGTGGAATGGCCAAGGCCGGTTACCAGTACATCAGTTTGGACGACTGCTGGTTGGCCACGGAGCGTGACGCCCAGGGCCGTCTCCAGCCAGACCCAGTGCGTTTCCCACAAGGTATTGCCCCAATCGCTGACTACATCCACTCGCTGGGCCTCAAGATGGGCATCTACGAGGACGTTGGCAACATGACCTGCGCCGGTTACCCAGGCAGTGAGAACAACCTCGAGCTCGACGCCAAGACCTTTGCCGAGTGGGGTATCGACTACGTCAAGATGGACGGCTGCAACTTCCCAGTCGACGACATGAAGCAGACCTACACCGAGCTGAGCCAAGCCCTCAACGCCACCGGTCGCGAGATGGTCTACAGCTGCAGCTGGCCCGCCTACGCCCAGAATGAGGACGTCAACTTCACCTACGTCGCCAGCATCTGCAACCTCTGGAGAGAGTTCGACGACATTAGAGACGATTGGGATGCTTGGACCAGCATCCTCGACCAGATGGAGGCCACCAACCGTGCTCCATTCGCCGGACCAGGTCACTGGAACGATCCAGACATGCTCGAGATTGGCAACGGTGGTCAGACCTACACTGAGTACCAGTCCTTCTTCTCCCTCTGGTCCATCATTGCCGCTCCATTGATTGCCGGTAACGATCTTACCAGCATGACTCAAGAGACCATTGAGGTATGAACATAGTAGTAGAGTAGACATAGTGTTGAGATTGATGATTGACAGACTGACTAACTATTCAAACACAATCTTCTAGATCTTGACCAACATTGAGGTTATTGCCGTCGACCAAGATCCACTTGGAATTCAGGGCACCAGAGTGTACCAATCGGGAACCAACGAGATCTGGTTGAGACAACTCGTCAATGATGAGCTTGCCGTCGTTCTCTTCAACAGAGGTTCAGCCACCTCCACCATCACCCTGACCTCCTCAATCATCAACGTCCCATCCAACCAGAAATACCTTGCCCGTGACCTGTGGCGCCATGGATCCGTTGGTTTCTTCGAGAACAGTCTCGCATTCCCAGTTGAGAGCCACGGAGTTGTCATGCTCAAGCTCACCAAGGCTTAAATATATTAAACCTTACTACTTACCTCTCTATCTCTATCTCTTTATCTACTTACCTTAGTGGTGACAATACTGACATACGCTTTGTTCTGTCGTCTATAACCCCCTCCCTGTTTGAGTGTGTATCCTTTGCAGCCATCAATCAATCAATCAATGAAGACGACAACACATCACAATGAATGTGTGAATGAGTGAATGGAGTGAACGAATGAGTGAATGAGTGAGGATGACAGACGAGTGAAGAAATGGTGAGTGTGGGCACTCGACTTCAGTTGCGGGCTACAGATCGTCAGACTCTGAAGAATGATGGTAATGTCCATGTTTGGGTAAACACCAAAAGTGGTATGTTGTCGAGTCATCTATTCAAATGGTTACTTTACTTTATAAAGGTAACAACCTTCATTCATTCATTCATTCATTCATAAACTTACTAACTCATATACATATACTTATACTTACTTCTATATATATACCTACCTATTAATTATTATTATAATTATAATTATTACTATGAGGAGCAATAACTATTTATTTATTATTGTAGTTGTGACTACTACGTTGCTATTGTTGTTGGCTAATTATTCCAATGCTACTGTGTTCAAGTCGGACAAGTACTTCAAGGTTGAATCAATTGGCAAGGATTCTTATAGATTGACACAGGTCAATATCAAGAATTCGAACCAAGATGATGTTGATGAATATGAGAATGTTGGCTCATTTAGAGTATCATCAATTGACTTCCCCTTGGAATGGAGACAACGTCGTGTACTCGATGAGCAATCGATACTGGACAACCCAGAGGACTTGATCGTCAAGGGAGTATTCTCACTTCATGGAAAGTCCTACTCCTTCGTGCCATCCGAGATCTACAAGGCTCTGCCCTACCCAGAGGACATGACTCCCACCGACGACTATGACAACGACCAGACGTCCGCAATGGATGGCAGTGGCTTCTTCTACTTCTTGCAGGCTGGCTTCCCAATGTGCCGTTTCAGAACATGTATCAACGCCATCCAAGCGGTCAATGTCAACGATCCCAAGGACAAGACCAAGCTGGCTGTGTTCAGAGACCTCTATCCAACGCTGCCAGGCTTCGATGGTGAGTGGTACCGCGAGGCAGTCAACAACAAGAAGATCATGTTCCAACTGGAGTTTGAACGAGTTGGTGCCGCTCATGTCCTGAAGGCCTATGTCAAGCTGGATCCACTGCATGACTGTCCGATGTTCAAGATGGCCGCATGTCCAGAAGGCCAGACGCAAGTGTATAGTCGCAACGAGGATCTCTGTCTTATACCAGACCGATGTGTTGAACCCAACTATGAATCATGTCGATTCGATCCAGTTCCAAAGTGTGTCGCAGGCTACACCCTTCACCAATATGTCTCCGAACCCTCTGGATGTCCCCAATATCGTTGTGATCCATCCTTCCTACCATGTCATCGTTGATTGAGTCAATCAATCATTCACACTAGGACCTTAGTGGCTTGTTGTATATGTATATTTATATGATTGATTGGTCATTAGTTTGGCAACCCTGCATCGAATCGTTTGGCCTGATCATCGTAATGATGACATCCCATTACGTGAAACAAACGTAATAAAACAATTAAATGAATTTCAATCACTCAACTACACCATTAATATCAATCAACTCCACCACACTCACTTTGAAGTAATAAGATACAGATACTAAGTGATACAGATACAGATACAGATACATCTTTAACATACTTTACATGTGTGAGGATAAGATATTTAAAGGATTGGATAGGGTCGGCACAGCAACTACCCTTAGTATCATGCTAGAATGAACAGACTTGCAACAAACTTTACACAACTTAAACTGTTAAATACTTTAACAAAGCAACAACAAAAGATCAATAACAACAACAACAATCTATTGTCACTTCATAATACTACAATTACAACTACTTTTGCATCAACACCAGTCTCGCGATTGGTGTCCAACTACTCTCGCCATGTACACAAATCATACACTCCAACTCAACAACAACCTCAACCACAAACATCACTGTTATCAACAGCTGTAATCAATGCCGCTGTCACCATCACCTCAACATACCCTTCACACAACCTCAACAAGAACAATCTTCTCCTACTTTGTAGACACTTCACTACATCCTCTTCGCCACCTCCTCCTCAACAGCCACAGCCACCACCACAGAACAATAACAACACCGATCCCTCAAAGGAGCAGCAACCAAAGAAGGAGGAGATGACGAGTGCACAGCAAAGGGTCAGGAAGTTCACCAGAGATAGTGGCCTGCTACAGATGTACAGTAGGATAACGGACAGACTCAAGTTCGTGTTGACCAGACATAAGCCGCTGACTTCGGATCACATGTTTGCCATCTTCAGTTGGTTGCTCTTTGGAACTGGCTCACTAATCATACTTGGAACGACAACACTGGTCTCTCTCATACTCTGGATCGTAAACACATTCGAGTTCTCAGGTAAGGTCTTGTCCAACGCCTTGCACGCACAGACACACCTCCTCACACAAATCCACTATCCTCACTCTTTAGAATGGGCTGCCAAGCGTATTGGCAAGTATCTTACAACAAACACTGGCATTAACATCACGTTCGAGGGCGCACGTGGCGAGTGGAAGACTGGCTACATCAGATTGGAGAATGTCACAGTGTCACGTAAGCCAAGAAGTGATGAGCATTTGTCCTCGATCCAGCTGTCGATCAAACAGATCGATATCAAGCTCAGCATCCTTTGGATGCTTGAGGGCAAGGGTATCATCCAGGAGTGTTTGGTGTCCGGTGTGCGAGGTATCATTGACCGAAGGACCGAGGGTGTCTATGTCGGTACCAACATGATCTATCCAAGAAAGAAGAAGTATGTATGATTGGTTGGGATGGGATGGAGAGGGAGGACATGGCCTAACATATTCATTCAATCAGATCGCCTGGAGACTTTGTATTCAACAGACTTGATGTCAAGGACCTCTTGATCACCTTTCACAAGCCAGACACAACACATAGACCGATGCTCATTTCGATCTTTAGTCTAGAGAGCAGTCGCTTCAGGAAGCAATGGCTACTGTACGACATCTTCTGCTCAAAGAACATCGTCGGCAAGTTTGACGGCTCACTCTTCACCTACACCGTGCCACAGCTCCAAACGATGGACCCAGAGACACTGTCCAAGTTTGAACAGCGCGAGCTCAAGATTGATGGAATGGATATTGAGCATCTGTCAAAGAATGCCACTGGTCCACTTGGATGGATAAAGGATGGTACCTTTGATATCCAACTTAACCTCCTACTACCAAAGTGTCCCGAGCATGAGATCCTCGTCGACACTGAGAGTACCGCAGTAGACTATGGTATCATCCCATTGGATAGAGGTATAGTATCTAACTCTCGCTCTGTCAATCAACTCAATCAGCTCACTCACTCATACCCACTCTCAATCAATTAATCAGATCCATTCAAGAACCTACACCTCAATGTTAATGTACAATTGAATCACTTGTTCTCTGTGGCGCCACTGTACACACCAGAGCTAAGCTATCTGTCCAATGCACTGGCACATCCAATCGTGGCCTACATCAACTCGCACTCCAAACACATTCCTCTGCAGTTTGACTTCTCTCTAAATCTCCGTCAGTTCAATGGCGCATGGACACTGAGCCAAGCGTCGTTCTGGGAAGTGTTGTCCGACTCGGTCGGACGTGAGTTGGCCAACAAAGTCAAAGAAACCAAGAACGTCACCACTCTTCGACATGTCGCCGGTGAGCTACTCACCGATTTGATCGGGTGGGTCAAGCCATTCATTGAGAGGAACCGTCAAGAGTACCGAGCACTACTCGAAGAGCAACAAGCAATGTCACAACGCTTTCAATTAAACGCATAATAACATTATGTATGTATGTGAGAGGGACCAGGGAGGGACCTCCGAGGTCCTCTTTGATCGTTTCTATTGTTTGTTTTTGATTGATTGATTGAGTCATCAGTCAGCTGACTGATTGATTGATCAGGGTACAACACTGAGTAAATGACGATCAACCTTTATCCAATTTGCAGGCCTTCCATCTTCATCATAATTACCCATTCGGGTCATGTTGTGGTGAGTTGATGTTAGTTGAGCCCACAAAGTGTGGACCTTGGGGCTTCCCCAAGGTGTGAGTGAGTTGTGTCTACTCCTTCACTCACCAATGTAGTAGTTGTTGTTGTAGTTGTTGTTATTGCTAATATATGTATAGATAGATAAGACATACAGAGATAGAGATAAAGAAGATATGATATCAAACTTATTGTTCGTTGTGGAGTTGGGAATAGTGATGTGCAGCTGGAGGATTGTATCTCTGGTTGGAGGTGGTGGCGAAGGTGCCTCGTTCAAAGAGAGAGTACACTCATTGACAATGATGCTCGTCTCTGATATATTCACAGTGTTGATGTTAGTGATCACTCTAGTACTCTTCTGTTGGAGAGCCAAGCGTATGATAGGCTTGTTACGCTCAAGGTATGTTGTGTAAATCACATTCAAAACGATATGTTGTATAGTCACTGACCATGTATGATGTTATTGTAGCCCATCAAACAAATGGAAGAGTATTGTAAGCGAGCAGTTCTATGATGGAGGTGTAGAGTTCTGTTGCTTCACAGCTCTGTTACTTATAAAGTGGCCAGTTGTCTTCCAAACTCTTTGGACTAAAGATCCAGTAATGTATCGGAATCACTCATCCCCTCGACTGACTGACTGGCTGAATGACTGAATGACTTACTAACTCATTGACATAACAACAGGAGCAAGAGAAGCTGACTTGGTATGACATATTCATCAAGGAGTTCACAAAGAACTCACCAGTGTCGGACTTGTTTACAGGAGGTTCAGCATCGTCGTCGGCTGCATCAGGTGGAGGTACAGGAGGCGGATCATCTTCTTCATCTTCATCATCTTCATCAAGAGGTACACTATCGGATGAGGAGTGGAAGAGAGCATTCCGTACAGATATGAAGAGTATTGGCTTTGAGTTTGACAAGGATGGCGAGATAACAAAGTTCCCTCCAACAGAGGTGATGGAACAGTATCAAAAATCCGACAAGTTCCGTGAGCTAATCCTACAGGCATCGGGCGGCCCACAAAGAAAGTCCGATGATATCACAATCAAGGATAGCTCACAACAACAACAGCAGCAACCTACTACAGAACAACAGAAGCCTGCCGAACAGAAGCAGCATCAGCATAATAAGCAGCAGGAATCCAACAAGAAGAAGAAGAAGAAGAATAAGTAAACGAGTGAATAAATAGGATCACATGGATGAATGAATGGACATTGATTGATTGATTGAAATATATAGATGGAGGTGAGTGGATGGATGTGGATGTGGATGTGGATGTGGATGTCCTTGTCCGCCGACTTGGCATACACCATCATCCATTCACCCTTTCATTCCATCATTCACTCGATCGATCACTTTAATAACTGCTTGGTCTTTACAAAGTCCGACGGCAGTTCGAACTGACACTTATCCACTTCCTTCTCCACATAGTTATTGAATGTTACAGTGGCTGTGATGGTTGGTAGTACAGGTATATCTAAAGATGGATCAATGATGATGATGTTAGCAGTCGTCCATGCATGTTTCCATGTTTCCAGGATTCCAGGATCACTTACCAAACTTGACTGGGAAGCCATCTGATGGGAACTTGAGTGAGATAAAGTCGCTGAGACGACCAAAGAGTTTGTGAGTCGGGGAGAGCACTTCAAAGATGGGCAGGATGTCGGTGATCTTCCTGGGGAACTCCTGCGAGATCCACACTGTGCCTTCAAAGTTCTTGTGCTTGACATTGACGCTCTCGCCCTCACATAGTAGTCCCTGCGATTTGATCTTTGACTTGTCAACATTGGTCTCGTGTTCCACAATGTCAAAGTTGCTTGGCACGGCMAAAGTAATCCTTGGCCTTGATCTTGCTGACCATAATGCTCTCTCTAATCCTATACTCGCGTCTAATCTGGGGCTGTGGTGATGTGGAGTTGGGGTTGGGCGACGCTGGCGCCAGCGCAGTGGTGGCATTCTTTGCCACCTTGTCATTTGGATTCTTCCTGGACATGATCCTCAAATCGAAACCTGTCACATTGAATATCTTGGCATTCCATGCACCAATCTTCTCCACCTTCTCATTACCAATCCATGACTTGGCCGCTGAGAACTTTATCGTCTCTGGCAGGACCTTGACTCTAGTGATACTCTTTGCGCCCATCATAATCTCCACCTCCTCATCCTCAATGGCCTTTGTGTCACCGCCACGCAATGACAACTCCTCATACTCCTTCCTAATAAAGTCAACAGACATCAATCTCTCTAATGTTTGAGTTGAGTGAGTTAGTATCATTCCAGGCATCAACAAGTTACATAACATACGCTCATCGCCATCGAAGATGAATGATAGTTCTCCACGTTTGAAAGTGATGCCCTCGAATCCAGTGATGGTAGTGTTGATCCTGAATGATGAACCTCGCTTGAATATCTTGTAATTATCATATGGACAGAACCTGCTTACAATAGGTACCCAACTCTTGAACTCCCATTTCAAGTCTATAAATTGATTGATTAGTATGATCATTTTCCAGTTGACCTGGAATGTTGCGGTGTTGCGCGCGTATCCATCAATCCATACCCATCTCAAAGTCTGGCATCTGATGTTTGTGTGTAATGTTAGTACATAATCAATCAATCAATCAATCAAACAATGAACATACCTCCTTAAGTGCCTTTAGTAGATTAGGTACTCTCTTGTGATACTCCCTCTGAATCTTTATCTTTGCTTCGTTGAGTAGTAGACTGACCAATGCAGCATCCCTCCTGCCCAATGCCTCCTGGATACATGACCAACCAGCACAACTCTTCTTTGATGGGTCAGCGCCATTCTTTAACAATACTTGTAATATAGCAATGTATCCAAACTTTGAAGTTATCATGAGTTAGTGAGTATGTTTGAATGAGTGGTCGATCCAAGGTCCAAGACATACATGGATGGCATAGTGTGATGCTGGGTAACCATGAAGATCGCGTAAGTCTATATGATCGCGATAGAATGGAATGTCCAACAGACGTGTGACAGCTTCAATGTCATTCTGGCACGTATGTACATGTAATAGGAATGGGTTATGATCCGCTACATCATTGTTACCATTACTGATGCTACTGCTACTACTACTACTAGTATTACTCGTGCTGGTCATTATTACTATTACTATTATTACTATTATAACAAACTTGTATTACTACTCAATATACATCATGGTTAAAAATGAATGCATCAGTGATGTAATTGATCAATCACAAAACAATCACACACTCACTCACACAATCATAAGTTCTACTCACCAGTCACACACGTAACTCTGTGACCTCTCATGGGGATGAGAAAGTAGGCAATTACAATTGTAAACAATAAACTTGAACTTCATAATAAAGGATTTGATCACATGACCTATGTTTGGAGGTCTAGTTGCAAACATGTTGGACAATGATGGCTTGGTTTTATTCATGGAAAGTGATGGTCAAGTCGTGAGAGATACTTAAGATTGTTTTGTGGGCCCACATCAACACAATCATTTTTGGGACCCAAAGACGCCCAACAACAGGTGATCAATTCAGGTCGTAACTACAAGCTGGATGATTAAAGATATTTGACAGAGTGGTGTGGTACTACTCCTGTGTGTGTATGTGATGCAATGATCGAGAGGAGTGTCGCATCGATGTTGTTTGCCTTGTCCCGCTTTAACGGCGATAAGTTTGACCTTTATCATAAAACCAAGTACGCATCTATTTAACATCTTGGCATCATCTTCCCCTTCTTTCCATGGCATGCCATCCATCTCACTTTCCTCTCATTCTCTCATTCTCTCATTCTCCTTTTGCACATGTTATGATTCAAACAAACAAACCATCTCCTCCCTTCAACCATCCAACCATCCATTCCATCCAACTCCATCTACGTACGCATCTTTGAATGTTGATATCGTTGTTACCAACTTCGAAGTTGTAGACAATCATCATCATCATCATCATTGACACAAAGAATAAGAATAGATAGAGATACATAGAGATAGAAGATAAAGAAAGAAGATAACACAACTCACATTCACTCACTCACTCACCTCACTCACTCGCGCTCACTCACTCACTAGCTCATTTAGTCTAAAAGGGATAGTCCCATCCCCACAGCCAACAGCAACAACAACAACATCAACAACAATGGCGACAAACATCTCCACGCAACAACAAAGAGGACAACAACAACAAAGACAACAACATTATTTATTGTATTTATTACTTGTAACATTATTATTAATAGTAACGCAACAATGTGATGCCAAGTGGAACTTGTCAAACAAGGTATCATTGACAAATAAGAGATCAGAGGTAATGGGCGCCCAATACGACTATGCCTTGATGGACTTGCCGTTGGATCGTGACTTGTACACCTATACGACCGTGCCCTGTGGCAACTACACGCCACCCGCCACCAATGCCAGCAGATGCACATGCGACTACGCCAGCCAAGGTGCCGATTGTGGCAAGCCAGTGCCCTCCAACGTTAATTGTACATGTGATTCAACTCTCTGCAGTACTGCTAGTTTTCAATGGAGGATGATAACGCCTAACCAGCCGATTAGGATCGACAATGTATCGGTGAATAGTGCTCAATATACATTCCGCTACATGCCCAATCCCAACTACATCGAGGGAGTAACTGTATGTATATATATCCCTCGCCATGAGTGGACCACTTGTCGCTCTCTTACTCACTTGCTCACTGCTCATTATTTAGTTCGTTGCAAGGATACTTAACCAGGACCCAAGGTTGGCCATTTCAGTTAAGAGTACTATCTTATCGTCAGAGTCAAACATTTCACCAGCAGATGCGAACAATAGGATGACCTTGTGCCCTACCGATAGCCTACCTGGCAAGGTATACTGGTCAAGGGGAACATTGGCCTTTTCATTCCAAGTTCTATCCACCATTAGCAATACCCGACTGTTCAACCCAAACACCACCAACATCAGTGTTGAGGTCGTCCTGTACACGGCACCAGTGCCGCCAGTCAACACGGACACCAGCGGCAAGTGTGCCAACCTGACCCCCGAGCATCAGTGCATCAACGATGGTGACTCGCTCTACTCCGCCAAGAACAACACTGCCAACTACTTCACATTTACTGTCGAGCGACCTGTCACGCTCTCCATCCGGTGCATGCTCATGGCCAGATATTTCAATCTGTTCATCTCCGACACAGATCCCCATCCAAACAAGGACTCAAACAACTGGCACTTTAAGAATTTGGACAATAGTAAGTCAATCATCCACTCAATCTCTCCAATGATAATGGCTGACTCATTAGCTTACTCCTTCTCTCGCCAAACATAGGATGGTTTGACTTCCAATCGAATATCAATGTTGGTCCATGGGATAATGGAACGAGCAAGGTGCTCTATATGAACATGGACTCTGCTATAAATTGTACATTGACGACATTCAGTCCAAAGTGGTTGACCAAGGTGTATGATGGTGGCGATGCCATTGAAGCATTTGGCGGAGCGCGTATTATCTTTGCAGACGGCAGCTATGAGAGCATGGACGACTACCCTGGCCAGAGTGAATTGTATTACGATGGACCATTCAGCATTGTCATACCACGAGACACCATCAATCCATTCTGGCCCGTACCCGGCATTATCGTCCAAGATGGATACCTCAACCAGCTCTATCCTCCAAGGAACCTTCGTAGCATAATCCCTATCAACACCGACCAGATTGCCCAGCCCAAGCCCCTCTCCTTCCAGGCCACCTACCTGTTGTCCAGGGTCACTGGCGAGTCACAGGCCATCTATAACACCTTTGAAAAGGTAGCCAAAGCCAGGCTACAGTTCACAGGTCGCTTTGTGGACATCAATGGCAATGTAAGTATCATGAGGCCTCGGGAACAATCAATCAATCATTCAATCCCATAATCTAACTCACAATCATACATAGCCACTTGATGACTCAGTTCAACTTGATGTAGCACCAGCAAATATGATGTGCGACTATGCGAAGTACCAAGCGACAATGGATCTCATCAAGGTGTATGAGCAGAACATGTCGACAACAAACGACTTCCAAAGTCTGGTCGTTCTTAGGTATAATATGGACGTGCTCTCGTTCATGGACGTTTGGCAGACATGCACTCAGCAGGCATCCAACTACCTTGTCTTGGAGACCAAGAACGTCACACTGATGTCCAGCTCATGTCCATATGATTTCGACACGCCACAGTTCGTTCAGGACCCTTGCTGCAATCGGTTCTACAAGTTCCGTCAGTGCTGCCTGCCTCGCAGCGTGACGCTCACCAAGTCTGTGCTCCGCGGATTTGACTCGGACTTGATCTCAGACCAATGTACTAGCCCTGGCTGCACCAAGTCTGTGCTACAGGACTACTACTCATCGGCACAGCGCTTGGACAGTGGCGAGTGCCAGCTCTCAATGCATAGCATCGACCAACGCATGGCCGATTTGGTAGATTTGGTCCAAAGTTGCAAAGACCAGGCCTACCAAACAATTTGGTGCAAGAGCGATGGAGACTGCCCTACTGGCGGCGTGTGCAGTCTATACACACGCGCGTGCCTCACCAGCCCCCAGTCACAGGACAAGGCCTACATCACGTGCGTGCTTGGTGGCTTGGCCAAGTCCACCATCTACACGCTGAAGCAGCAACTGGGCGCGTCCAACCTCACAGACAGTGACCCGATCCTCACTGACCTAGTGTACAATCGATACAGGATGTTGGACTGTGTCTCACCCATTGGAAACAACAACTACCGCACCAAATACGTCAGGCGGCCATTGGTTAGGCTTGGCAAGTACCCTTGCTATGACACCCTGTGTAAAGTGCTACACAATGCAAACCTTGATTACAGCTCTGGACTCCTGAACCCGTGGACTATGGCTCTACCAATAGCGTCGACACAGGTATGTGCGCTCTACGGATTGTGTCCAGGCCGGGAGCAGGCATGTCTTGCCAGCAACCCAGCCTGTGCCAACACATGCACCAAGGGCAACTTCTGTGGCTACTGCTCATCCCCGAACTCATTGTGCCACGTGTTCCCATCGCTCACCAACGCCACGACCTGCCCTGACAACCGTGTATGTCTACTATCCAACGGCGTGTTCAACACCACGGCAACCGATGCTGAGTGCTCATCGATGGGCTCGTGCTCGACCAACTGCGGCTACAAATGCGCTGGACCCTACACAGGCTGCTTCCATCAAGGTGCAAATTTCGGCAATTGCAGCGTGAACTACACGTGGGATCCCACAAACTCATTGTGCACAGCGCCAAGCTTGTCGAATCAACAATGCACCGATCAAGGTCTGAGCTGGGTTGATTGTTCCACAATGACCGAGTACGAATGCACTGACTATAGGGGCTCCAACCCCACCGTTCCCATATGCTCTGCCCAGCCCATAGCTTGTACGACTCGCGAGCAATGTGAGTCAGCTGGCACCTGCACCGACCTGGTCTACCTCGACACCGCGCTTGGAAGGTGCGTTCGCAATCATACCCAAACTGTTGATCCCGGCCAGCCAGCCTGTCTGAATTCGGAAACAGACTCGCCAATGGGGTGTTATAACCAAACAAAAGATCAAATTCTTACTAAGGCTCAGTGTACCTCGCTCGGCCTAACATGGTGGACGGCAGCCACCTCCAAGGACCAGTGCCTGTCACCACTGGGATGTCTTATGACTGACTACTCCAACACCACCGTTGGCCAGCGACGCTTCAATGAAATGGGCGAGCAGCAGTGCAATCAATGTGGCGCCTCAGACCAGTATCAGTGGACCAACAAATTCGCGTGGACGCCCGCCAAGTGGCTGCCTGGCGTGATGACCAACGCTCAATGGTACAGCAATGTTGGATTCGTCCAAGGCAGCACATACCAGGACTCATTCTCTTTGGATGCCTTTGCGACCAATTTGAGCGCCATTGTCATGTTCAGCCAAACCAGATCCAGTTGCCAATTCCAGAGGGTCCAGGTCAGCGTAGACACCATCGCCTGCAGCTGCTCCGGTCCAGGCAATAGCCAGTGCTTCCAGTCAACGTCCGTGCCCACCCAGACGGTCCAGGTCTGTGCTTTGGAGCAACAGAAGAGTCTCTTTGCCAACGGCTACATTACATTCAATTCGAATTCAGTGGCGTCACAATGTATCAATGTGAAGCTCCTGGATGCTAGCAGACAGACCATGGCAGCTTCACCAACACGTGTGGCACTCAGCGCAGAGTTTGTAAACTATCTCGCACCAATCGGCTTTGGAGTCACCAACAAGGATGGAGCATTCATTGGACAGGTCATAGGCGATGGCGTGGGCATCGACGGTGCAGTCTCCAACTACACACTGTGTCTGGGCGTGGACTCTGACGCCAGCATCGATAGAAGCTACCACGTCTACGACCTTGGCCTGCGCCAGGACAATCTCAATCAGTCCAACCTTCTCTTGCCAATGGAGGTTACCACCGTTCCAGGCCAATCAAAGGATGGCCAGAGTTTAATATGCGCCACCATCACACAGGACATCACTGGCTACACAGTCTTCCCAATCGCCCGTGTGAGCAACTGGAGAACTGCCAAACGCGAATACTTCACCAATACTCAGCGCGTACTGATGTACATACTGGCAACCATGTACTGCTTGTGTGCGGTGTGGGGCTTGTTCCAGATTGGCATCATCATACTCAAGCTGGTCAATCGCCACGAGGGCACCAAGCTGACACACGCGCTCATCACGGCCATCACGGCATTCACCTTGATCCGTGCCATCTACTTCTACATGCTGCCATCTGGCACGCTCTACAGCTTCGAGGCGTCGGACTATGTACTTGTCATTCTGCCCACGTTCATCTACTTCACGTCGTTCTCATTCATCCTGGCGCTCTGGTACATTATCATCAGCTCGGACATGCTACAGAACTACATGAAGCGACTCAAGCGCATCATCATCGTGCTCAATGGAGTGTTGTATATCGCCTGCATCATCATCATCCTGGTGTTCAACTTCTCCAAGAGCACTCGATCCTCTAGCTTCTGTGGCGGCCGTTTCCTCGAGACCCTCTCCAACTCCAAGACACAGACCATCATCTCGTACTTCTACGGTATTCTTCAAGCCACCATCTCGCTGGTCTTTGGTGTGACTTTCATCTACTTGGGCATCAGGATCAACAACATGCTGGGACACAGCAAGGAAAGGACACTGCGCACACCATCGCGATTCAAGGCGCTGGCGAACCGCATGTCGGATCGCAAGGTGCAGCTATTCTTTGTGACGGTGACCTGCTCTTTCGGACTGATACTGCACAGCGTGTTTGTGTTGGTGTTGGTGTCTGCTCGCTACGCCAACATGATATTCAGCTTTATCTGTCTCATATTGTCCGAGCTCCTGCCTGCATTCACCATCTTCACAGTGTACAACCAAGGCAAGGTACGCGAGTTCCTCAAGAACAGCGGTGGCAGTGGAGGAAGACCATCACAGGCCAGCACCACCATGTCAAGCACCGAGGCCGGCAGCAAGATGAGGACACTCAACTCGTCTGGATCAATGTCCACCATGACCCAAAACTAAGTTTGAACTTCAATAAACTAGAGGGACTCCCTCGCCCAACAAATTGGTTCAATTTGTAGAATGACCCCATCACTTGATCAACCAACCAATAACTGAGACAAAGCCAATCAATGAATCTTCATTCATTCAATCATTCATTCATCAAACAAAGATACAAATACAGCAATGGCACCAAAGAAGGTTTGTAGATTACAAGAGACCCATTGAGGCCCACCCAGGCCCAAAGCCTCGGGCCTCTTTATCAGACCCTCCCACTAATGATATGATCAAACAATAACAAATATAGATATTGATGATCGTAGGAGACTACGTTGAGGACTATGAGTGTATGGTCCCATTCCAAGCATTGGAGATGGTTGGTCATGTGGTTCACGCAGTGTCACCAGGCAAGAAGAATGGAGACTTCATTCAGACTGCTGTACATGACTTCTTGCCAGGTGAGCAGACATATACAGAACTCAGAGGTCACAGATTCAAGATCAATGCATGCTTTGATGAAGCCACCGAAGCTGCCTACGATGCTCTCGTCATCCCAGGTGGTCGTGCACCAGAGTTTCTCAGATTAAATGAGAAGGTCATTCGCTTGGTGCAGGAGTTTAACAAGTCCAAGAAGCCAATCGCATCCATCTGTCACGGTCCACAGATCCTGGCGGCAGCCGGAGTAGTCAAGGATGTCAAGTGCACCTCATACCCAGCATGCAAGCCCGAGTTGATACTTGCAGGTGCAAAGTTCCAAGACCTCCCAGCCGACAAGGCAATCGCTGATGGCAACCTGGTCACTGGAGTAGCATGGCCTGGACACTCAATCTGGCTTGCACTATTCCTTGAGAAACTTGGCACCAAGATCACACTCTAAGTCATCCATCTCAGTTAATCAATCATGGTCATTCATCATCATCATCGGTCAGTTTGATTAAAAGGAGTAATACGAGATAACTCTCATATGTGAATGTTTATTGTTGATGGACACCTCTGGTCCATGGACTGACTGACCCTCTCGGACTCTCTCACTCGAACGTGGACTAGACTTCTTAGAGCTCACGGACGAGATATGATTGCCATGGGCACCAGACGTTGCCAGGGAGGAAGTGAGTTCCAACCTCAGCGAGATGCTCCTCGACGTAGGCAATGTCAGCGTCACAGACCTCGGCGGTAGTGTCAAAGAAGCGGATGGTGGTGGTGTTCAGCTCGTAGGACCACTCGCTGTTGTACCATGCCTCTCTCTTGATGATGGTACCCATGATACGTGGCTGGTCCTCGGTGGTCTTGGCAAGCAGAGCACGGGCATGCTGGATCTTGGCTGGGTCAGAGAGCTTAATTACAAACTCATCCTTGTGTGATCCATCCTGGAACACAAAGTAGGCATTTCTGGCTTGGGCCAAAGCAATGGTAACAAGCAACAATGTTGCAATGACTTGGTATGACTTCATTATTTATGATAGGAAAGAGATAATTGGATTATTATATTGATTGATTGGATATATTTTAATTGTGTTTCCGTTAATTATTTATAGTAAATCGATAGTTGATGAAGTTGTCCCATCATTGGAACTCCGATCATGTCCCAGATGTTCACTTCCCCGGCCCCAATTCTCCAGGGACATGTTTGCAGGTTCACCTTTTTCAAAGGTCTCACGACCAAACATTAGGTTTGATCACTTCTGATTTGGAACCACTAAAGGCGTGATCGTCGTTGTATAGGGTCACAAGTCATATATCTCCTCGGATCACAAACCCACACATACTTCGTCCATGTTTAATTAATATAACAACGACTTGTCCAGGGTTGGATTAATACCGGTTAATGGGACAACTTGGACAGTTAGTTAGTAAATACGATGATCGAGGAAAAGTAGTTTGAATGATTGATCGAGCGGGATATCCGAGTACCACAACAAGAGTGAGCGAGATAGATAGTGATGGGTCGTTTATTCGAATGAATGTGTGTCCTACCAGAGTGATTGGCCATCGTATGGTCTGTATTCAATAGTTGGATGTATGTATGGATGATGTTGTGTTGCCTGCCAATGTGTTTGCGTGAGCGTGGATGATAATACAACTTGTACAAGGCCAACAACAACTGGATACTCTGTTATGTTCTCAATCAAAGTGTAGTGTTGAGTATATCCTCTTGATGAACCAGAGGTTGCCAAGGAATCCAATCGAGGAGAAGAAGAATGCAGACATTACTGATACCATCAGACAGAACATGAAATAGTAGAACCTAGTTCCACTTGTAGCCAATGGCATTCCATAAATGAGCAAAAAGATGAATATATAAATCGATGTGCATGATGGTCCAATGATTGATCTCCACCACCAATTATAGTCCTGGTTGATTGAATGATTGAATGATAAAGTTAGTAATGATGGAGATAGTGGCATGCCATGCCTAACACATACCTCTCTTGAGAGTTGATAGTATGAGATCAACATGTTGAGTACCAGTACATTGATGACCAGCAGGATGAATGCTATACAGAGGTCATAGGAGTTGTTGACGTGGAAGCCATAAAACATTGGACCAACGATGAAGTTGATCTGAGCGTATATCACTGCGAATGGCAAGAATCCAAATACAAGAGAGTGGAAGTAATGATTGGCGTACCACTTGGCCTTTGGTATCATTCTTGGAATGTGATTTGGTCTAAAAGGGTATTCTGCTGGCTATAGTAATCGAACGAATGAATGAATGGAGTTAGTTTGATTGAATGATTGATTGAATGAATGAATGAAACTTACTGGCCATGAGTTTACAAAGTATGAACTGAGAAGTGAAAGAGGGCATGATAGGAATAGCCACATGGACAATACAAAGATAACCTCACTTGCAGATGGTTGATACAGGTAATCATTGCTCCACAATTGAATCCTTGATATAAACAATAGAATCATAATAACGAATGGGACCAAGTATGCATTCTAAGTTGAGTGAGTGATTGATTGAGTGAGTAAGTATGATTGAGTTCATGGTTGAATGAGTCTGGTCCAGACTACATACCAAGATGGCATTATGTCTCTTTCTTGAACCACCAAGCATAATATATGTCCTCATTGATGCGTATCCACTGAAGAGACTATTGATTGATTGTATGAGTTAGTAAATGAATGATCGAGTGAGTGATCAGTTTGAACGATGAATGAATACATACCCGCAAAAGGCAAAGATAAGGACTGTGGCCAACTCGAATGAACCTGGATTGGCGATACTTAGGAGTCCAGCCACGTCAAAGACCATGAGAACGAATGATGCCACGGCAATCTGCATGCCAACACCAATGATGACACTGAAGGTCATGAAGTTGTTGGGTGAACGGAAGACATCGGCGTAGATCGACTTCCAGCCAGACTCGCCCAGACGGACAAAGCCAATCGAGTCATTCTTGAAGATGCGGTACATGATCAATCCGAGCAGCGCACACTCTAGCGCCGTGATGAAGAAGGCAATGGCCGTCGACGACCACTCTATCGCTGCCGAGTGTGGGTAGTACACGTTCCAGCGGTCCTCCCACGGTGTGTTTGAGTAGCGAATGCTCTGGCCGTAGGTCCACAGCATCTTATTTTCCTCATCCTTTACCAGCTCAAGTGGGTTAATCTTGTCTGCGCAGCGTTCTTGATTGATTGACCTTGGTTCGATGGTCACCTTTGTCACATAGTATGGTGGTAGAGTGTTGTTATTCTTATCCAATGACTTGTATTCAATGTTGAAGTTCAGGTGATTATAAAGGAAATATCGTTTCTGTTTTGATTGAATGATTGATTGATTGATTGAATGAATGATTGTCAGTGCTCGAGTCGAGTGATTGAGTGAACGAGAGATCTGATCATACTTGTCCATCGATCACCTTTGAGAATCCAACAGGTGATCCTAGAAGTATGTATGTGTTGTTTCCGTCATCGGTTGTAAACTCCTCGCCAGTCGGCAGTCCATCTACATAGCTGTTGATTGATTGATTGAATGAATGAATGAATGAATGAGTGAATGAGTATGATGAGGTATGATTGATTGATTGTTTGCTTGCTTGCTTGCTTACAAGTGAACACGATAGTTTTCCTCGATCAGCTCAATGAATGTATTAACATCACTTGCTGGAAGCTTTACCATTTTCTGGTCGTTTAGTTCCGTGCAGTTTGTGCTCACCATAGCGTTTAGTGGATAGACTGATTGAAAAAGTCTGTTGCCACTGAACTTGAACATGAATGATCCCTCTGTCGTCTTTTGATTCGGTTGAGGATAAGGTAACTTGGTGAATGGGTATGATTTCAAGTATGATGTAATCTTATTCGACTATATTATTATTGTGTGATTGATTGATTGTTAGTTAGTATAACTCATTCATTCAATCAATCAATCATTCAATCATTCATTCAATCATTCAATCATTCAATCAATCGATCAAACAAAGTGTGAACAACATACTCTAACTATTAATGGTTGATTTGTATCATATGGTTTTGGTGTTTCAGGTGAGAGGTATCTTGCATCGACTTGACCAATCTGTGATGTCATCGTAATGAATAATAGAGCAATCAATAATAGTATCTGTTGATGTGACTTGCCTCGTAAGGCTCCTCCTGTCATGTTTGTATTCATGATGATGGTATATCACTCTCACTTAGTGATATAAATAATAAATATATGTTTTGTAATATATATAAATGAAAGTAGTTTTCAATAATAATTGAATGTTCTAGAAGATGTACTTGTATTATTATGCTGACTCGAGTGTCGGTGACTCAGGCAAGTCAACTAATAACATAATAATAATAAAAATCTTGTTGAACCTTTCAATTCACCCACTTCTTTGTTTTGTTGTTTTCCGACAACTAATCGATTCCTTCAAAAGTGGGTCCTAGTTTGGACTTGAATACAAAGGACTCAACATATATATACATATACACACAAAATAATAATAATTAAATGGTCATTATAATGTTCATAATATATTCGTTAAAGCCATATTAACAACCGATATACTAATAATAAATACTGACAAAGATTGAGTAAAAATAAGAAATTGGATTGGATCGATCTTCATCACCTGGCACGCCAGAGTTGCCACCTTGCACTTCAAGTATGAGGTGAAAGATGGTCATCCCATAAATAATGAATCATTGGCCAATTCTTGTGAGTATGTTGGTCAGACCAGATAGATGTACATCTACATCATCTGGAATTCCAATGAATGAATGAGCAGATTTAATCGTAATGAAGATGTTGAAGAGATATGAGTAGAGTACAGACTAGTCAAGATCTGGATGAAATGAGTAGGTGCTCATCTCATCGACCTTGTCCTCAAGTATATATACTCAACTCATCTTTCAACTTCATCATTGACTCATCAATCAACAAACATATATTATATAATAATGAAGATAAGTTGTAATAAAGTATTGGGTGTGTTGGAGAATGCTTTGGTACAATGTAAGAGGGGAGCGATGTTCTTGTGCAAGGGCGAGAGTGAGTTGCCAATGCCGAGAATAGAGGTGAAGGATGTTGGTCTACTCTCATACCCAGTGCGTCAAGATCAGTTGCAAAGTATGATTGGACGAGCCACCCGTGCACCATTTGGCAAAGGAACCGAGACAATCACCGACCTCAGCGTGCGACGAGTCTGGCAGATACAAAGCACTGACGTCAACATCACTGGCCGCCACTTCCAAGCCTACTTTGACACGATCACCAAAAGCATCAAGGAGTCGATGGGTCTGACCAACGAAGAGGTCACCGCAGAGTTGTACAAGCTACTGGTCTATGACAAGGGCAGCTTCTTCCTGCCACATCGCGATACTGAGAAGGCTGACAACATGTTTGGAACACTAGTGTTGTCATTGCCATGTCCACATCGAGGTGGAGACCTGGTGGTCAATCACTCGGGTCGTGATGAAGTGGTGTCATTGGAGAATGACTCAATGTCATTGATCAAATGGACCGCATTCTTTGCCGATTGTCAACATGAAGTCAAGCCTGTCACTGAAGGATGCCGTGTCTGTCTCGTCTACAACCTGTTGAGATCGGGAGGCACCAAAGTTAACATCAACCCAGAGTCTGAACCCATAATCAATGCAATCAATCAAGTATTTGGCCGTGGTGACGATGTGATTGATCCAACAAGTCAAGTGATGTTCCAAAGAAACTAGTTTATACACTTGATCATGTATATTCCAAGTCCAACTTCACATTGGAGTCACTCAAGGGCAGTGATGCAACATTGGCCCGCACACTACTTGCTTTTGCCGATGAGCAAGGACAATCCAAAGTGATATCCGATTGTGAGTCTGATGTATCCGGCTTCTTGACTGTCTTTGGAATATTCTGATTGGCTACATGTTCCCAGAGTTTGGAATATTCTGTAGAGTTAGCAAACTCTGGACATTTGTTCAAATGTCCAAGCAACAATATCAACACCGATTGAGGGTACTCAATCAACTGGTCCTCATGATAACTCATTGCTCTTGGTCTCTTGACACATAGATTGTTGTTGACAAATTGAGAGAGGTGTGATTTTCTGGGATGCAACAATCTCCAAATGAGATATAGTTTGTAAGCAGTTTGATTGTCATCTGTCATTTCAAGATCGTATCTGTATCCAGACAGAGTCTTGAGTATTGAATCATAGTAGGTGCAATCACTGACCCATGTTGGATGAGCTATGTTGATTCGTTCGATATGTGGCAACCCTGGAAGTAGGTATTCCAATTCAATTGAGATGGATTTGGCAAGACTGAATATCTTTTGATACATTTGGCAATGTAATGAGTCGCTGATATATATTGGATTGTTGCCATCGGCAAGAGAGTTGGCCATACTCTCAATCCTTGTTAACATAGTTGCTATTGTTACTCTTGTATCTTCATTATCAAATTGTCTCCATATTAAATATCCTATCTTTGGCATTAGTATACCTTGTGCAACAACTATTAACTTGTGAATTAATCGTTGCCTCTGTCCATCTATATCGTATACCTTGTGTTGTTGAATGATGCTAATCATTGTATCACATTGATTGATATTATTCAATCTTTTGATAATAAGTTCTGTCATCATTGGTAGTAATGTAACTCCTCCTCCAATGTGATCTAGCATATTTGGGGTACGATTGATGATGTCCAATAACTTGAACATGTTCATTCCATCAATCAATGGTACAACAGTTGTGAATGATGAAATCACTCTATTGATTGATTCTTGATTCATTGATTGCTGTTGAACAATAGTTCCAAGAATGTATCTTGATGCATATTTGTTCGATATAGAGTGCCAGTGGACTTTATCATGGCCAATATCATCTTGGGAAGATATGTGTAATCAACTTTGATCTTGGACAATAGTCCAATAATATTGCTGACTAACATTGATGTAGTATTAACTCTTTTCAATGACCTGGTCATTTGAATGAAGAGGTCATGTGTTGCCAGAGGGTTGGCATCCACTCCTCCAAGTTTGTTCAACTCCATTTCCAAAATATCCATAGCATAATCCTGCGAGTTGACCATCGTGAACTTGCCCAAGACCTCTGTACTCCATATCACTATCGATACTCTTTGATACAATCGTTCATACAATGCACCTTGATTACCTAATTTGGGAATAAGTAAGTACATTGATTGAATGATCATAACTTGTGATGAAGTTGACATACCGTGGCCTCAATGGCTTCCTTTGAATATGGTTTGATCCCGTTAAGACATCCATCGGGCATGATCTCATTATTGCTGAGTGGCAGAGTCTCCTCAAGCACTGTGCCAGTCTCCAAGTCTTTGACCTCCTTCAGTGTGATTGTGGTGTTGTCTGGTCTTTCAAAATATGATTCATGTGCCACTCCTTCTCTGTACATATCCATCACATGTCATGTTAGTCATCACTCTTGGTCCTTTCTATCAGTCATCCATTGGATACTTACTCTTTGATGTGTAAGAATGCAAGGCCTAGTCTAATCCGGGCCTCCCTCTGTAAAGATTTGAATAGATTCCTACAATCAAAGGACATATCAAATAATATATCAATACCAAGTCGTGATGTGTATCATTTGGAATTCATCTCAATATATGTCATAGTCTATACCAGATCAAGCCAAACAACTACAACAATGATAATATAATTATCAATCAACTTCAAGATCTTATCAACAGATGTCCAGCTCCAGAAGTCTATCCACATACCTTGGCCAACATCATCACGCTCACTGAGCCTCCAGTTATTGATCCAGCAATCCTTGATGATGAGGATGAGTATGATGATGAAATGGAAGTATAAATAAATATCCACGAGAGATCATCTTCACCTCACACATTCCATCAACTTCAAAATTTGATCATTCACCACATTATATTGGTTATTCTTTGAACTTACTTACTTACTTATAACATATATACATATACGTAAACAGATACAGATACAGATACAATGTTTGAACAATGACAACAACACCAACTACATCATCATCATCATCATCAATTACATTTGACTCATTCAATCCAATAAAGTACTTGAGACAGAGCGAACAGGCAAAGTTGAACATACCAACTTGGTTACGTACAATACAGAGCACTATATTGGATACAGACTTCTTGGAGCTCATTAGAAATGTTGCTGAAGCAGTCTCACGTGAAGAAGAAGATCGCATCATCTCAGCACAGCTCATCAAACTCAAACAAGCATTCTCTCAAACTGATCAATCGGTATGTTTGAAAGAATGAATGATTGATTGATTGAATGAATGAATGTATCTAACTTGCAACCAACGATTGACAACATGTAAAGAGAGAGAAGAAGAGAGAATGTTTGATTAGGATGATATACTGCCACATGCTTGGATATGAGGTGCCGTTTGGACATGTACAGGCACTTAATATGACACAGGATCCATTGATGTTGAATAAGAGAACTGGTTATTTGACATTGTCTTTGTGTCTACCAGAGAAGCATGAGTTGCTTATTATGGCAGTCAACTCTATATTGAAAGGATTGTCAAGTACAAACTACCTAGAGGTGTGCTCAGCACTGACAGCCCTGTGCAAATTGGTCGATGTCGAGACCATCCCAGCATTCGTACCCAAGGTGGTCGCACTGCTCTCAAACAACAGCACCAAGCCACTGGTACGCAAGAAGTGTGTGAGTGTACTACATCGCTTCTGGTTGTTGGCTGGCGCCGACATGCTCGAGCAGGTACAAGATCGACTGCGCATCTCACTCAGCGATAAAGATCCCTCGGTCATGGCGGCATCACTATGCTTCTTTTTGGATATATCGGCGCGACCAGACACTGCGCACACCATCAAGGATCTCATCCCATCGTTTGTCAGCATACTGAAGCAGGTGGCAGAGGGTCGTCTACCCGGCCACTACATCTACCACGGTGTCTGTCATCCCTGGCTACAAATCAATCTTCTCAAGCTACTCTCCAACCTTGGTGCCAACGACCCCAAGGCCTCCGATCAAATGTACCAAGTGATCCTATTCACAATATCCCTGGCACTCAAGTACAAGAACAATGCAGGCTTAGGTATGTTGCCCTTCACTCAATTCATCTGATCACGAACTTACCCTCCCCCTACCTTCGACGCAGCCATCCTGTACGAGTCAATTCAATCACTCACAGTGATTGTACCGAATAGCAATGCATTGGAGTCATCAGTGAAGCATGTTTCAGTGTTGTTGGCATCGAGACATAACAATTTGAGATACTTGGGCATCAAGGTATTGACTTCAATCGTCAAGGTCGCACCCAAATGCGTGACACAATACCAATTGGATGTGATCGAGTGTCTTGAATCCACCGATGAGACACTGAAGCGAAAAAGTCTAGATCTACTATATCGCATGACAAACAGCAAGAACATCGTGCCGATATGCGCCAAGTTGATGAACCATCTCGTGTCGACGGGCGACCAACAGCTAAAGCGTGAGCTCGTGTCAAAGATCTCTGATCTTGCCGAGCGCTACTCCCCCAACGACTATTGGTACATCGAGACTATGATACGAATGCTCAACATTGAGGGCCAGCTTGTGCAGCCACCGGCTGCCTACAACCTCATCAGATTGATCGCTGGTGGTAGTGGCCAAGATGACAACGAAGCCGAAGACATCAAGATCAAGCAACACGCCGTCAAGCTATGTCTAGTCGCGATTGACTCACTGGGGCCTCTAACTCAGCAGCACACCTCCAACACAACAGCAAACGAACTGCTGCTCAAGGTGCTCGCATGGGTGTTGTCAGAGTACTCATACTTGTTGCTTGGCGAGATATCGATCGAATCAGTCATCAATGCACTCTGCGATCAAATGGACAAGGAGTACAGTGGCGAGGCAAAGTCATGGATACTTGGAGGCCTAGGCAAGCTCACGTCACAAGTTGGCCGCTTGCTGCCTCAGGTGTCGATCGTGGCCAAGAAGTACATCGCCTCACGTTCATTGATCGCACAGAGAAAGGCAATGGAGCTGATGGAGATGGCAACGATGCCAAAGGCAATGATGGAGGAGGTGATGCCAACAGACTCATTCTGCGAAGACATTGACCTTAAGCTTTTTGCTCGACACTGTGATGTCTATGCCAAGAAAGCTGTTGCCAAGGGTGCCAAGACATACAAGCCCAATCAAATAAGAAGGACCACCAACAACAAGAACAACAGCATCATTCAATTAGTCGATCTCCCTTCGATATCACCTCAGACAACAGGTAGTTCCACTTCACAGGCACCCAAGAAGGAGCTCAACTTTGAGTATCCATCACCGCCATCATCATTCACAATGCAACAACAGAAGATGTACCCGACTCAATCATTCTTCTCCAGTCCACAGGCACAACACTCATCATCTCCACCTTCCTCACAGTTGGTCGAGGTCGATGCTGAGCCCATGCCAATGCCCACAAACATGTCACACGAGGCATTGAACCAACCAAACACCAACAGTCCTCGCAACCAACAACAACTACAACAGCATCAGACTGAGGTGATGCCAAGTGTTCCAAAGTCCGCCAAGGTGGTATGGACAAAGAAAGGATTCGTCGGACAAACAGCACCTCCACCTCAACAGACACAACTCTTACAACAACCAAACTTGGCTGCTCCTCCTGTTGCTTCACAACCTCAGGTGTCTCCACAACAGCCACCAACACAACAACCTCCAACTACTGCTGTTGTTCAACCCGAGAGGCCACAGCGTGTGGTTGATCCCAAGAAGGAGAAGATGGCCAAAGAACTATTTGGTGGCTTGTCGAACGATGATGAAGAAGATGACGCCAATCAATCAAGAGTGTCAAGTCGATTGAACAGAGCTAAGAACAAGACTACACACGACTCCCCTGACCAGTCACCAATCTCCTCAGCGGCATCCCTTTTGGTCAATCTTGATCTTTCAAACATGTCCTCCAAGCCAGCACCAATCAGTGGCAGTACACCACCATCAAAGAAAACACCATCAGTTCATTATCCATTGTTGGATTTAGAGTCACCATCTCCCGCTGCCAAACAATCGCCCATTCATTCATTATTGATGGAGTTGACACCAACCACCTCATTGATGGATGAGGACCACACTTCAGCGGACTCAACCAATCAACTGGCGACGCAACAACAGCATTCTCCGCCACTCCCCGTATCCACTCCTCTGGCAACACAAATCAATGCTGGCACTTCATTTACAATGAACAATCTCACACTTACACCATTGCTCAAGAGATATATATCATCAACGTCATCAAACCAACAACAACAACTGTACAGTGATCACAATATAGTAGTATCGATCGTTAAGCAGTGGCACAACTCACAGCTCACAGTACTCATGCTGATATCAAACAATCAATCGACCAAGCCTCTAAAGTCAATCAACAACATCATAGTTGGTAACGATCATCTCAAGGTATGTGAGCGAGCAAGCGAGTCATTCATGGTCAATCACTCACTCTTGCCTCCATTCTAGATTGAGTTTGATGGCGACTCCATCGTATCGATCAAACAGCAAAAACAAGAGCAGAGACAGCAACAAGCAGTATTGCTGTCTGTTGATGAACTGCCTCCAAAGCTCACTGTGGTCAGCATTGTAAAGGTCGACTTGAAGAAGGTTGGCTATGGAATAGTGTTGTCATCAACGATAGAGTATAGGATTAGCGATAACAATCAACAACTCAAACTACCCAGCCTCTCGATACCAATTGAGATCACAGACTTCCTTCGACCACACGAGTTATCCAAGGAGCAGTTTGATCAGCTTTGGACATCATACATACAGGACCGAGAGATAATAGTGGATCGATCACTACACACAAGGGCAAACCAATTGGTGCCATACTTCACAAGGGGACTTAGTCTCCACATGGTCGACAGTGTCCAGCAGGACAAGGACAAGGACGAGGAGGCATACGGTTGCAGCAAACTGGTTATGAGTGCTGGTGTCAACATTGCAGCGGGTGGGATTGTGCTGTTCCGCATGTGTCTTGCACCTGGAAAGATATCGATCAGTGTCAAGACGAACGACAAGAACTTTTCAGATGTAGTATCCAGACATTGTTATCGAATTCACAACTCAACATTGGTATCACTTGCCGCAACCTCAGTAGCAACAGCGAACAAATAGAATGGCATGGCGTTCCAAACTACATCTCGTGCATGTAAAATAAAACTATGTACATTGATTGTCCCATCCAATTACAAGTCATTGTCTGTCCTCCATATCCCCGAGTCAACTCGATCATTCGTGTGATGGGTGTGTGTGTGTGGACAAAGTCATCTGATCCACCCTCATGCTCACACACATTCACACAGACGACGATGATCAGATCATTTGTGAGGATGTGGATGGGTGGGTGGTGGGTGGACTATCCATCGCGACTTACTATGACTCCGATCACAGTTTGAGACCAACAATGTTATGCCAAGAATGTGTTGCCAAACATGGAATTGATCAATCACTTCCATTCATTTGACCAATCCATCAAACTCGAAAGACAATAAGACAGGACATAGGATTTGAGGAATGGTAGAATATAGTGTCTACTTATTTATAAAGGATCAATTATATGATAGAGCAGGAGGATATGCAGTGGCACTTCAATGTGCCCTTGTATTCAGATTAGTCGATATTACACTAATACTTATAATGTATAATTCAATCACTCCATGGTTCATATTGATCACTTTAACTTTAGATATATTATGTATGTATACATACTTCGAAGACTCACTTCCATTCTACATTCATACTAACTTGATCTCAATCAAATATAGGTACAATTGTAGGATACATTGGAAGTTATAAAAGACATATTATATGTCTATTTATTGTATGTTACCGGATCCAAATATATTATCATACACAATCACTAACTCAATCAATCAATCAATCAGTTCTTTATATGTAGTGTAGTATTATTCTTATTATTATTTATTCCATTAATTTTGATACATTCGATCATGTGGAGTTCGATGAATACTTCAAGTATTAATGTTGGTCAGACAGTATTACAAGCATGTATGTTTGGTTTCGATCTGGCTTCAATGTATCTAGCAAGAAAGGAACGTGCACTATTACAGAAGTTGGAAAAGAATAGAATGTTGGATGGAGATACATCGTACAATATTCGTATCAAATCCTGTATAGTGACATCCAGTGCACCGATGGTCGACTCTGAAGGCTTCTACCTGGCGCCTAAAGATACCGATCCCTATCGCCTTGAGCCAGGTGGTGCAACCAAATGTGTCGATCCATCATTTATTATCAATATTCCACTGTCACACTCTTTGGATTTCCAATCGATGGCTCCTGAAGGTACAATGGTCTGATCATCTCAATTGATCCTAGATCAATCATTCTATGAATAATTTGATTGATTGAACGATATAAATTAATAAATATGTATAGAATATACCTTCCTGGAAGTAAATATCATACCTTAATTAATTGATGTTCGTTAACGTTGTAGTATATGTACATATAAATTATGGTTTAGAATGAGAGAATACACTGATCTTGCTTGTGTATGAATAGACCCAGAAGTTACAGAATCCTGGATTGATTGAATGGTTTGGAAGGTTTTAGAGATTTTTCCAAGTCATTGACTGATGTAAATATTTGGAAACTTACCTTGTGATGGTACAAGAAGATTCTGGATAACCATCAATGGATAGAATGAACATGTTGATATATATGACAGGATATGTTGGGCAATATCTGGTAACCATACAATGATGAATACCAATATATATAATGTCAATCTCTTTGATATAGTTTCATCAATATGTTTAAGTCTCTCTGAATAATATATATATTTCATTTGTTAGTATATGTTGTTTGAATGAGAGTTTGTCTGGACTTGACTTGACTAACTTACCATTGTAGTTTAACCTTGCTTCGAACTTCTCTCTAAACAATCTCTTTAGTTTGATGTAGAATCCAATACAGACTACCATACATATTGTCAAAGGTAGGAACCACACAACAATCTCTTGAACACTCTTCAACTCGCACCATCCTACACTTGGTTCCTGGACAATTGAATTGGTAGTCACCAATGACAAAGTGATCACAAATGATGTTCCAAGTGATATAAAGGCGAATATCTTCATCAAATGTGGACTGATCACGTGATTGATTGATTGAGTCAGTGTGGGGGTGAGTGGAGTGGAATGATTCCAGGATAGGGGTACTTACTGTGGCTTTGGATGTGAAAGTTGGTAATAGAGATAGAAGGCAATGCAACATGTGATGATGAAGGTTGTCATGTACCAGAATTGAATGTTGGCTCTAAGTGCTATACATGGTGATAATAATACTCCATAAACTGATACTGATGTATAATAGTTGGGCATACCGGATAATAGGAATCCAGTTGATAGTATAATATCAAGTGATGTCAAGTAATCTGATATGGCCAACATGCACACAAGGAATGGCAATCGAGAAGACATGATGCTGGGCTTGGGTCGGACCAGTGGCGTGGACTCCTCTTCGGGACTGCCACCGACAACACCAAATCCTCCACCTTTAGTCTCTCTCGAGTTATTTATCCTCTCATGTTCCATTAGTTGTTTTATAAACTCTTTCTCTGCTTTGTTATCATTATATTTCTTTCTTAAATATGATATAATAGTTAATAGACTACCAATCATAGACAATGATGCCATTACAATATTTATAATGTCCAGCGCTGCCTTTTGATCATGATTGGGTGCTCCACAAAATGCATCATTCAATGTCATTTTGGTTGTTGTAGTTGTTGTTGTAGGTTGTTGTTGTTGTTGTTGGTGTTTGAGTTTGGAGTCAAGAGTTGTGATTGATGGATTGTGATTGAATGTATGTGTATATATATGTTTGTTACAACTTTGATAATTGGTAGTTGTTGGAGAAGAAGTTGGAGAATATCCCAACACGACCCAAACCTTTAGGACAAAGTATTCCACTCCGTAATATTATTATTGATTTCTAATTGATAGGATAGAGACACCGACACAACATCTACACCGGTGACACACACAAAGGCCAACACCAAAGTTGGTGGGCGGGTCTTACGAACTTGACTGACTGGTAGACTGACTATTGATCTGAAGAAGAAGTGGGAAGAAGCAAGCTTAAGGAGTGAGAGAGTGTAGTGTCATCATCAACATCATCTGATGTGAGTGGGAAGATCATTCACTAATCCAACGACCGACAAAGGATGAGATCTCTTTCTGGGGTGAACTATCTGAGACCTGGGAACCTAGTTCGTGGTTGTTGGTGTTGTCGCGTGTGTGTGTCTGTATAGTCGTCGGACAAGAACAAGAACTCATAAACCCGACGAGACGACAGTGGGTGAGTGTAGTAGTACTATTAGTCTAAGTTTGTTGTTGATAGAGAGTGGTCATCTTCTAAGCTTCATCTTGATTTAGTTGGTTGTGTGTAGTGGGTGTGTGATAGTCAGTGTGGTGAACTGACGAATCGGCATTATGAATTTTCTAGCTTTACCCACCCACAACACTCTCATTCTCATACCCCCAAAGAGAGTGGGACCACACGAAAGTTGGAGTGGGTCAGGAGCAGTCGCGTTCAGATATCTTCACTCATACAACAACAGATCAGAAGATACCTTATCAGTACACACACACACACAACACAACAGACTATCACTGATACAGATACGATGTCTATCTACTTATCTCTATACTCCTATCACTAACTTATAACATCGATGTGAGTGTGTGTCTGAGTGTGTATCTGTGTGATTTGATGTGATGTGACAATGAGATACAATGAATAACAACAAACAGATAAAGATGTTTATATATTATTTCATTATTTACCCTACGTAATATCTTATAAACAATCAATACTAAATATATATATATATATCTCTTTTATTATTATGGATTCTACCTATCAATCAGTGTTGCTTAATAACACATGGTATGTGAATCAATCAATCGAATGAACAATCAATCAATAATATTAATAAGTTGATATTAATTTAATAATATTTAATTATTATTTAGGTCAATTATTGATAACAAGTTTAACATCACTGATGTTGGTAATGACTTGGCCGACTTGTCCAAGCACCTCTATGAGAATTTGTTGTTAAAGGCATTTGTCCGTGATACCGAATCCAATCGATTCCTACTCTGTTGGTGGGAGGGTACCAAGGTTGCACATCAACTACGTGCTCAATTCCGTGACACATTATTATCCACCATAGTTGCATTCTCAGTATGTACCATATTACATTCAATCACTCATGATGAAATATACTAACTTTGAATGAATAGAATACAATTGATATTGGAGGTGCATACCAGATATGCCACAAGTTCAATGATGAGGAGGAGTTTAATGAACAGATTGACAAGTCCACGTATAATGGATTCCAATTGTTTGATCAATTGCCAATGTTACAACCAAATGAATGGTTTGTCTTTGGTTACAACAGTGAGAGAATGCTACAGTCCATCTCTGGACAATCCGGCCATGACCTCATGATGATGTTCACTCCCAATCATTCAAACTCTATACTCTACCGAAAGAGTGAAAAGTATGTATCTTCACATCATCCATTTTCCATCATGATCCATCCAGTCAGCTGACCCTCTTCAATCATCCAATCAATCAATCAGTGAGTACTTCTATCTATTATGGGAGGGACACAAGACTAGACCAATCGAGCGTGTCAAGTTTACTTCCATGTCCGCAACAGTATTCCTCATGTTCAAGGTATGTTTGTCACACTTGATCAATCATTCAATCACTCACTGACTCAATCAAACAATCAATCAAACATTAGCATCTTTATGACAAGATAAGAGTGATCAAGTTGTATGAGGGATATAATCATGAATGGTTGGCTAGTGTGTTGGGACCAGAGTTCAGGGTTAGACCTGATATCCCCAAGCCAGAACCAGTTGTCCGTGTTCCAGAGCCAGTTGCTATGCCAATGCCATTGACTAAGCCAACTCCAGCTCCAGTCTCAACCCCAGTGCCACTGCCAGTCCATGTGGAGGAGCCAGTGCACATTGAGCCAGTGATCAAACAATCAATCCTTGGCGATGACTTTGAGTTTGCCAAACAGAGAAGATTCGATTGGGCTCATAGATCAGTCCAGAACTCACCAGTATCCATGGTCTCAAGACGCATCGGCAGTCTCTCAATCCCATCGTCACCAATCGTGGACAAGGGCTACACATTCACCAAGCCAGAGCCAGTCGTCGAGGTCATCGCAGTGCCAGAGCCAGTCGTCGAGATGATCGCCCTGCCCGAGCCAGAGCCAGTGATCTCCAAGGTACACGATGTCAAGTACTGCAACTTCCACGATATTGAGCATGCTCTCAGTGACTTTAACAAGGGCCACGTCAACTGGGTCATGCTCGGCTTTAGCACCAAGGTCGCCGGCGCACTCACACTGGTAGGCAAGGGCACCAAGGGTCTGTCCGAGATGAAGGAGCTGCTCCTCGACAACACGGTCCGCTTCAGCGTCTACCGCGTCAACTTTGACGACAAGCGCAGTGCATTCAACCAGGACATTGCCATCGATAGCAACCGCCAGAGGACCTGTCTGGTCGAGTGGCACGGCAAGCGCTCGAGCGCCAGCCAAAAGGCCAAGCGTGTGACCATCATCAAGCCCGTCTACAACATGATCTCCGAGAAGGTATTGTTGCACGGAGAGTTCGAGGTTGATGAGCACGATGACATCTCCGACAAGGCCGTCATCCAAAAGGTCACCAGTTTCAGAAACGATGTTCAATACCAACACATCATCGAGCCATCTGAGGCTTAAACCTGTCTGTTACTATCTCCTAAGTATCCAATAAACATCGATCTATTCATCATTATCCACATGCATAAGCCTCAGTTGATGACAGTGATCATGTATATATATATATATGATCACTCAGACACATATTCATTCTCTTTGTTATATCTGTGATCGAGCGGTTAATCGCCAGTGTTGTGGAGAGTACTTTATTGATGCTGATGCTGATGCTGAGGTCTTGAATGATGTCAAGACCTGTGCTGTGTCGTCGCCAGTCCAGTACCATCCATTATATATACTTTGTGTGTGAGTGTTTCGTTTCGTCTTATGCCGCTGCTGTTGCTGCTATGTTGTTGGTGTTGTTCGCTGATGTAGCTACATGTGACTGTACAATCCAATCGATATTCATTTACTTGTTATAGTACATCATCATTGGTGGTTTGTTCTTGTCCTCCAACTCCCACAGTCTGTCCTTGGCAACCATGTCGATGACCTTGAGCTCGTTCTCTGCCTGCATGATCAACTCCTCGACCTGGCCAGCAAAGATGGTCTCTTCGATCTTGGAGATGTCAGTCTCGCGCTGAACAACATCATATCTGAACTGAGTGATCTCCTCGGTCTTTGTACGATAGAATGATTGCTGATCGATCTTTCTAAGTTCGCGCAGTGTCTTTTGGTATAGATCTGACAGTATCCTTCTAGCATGTGGTTGTACTGCGATACCTGTGATACCAGTTGACTTCTTAATGAACTGTGATGCCATCAATAGTTTGTTGTGCAGGGTATGTATTTATATATATCTGTATGATTGATTGTATTTGAAACAGATTGAAAGAAGTAATGAGTATGAGCCAAGTGTCAAATGAATTTTGAAAAATGGAACTTCTCTTTTAACAAACCCTCCACTCAGTTTCAAACCTTGCCCTCGCCCTTGCCCTCCACACAACTCAATTCAACTTTCAACAATAATAATATTTATTTCTATTTATTATTATATTGATGTTCAATAATGTAGTATATTGATGGAGTTGTAGTATTGGTGTGATCCAATTTAGGTTATGTAGTATAACCTTGTGGATTGTAATTGGATTTGGATGGAGTTTACATTCACATGTTGATACTACATAAATATTGATTCATTTTACAAATACCAATGGATGAAGTACAATCTACATCAATTCAATACGATACAACTTGAATTACCATTGTCATCACTCTCATAGATACATCTACATCTACCACATCCACATCACCCCATCACACACTAATCACACACCATTCAATCAATCAATTCATTCAACCCAAGGTGTCAATGGATAGTGTGGGTAGGTAGTGTGTGTGATTAGGATTGGTTGACAACAATATCCAACAACATCATCCAACAACATCATCCAACAACAATGTCATGGAGTCAATGATGTAAGGTTGAAAGAATAATGTGTATGATGGGTATGAGTATGAGGTGAGATAGTAAGTGGATGGATCTGCCAAGCAACGAGAATGATCTGGTTTACCATGAGCGTAGATACACCAATGAATACCATCTACCATACTTTTAGAGTAAGGTGGAGGGTGTCCATCATCACCATTCATTCAAATAAGTACAACAACTAGTTATTCAATTCAATTCAATTACAATATCATTTATACCAACAACAAAGATCTTTCATACTTTCACTCAATCAATATTTAATATATACATACATCTATTGTTAGTCTTTTATCGAGATATTGATCTGTCGTTTACGAATAAGTTACTCACATTGAAATTAAACAACAAACAAATTAGATCTGAACTCTCCTTTTACAGTAAGTATCAATCTATTCAATCATAATCAATCGAATCAATCAATCTTGAACAATCACCCCTTTTCTAAAAGAAGGGCGCATCACTCTGTTGTTTGTCCAGTCAATCACTCATGACAATGTTTCACAAAGGAACAACAACAACAAACAATATTCATCCATCAATTCATTCAACCCATCGTCAGCGCCTATCTCGACGACGATGTCGTCACACAATGTATCAAAGGCGACAACAGCACATACACACACACACACTCATACTTGGGTTTAGTCGTGACTATCCCATGCCAAGGAGTCTCGCCTTTCGCCACCACCATTTGTAATGTGAGTGATCTTAATAAGGGTCTGGAAGACCACTACAACCAACAAACAAAGTATTATTACTTGCTTTGATCAGATTGGTGCGTGCCCCCTAACCAACCCGGGTATCAGCCGGCAACTGATTGATTGTTGTGAGTGATGATTGATTGAGCATCTGATACTAGATTTAACGTCCAAGCAGCCAGTCAACACCAAGTCCATCAATCCATCAAACCAACAACAACAACACAAATATCAACTTCCAGTTGTACAACCAACCATCAAACAATCAACCAACATCAATCAAAGTTATAACTTATTCAACCAACTCACTCAAGTCCAACAGACACAACTCACACACACATAGATAGATACACACACAACACACTACATATCAACAACTACACACTTTCGTCTTGGAATAACCATCACTACATCAGATCAACACCCCCCTCGTCAACCTAACTGGGTTATTGCTGCATAGATTACCCCCACACCTCTCACTCACTCTATCAATCAATCAATCACTCTGGCATAGTGACCCCACACACCCTTTCGTTATCTATCACTCCCACACACACACACTCTTATCAATTAATCCCAAACTGATCAACACGAGCATATTCGTGTGAATGCATACATCCATCACCTACCATCTCTCCATCCATCCCCTGTCATCCATCCATCCATCAATCCATACGCACTATATATATCTATCACGTGATCACTTCATTTCTTCTTTAAAACACAATAATCAAACAAATAACATAATTTGATTTGTTAACCTTACCTTCTAAAGTAGTAGTCTTATAAATATATAATATATAGATCATCAGCCGGCAAGCAATACTGGACGACCAAGCCGACTGGAACATCACCATCCCCATCACAATCAACATCAGCTTCAACACACTCAACACACACAAATATAAAAGACGACAAACTGATCAGATGATTTTGAGCACACTTTGGACGATATCAACAGGCTCAACATCCATATCATATTTGGACCAGCTGGTTTACTGTTTGACATCAGTGACATTCATTACATTGGTACTATTGGCATTCATCCTGCGATATTATTATTCAGTGATCTATCAATCATCGCCATATCCCAACGCAGCCACACAATACTCTGCAACAATGTCCACACTTCACACCAATCTACTATCTGGACATCTTGGCAACACACTTACAGATAACTTAATATATCGCAATTCAAACAACAACAATATCGAGCGTATATTATCTGATGGCCAATCATCATCTTCATCTTCAACATCAACATCATCATCAACATCTACATCATCAAAGTCAATACTTAATGGTATGGAATAATTCCAGGCCCACCACGGCCTCACCCCGCGACCCCCACCCACACACTAACCCACCACACACCCAAACGATCAAACAGAGAAATCATTAGTACAATTATCTGATTTGAATAATATATCAGTTGGACAGTTCTCCATGGCTGTTGGCAACTGTATTGAGGGCGACATTGGACATGTGGCCGATAAGTTCTTCTTCCAGGTGGTCTCTTTCGATAAACAGGGCTGCAAGAAGACGACTGGTGGCGACTTGATCAAGGTGAGCATCCGCGGCATCGACTTCCACAACATCATGGACGACATCATGGCAGAGGTGGTCGACAAGCACAACGGCACATATCACGTCAACTTCCAGGCTTCGCGCTCTGGCCACTACCACATCAGCGTGTTTGTCAACCACGTCGAGCTGCCCGACTCGCCCTTCACGGTCAACGTCGAGCCCGTGGCATACGCGATGATCTTTGCCGGCTCAGACAATGGTGTGGTCGCCGGCGAGGAGTTCACATTCGACATTGCTCCAGCCCACACACCATCCCACCGCATCATGGACAAGGTCGACATTGAGACCTACTTCTGCGAGAATGGATCGCTCAAGAAGACCAACAATGGCGAGATCTCATTGTTCTCAGCAACAACCGGTCACGAGTTCCAGTATCGTGGCAAGCTGTACAAGAGCGGCGAGTACATGCTGCAGGGCTCAGTCAACGGCGTCGTGGTCTTTGCCAAGAAGATCCGCGTCCACCCTGGCCCAGTGTCAGCTCGCTTCTCCTACTTGCAGTGGGACAGCAAGGAGTTGATCTCGGACAACAAGATGTTCATTCTCGAGGATGGCCTCACCGAAGCCGAGTCACAACTGCGCTTCCTCATCCAGACCAAGGACCAGTTTGGCAACAACACCACACCCGCCAACATTGCCACCGACTTTGCCATTGAGGTCGTGCGCAGTCTCTCCCCAATCTCCTCCTCTTCATCAGCTGTCGACGGCTGCACCAAGGACTCGGACAGCGCGATTGCTGGCGACGTCCAAACCATCCAGCCAACATTCCATCAGGACTCGCGTGGTCTGGTCATGAGCATTGCCATCAAGAGCTGTGGATGGTACTGTGTATCAGTGCGCGTGGGTGATGTGCCCATTGGCAACAGCCCATTCACATTGATCGCCATCGACCAAGTCGACTGCTCCACATTGTCCACAATCTTCCAACTCGGTCAGGCTGCCTCCTTCAACTGCCAGCTCGAGAACAACAACAAGTTGTCCAACGTTTCACTTCACATTTCGCCAAATGTATGTCCTCCGCAGCAATAGGTATGGGGATGATCAGGACGCGCCACATACAAGATGACTAACATCACCTCGCTCACTCACAGACCATCCAGATAACTCAAAGCAGCTTCTTCAGAACTGTGATGTTGCATGAGTTCTCGATCAACTCCAGCATTCAGATTAAGTTCAAGAGTGACTCGGAGATTTTGATCAAGGACGGCAACAAGGAGGTGTGCCTAAAGGACTGCAAGAGCAGCTTCTTGATCATGTTGACCTCGCTCAATCTGCTCTGCAGCCAATCGGACCCAACGTTCGAGTCCAAGCTCCGTCTGCTCAAGAGCAGCCTGAGCCGTGCCCAGACCGGTGGCAAGGTCGTGCCACTCAAGTTGAACATCGCCTCGCGCGACAACCTGCTTGAGGAGTCGCTCGACATGCTTAAGAACATTGACAGTCGCGATCTGACCCTTTCGCGCATCATGATCAAGTTTGCCGATGAGGAGGGCATTGACTTTGGAGGCATCTCCAAGGAGTGGTTCGGCAAGGTCTCCGAGCAGATGGGTACCAAGTCCATCAATGGATACAATCTCTTCGAGTCATTTGGCAACAACCGCCTCTATCAGCCATCACCATTCTCCAACATGGTGTCAAACTACCGCACTAGCTTCCGCACACTTGGTCGCCTGGTTGCCAAGTCAGTGTTTGAGAGCATTGTCAAGGCCGATCGCCACCTGTCCATCCGCTTCACACCAAGCTTCTACAAGCTGCTGCTCAACCAGACCGTCTCCATCGAGGACGTCGAGGCACTGGACGCCGAGCTGTATCGCAACAAGTTTAGCTTCATCCTCAACACACCAATGGACGAGGTCAACGAGATGCTTGGTGAGCCACTATACTTTGTGCGCCACATCCACAACTCGCAGCCAGCCATCGATGGCGACAACCACGTGCAGCGTGAGCGCGCCGTCAATCTCAAGCCCTTTGGCAACCTGATCCAGGTGACAGACGACAACAAGAAGGAGTACCTGCAGCTTCTCGCCAACAACATGCTGTACGGCTCGATCAAGACCCAGATTGAGGAGTTCAAGACCGGCTTCTACGAGCTTATCCCACTACAAGCTATCCAGATGTTTGATTGGCGCGAGTTGGAGGTGTTGATCAACGGCAAGGGTGACATCAACATTGATGACCTCAAGTCGCACTCCAACATCACCGGTGTCGTCGCCAACGACATCACCGAGAACTTCTGGAACATCCTGGCCAACTTCGACGAGAAGGACAAGAAGAAGTTGCTCAAGTTTGTGACTGGCTCCTCTTCCGTCCCATTGGGCGGCTTCTACCAGCTCTACCCACACTTCACCATCAACATCACGCCCACCGCCAATGTCCACCGTCTGCCAGTGTCGCACACCTGTTTCAACCGCATCGACATCCCCAAGGCATGCACATCCTACGACACACTCAAGCAGAACCTATTGACTGCAATTGAGGCTGAGGGCTTCTCGCTGATCTAATAAAACAAATGGAAACGATAACATGTTCCATATTGATTAATGGTAGAGCCGACTCTACCCTACCCTATCCTATCCTAGTAGTCTCCTCTTTGCATTGCGTATGAACAATCAATTAATCATTCAATCAATGATTGTTGTTCGTTTTATTCTCCAACATATGAGCAATATCTGGTGGACCGCCACCCATCTGGAAGTCGGGGTCGTGTTGCTCGGCGGTGGTAACGGCTAGTTTGTACAGTGTGACGAACACTAGGAGATGTAGCAGCACTGAGTAGATGAATAGGAACAGACGACTGTACTTGGTGGATAGGAAGAACCTGGATGTGTTGAGTATCACCCTCTCCGCCGTGTTCATCTCCTTGTATCTACGATACTTCTCCTTCTTGTTGAACGACAAGAACGGATTGATACTGTCCTCATACAGCTTGCCATACTTCTCCTCTGTATCATTGTTGGATGTTGATGCTGTTGTTCCACCTCGCTCCATATCATAATTTCTCTTTGGTAATTGTTTGATTTAGTTAGTACGATTCATCGATTGATTGATGGATGGATACATACATCACCAGCTCTCTTGGCATTACCAGTGATGACGCCACCTCCTCTGTTCTTGTCATAACTCTGTAGGAACCTGATCTTCTCGTAGAGCTTGATGTTGTCTTGCTTCAAGGAGTGTACCTCTAATTTACATGTTTCCAGTTGCTTCTCCAACTGTGCCTTCTCATTCTCCAGTTGTAGGTTCTTTGTTTTGAATCTATCTCTTTGTCCAATGACTATATCCAACATCTTGTCATCCTTTGATTGCACTCCTGTTAAATCACCAGACGACGCTTGTGGAGTGATCTGGGTGATGCCACTGTTGGTTGAATGGCTAAGACTGGAGATTGGCGACGATTGTATGAGTGATGCCAGGTCATTGGTTGGTCCGCTCTGTGATGAACGCAAGTTGACGTTGCCACTGTTGCCACCGCCTCCTCTAACTGCCAAGTCCTCCTCCAGACGCAGGATTAGTGCGCTCTGCTCGACCTGGATTGACTCTAGTTGCTCAACCTGTCGTCTTGACTCGTCCAGCTCAGACTCGTACGTGCCAATGGTCAGTCGCAGCTTGGTGAGATCATTCTCCAACTGACGATTCTTCTCCTTCATCGGCTTGTCATTCTGCTGATTGGACGAGACTACCTCCTCCGAGCCGACGATTGCCTGTAGAGTGGCAAGCTCTCGCTTGACATTCTCATAGTCGGCTGGTGAAGGGTTGTTCTGAATGAGCTTCTCGAGATTGAGTATCTTCTGTCGCTCGATCTCCAACTGTGAGAATGTGTCCTGATAGGCAGCCATTTCCTCCTTCAACGTTTGTTTGCTCTCATTCAAAGTGTCATTCATCTTTGACATCTCTGACTCCCTCTGCAACAGCTCAAGTTCCAACTCTGCAATGCGCTTGGCCAATGGCTGAATGGCATTCTTCTCCCTGTTTGTTTGTTCGTGTGAATCAAGTATGTCAGTCGAGGTCAATGTCTCGTCCTCCCATCCATCAAACATATCGATCCATACTTCATTGACTCCTCTCTGAGTGATGAGTTCTCAGTCTGCAGTGTGGACAACTTGGTTGATATCCTCTCCATTTCATTCGTTAACATATCAATCTCACTTTGCTTGGATGACATCTCATCGTCTATGATTGAGTGAGTAAGTGAATGAGTCGGTCATTCAATCAAACGTGTGACATAACATACCATGCATGACCTTGATGTCAAAGATCTGTGTCTGATTCTGATCATGAGTCCTGGTGATCTTGTTGAGCTCCTCTTGTAGCTGTCCCACTTGACGATCAAGCTCTTGGTTCCTCTCTTTGAGTACGAGCATCTTGGTCTTGTACTCTTGACGAAGTTCTTGCTCGCGATTAGCAATGATCTCTGCGGTGTTTGATTGGAAGCTTGACTCGTAGTCCTTGATCTTGTCCTCGAGGCGACGGATTGTGACCTCTTGGTTCTGGATCTCCTGGAACTCCTTCCTGAACTCAGAGAGCTCGAGTTGAAGCTTCTTGTTCTCAATCTCGAGCTTGGCCGTTGAGTCTACCTTTGCGTACTCATCAAGTGCGGCGTTCAGTGCTGGCACTGGGTCTGCCGCCTCCATCAAGTCCTTATAGATACCAAAGAAGCATGTCTCTGAGAACTTGCTCCTCTTTGTCAACTTGTCCACCTCCTCCTGGTATAGCTTCAGCAATGCGCCAAATGTCTTTATCTTCTCCTCATCCACAACCTTTTTGAAGTCTGTTCGCGGCACAACATGTTAGTGATCTTCATTCAATCACTCAATCAATCATACTCAGTCAAACTAACAACATACCTTGTGTCTGCTTTGCCAACACCTTACGTGATTGGACACAGTCTTCTTTGATGGTGGCGATCTGTGCTACAAAGGCATCCAGCTCAGACTTCTTCTTCTCAATGTTGAACTGCTTCCATGCATTGAGGATGTCCATGAAGGACATTGATTGTTGTTGTTGTGGCTGTACATGTTGTGTTGGAGTGGCTGGTGCAACAGGTGATTGCTGTTGTTGAAAGTTCACTGGTATTGGATTACTGCCTGCAGATGGTGTACCAGTCTGTGACGTCGATGTCAATGGCAATGGTGTCAAAGGCGTTGACGAAGTTGACGGCCCCTGTTGAGGAGACGAAGGTGATTGTAGATTACTACTCATTGTATTGTATTATATATAGGTATTATATATATACAGATACTACAACATTGTAATAAAATGATTGAATGAATGAGTGATGTTGAAGGTGGGGCACACAAGTAGAAGTGCTTGCGTGGTCCAAGTCAACACCCTCATTCACTCTTTGACTCATTCAAGCACACACACTAACAAAGAGATAGATAATGGATGATTGCGAGGCCAAGTCATGATCAGCTAGTTATATATATATACTGCCGCTGGTCATGTTTAATAAAGTTGTTGATGGGGATGAATGGATTAGATCATACTGCCATCTGTAAGTGACTCGTCATGAAGATGTGACGAATCAGTACTATGCATCAACTCGACAGAGTAGTTGATGTTACTGCCAGACAGTCGATTCTTGAGTGCATGGATAAGGTATAGCTGAGTGGATAATGATATCGCCAACAATACCAACAGCCATGGCAACACAAAATAGTAAGGCAAGAACCTAAATGCAAAGTATGATATAGCTGTACTCATTGACATTACGAATCTTGTTGCTATGTTGATTGAATGAATGAGTATGTATGAGTATGAAGGCATGAAGGAATGGCATGGATACAAGAGATACATACAGGAGTATTGGGAGATGTTGTTGGTTGGATAGATTGAAGAGATGATGGCGAAGATATAGATGGATTGAAGTGAGTCGAACATTCCATTGAGTGCAGAGGCAAAGTAGAATGGTAGTACGATGGCCTTCTCACGACCGATACTTGAGAGTGTTAAGGAGAGTGGAAGTAGTACCAACATAGCCAGAAGCATTGGCTTCTTTCCAAGCTTATCATGTAGCTTGCCCCAAATTGATGAGCCGGCAACAGCAAACACTCCAAACATGACCATCACGAATCCAGTCTCTTGCAATCCAACCAACACTGGTATAATGCTAAAGAAGTAGCCTTGACTATTTGGACATATGGTTAGAATGTGGGTCCACTCATTCAAACATAACAGCGCGGTAACATACGTTTGACCTTGGAGGAAGAGGACAGGCAGTAGTAGGAGGATTCTGGTATCTTTGAAGCATTTGAAGACGTGGATGAGGGTTTGGCGTACGTCGTGATTGGACTCTGTTGTCTTTGGTGCCATGGATGCCAAGAGACCAAGAAGTATTGATCCAACCGTACTGAATGATCCAAATATTGCCAGTTCCAAGTTGACAGAGAAGTTATGTTGCGCAAATACACCAGACAAGGCATTACCTGTGATACCGCCACATGTATATATACCCGTGAACTTGATTGATTGATTGATTGAGTCAGTGAGTTGAGCTGAGTAGAGTGGAATGATCAATCCAAACAAACTTACAATTGCTGAATAAGTTCCAACTTGTGAAAGAGGTGCTGCGCGACTTAGGTAGGTGGGCTGGCTAGTCCAGAGGACTGCCGCGCCAAGACCAATAATCATGGATGCTGGATAATAGAAGAAGTTGAGCCATGATGTTGAACTGATTATAAACAATGCATAAGTGAGGCCAGAGAAGAACAATGATTTCCTGTGATTGGTGATGTGGATGGGATGGGATCATTCCATGTATGTGTGTGAGTCAATGACCATGATCACGTGAACACTCTGGATATTCTGGATACTTACACCAAACCAATCTTCTTGGATAATACTGGTGAAATGAAACAACCAATTCCAAAGAAGAAATAGAGCAATGCCAGACCAAATGGACCATCATTCTTATGAATAACCGAACTTATATTCTGTGTTGGTGTGACTGGAAGTGGATTGAGTGAGCGAGAGTGATTGATTGAGTTGGTGGAATAGTTCCAAAACGAGTGTATGTACTTACATCCCATAAATAGAAATAGGAATCCAAATGATAGATGGATGGTACATAACATCTCACGTGATATTGATCGTAACATTCCCCATAGTCCTTTGCGATTATGATTGTTGTCATCCTTTACTGCTTGACCATGGTCCAAGTCCATTTCCACCATGTCATGATCATCATAATCAATATCCTCGTGTGTTTGAGTGTTTCCTGACATTTCCAATTTATGTTTGGTCTTTATATTAACTTCATTGTTGGCATGTTTGGTCAACAAGTCATCATCTTGTGCATCATCTATATATTCATTGACATCTGTTGATATGATCGCACCTTGATCACCAGTCCTATCTTCCCCACCATCAACCACTACTGACGACATCTGATCTAATCTGTCTCACTGACTTGACTGACTTGACTGAGTCCTAGTCACCTGAAATATGTATTTGTATAATTATAATGTAATAGTATTACTTGTGAAACTAAACAGGTCAGGTCAGGGTCAGGTTTAATGTTTATTACGATGCCATCCATTCATTCATCTGGCTTTGCGTTTGGCTTTGGTGGTTGGATGTGAACCCTGGGCCAAAGCCACTAAAAATCGATTAACCGGTGTTTTTTTGATCGTTTGCTGATCAAAAGTGTGTTGAATGGTGCTCTGAGGGGTGCCAGGGACCAAAGGGACGCGTCCCCATCTTAACTCATATCGTACTTCATGAATGCATGTGAATGAACATTGTCATCCAAGAAGTGGCTTCTCACAAGTCGCAACGTATCCAAGGTGCTCACCCAACCTGCCATTGGGATATCGCTCGAGTAAGGCTTGCTTGAAGGACTCGTCAAACTTGTCGATCAGGGTTGTTGGAAGTGATTGCTTGACAGTTGTAACAACTGGATTGTAATCTATCAGTTGAACGAATGTGTCGATGTCAATGTCATTGGTTTGGCGTGATGCTGTGATGTCGATGTTGATGAATCCTGCATCCTGTAACAGTCTCTCAAACACTTTGGTATCCGACAGCGATGATACTGGCGCCTGTGGAGGTGGGGGTGGCGGCAGTCCCGCTGCACTATATAGCCTCTCCACAGCGATGCGCGCCGATGAACCAAAGGGCGAGGGTGCGGACCATGATGTGATGACGGCGCGGCCACCAGGCCGCAGCACACGGTACATCTCCTTTGCGCCCTTCAATTGATCTTGGAAGTATATTAACGCGAACAAGTTGTAGGCGTAGTTGAATGTGTTGTCAGCACACTCCAAGCACTGACCATCCATCACCTTGGCCTCGATTGGGAGTTCGGTGTAATCATGTTGTTGTTTCAGTTTGTTCTTTAGGATGTTGATCATTGAGTGCGAGTAATCAGTGGCCAACACTGTGCCACCAAAAGGCTTGACTCGCTGTGCTGCCGGAATAGAGAGTGCACCAGCACCTGTGCCAATGTCGATGATCTTGAGGCCAGTGGGTAAGCTTGTATGTGTCTCATCATTAACAGGTATCGTCTTGTCCAATGCTACCATTGCATACTTCCTTGTAAAGTTTGTGATCTCCATAATCTTATCATAGTTTGCAGCAGAGTCGTCCCATCCTTCCTGTGTCTGTTCCAATGTAGTCGACATGATGTGACGATGATTATGAGCATTCGACATGTTGGTGTATTATATGTTTGTTTGATTGATTGATTGAGTGAATGAATGAGTTATGATAGTCTCGCAACATTCTCAAAATTATGAAGAAGACGAAGAAGTCTGGAATAGTTCCAGCCAAAGCCCCCACCTCTCCCACACTCAATTCAATGACTTTATAACAAACATCGTCTTTATTAACTTAGAAATGCCGACTACTTACTTCTCAGCAACAGCAATGTAGGCAAGGTACTCACCGCCCAACTGACCATTTGTGAACTTCTCGCGTAGGGTCGCGGCAAAGGTGTCGTTGAACTTGTGGCGGATACTCTCTGGCAATGAAGCCTTGGTGTTGGTGATCACGGGGTTGGAGTCGAGGAACTTGATGAATGTGTCAATGTCAATGTCGAACGACTGAGCCGATGGTGTGATCTGGACGTTCTTAAAGCCAGCATCGACCAGCAGCTTCTCAAACACCTTGGTGTCGGCGAGTGATGAGACGGGGAAGTAGGCGGGTGGAGGTGGGACTGCCAGGCCAGCCTCGCTGTACAAACGAGTGAGGCATGCACCCATCGACGAGCCAATGGGCGATGACTGGGACCACGAGGTAATGGCCGCCTTGCCACCAGGATGCAACACACGGTACATCTCCTTGGCACCCTTGAGTTGATCGGGGAAGAAGATCAATGCAAACACGCTAAAGGCGTAGTCGAATGTGTTGTCGGCACACTCCAAGCACTGACCATCCATCACCTTGGTCTCGATAGGGAGGCCACCAATCTTTTTGTTGAGTACGTTGATCATTGATGGTGCAAAATCTGTGGCGAGCACTGTGCCACCATAAGGCTTGACACGCTCGGCTGCGGGGATTGACAAAGCACCTGAGCCTGCACCAATATCAATGATCTTGATACCACTTGGCAGAGTTGTATTGGGAGGTATAGTTTGGTCAAGTGCCACCAGTGCAAACTTCTGAGTAAACCTCGACAACGACATCACTTCATTATAGTTCACGGCTGAGCTATCCCATCCCTCCATAGTCTGCTCCAAAGTGATTGGACGTTGTTCTTGAGCACCAGACATTATATGATTGATTGATTGATTGGTATGATAGAGTGATTGGAGGTGTGAATGTTTGATTGAATAACGAATGAATGAAGTGAGTGTATGATCATGATCACCTGATCATCAAAAAGTGTCAGTTCTTGGAACATCATTCCAAATGTAACCGGTTATATCCTTTTATGGTAGTAATCATTTTGATTGGCTGATCAGTCGACTAATCACTTCTCAGCAATGGCTATGTAGGCTTGATACTCGCCACTCATCTGTCCACTGGGGAACTTCTCGTTTAACACTTGAGAGAATGTGTCGTTGAACTTGTGGCGGATTGATTCTGGAAGTGAGGCCTTGGTACTGGTGACGACAGGGTTCGAGTCAAGCAGTCTGACGAATGTATCAATGTCAATATCCAATGAATGTTGTGTTGGTACGATCTTAACACTCTTGAACATATCAGACAGGTGTAGATGATCGAATAGTTGATCGTCTGTTGAGGTCGGTACGTAGGGTGGAGGGGGTGGGGCTGCCAGACCAGCCTCACTATACAGACGTCCAATGGTTGTGCCAAACGAAGACATTAGCGGCGATGACTTGGACCACAGTGCGATGATGGCCTTGCCACCTGGACGCAGCACACGGTGCATCTCCTTGGCGCCCTTGAGTTGGTCGGGGAAGAAGAGAAGGACAAAGATGCTGTAGGCAAAGTCGAATGTGTTTTCGGCGCACTCCAAACACTGACCATCCATCACCTTGGCCTCGATTGGGAGGTCACCAATCTTTTGATTGATGATGTTGACCATCGATGGGGAGAAGTCAGTCGAGAGCACTGTTCCACCATATGGCTTGACACGCTCAGCGGCTGGGATTGACAAGGCACCTGAGCCAGCACCAATGTCAATGATCTTGATACCACTTGGCAGTGTTGTATTGGCTGGGATTGTTTGATCAAGTGCCACCAAGGCATACTTCTCAGTGAACTTGGTCTTTGCCATCATCTCATCATAGCTGGTTGCAGAGTTGTCCCAGCCCTGTGGCGTCTGTTCACGTCTAAGTTGTTGACCACTTGTTGTATTAGACATTTGTATTTGTTGTTATTGATTGTTTGTTTGTATGATTCAATAACTAAATCAATCATGATCAGGTGATGATCTTCGTCAGGAGTGAGAGTGTGGTTGATCATCATTCCACTCTACTACAGTGAAGTGATCATGTGTGAAAAGATACAACACTCCTGAATGATGTTATAATGATAACAATCGTTAACCAATAGGTAGAGAGTCCATCCATCATAATCACTTGTTGATTGACTTGATCGTTAGTGAGAGTAACGTTGTATCAAGTTGAACTACGTAGTAGGTACCAGGCAACACTCCCAGGCCCACAATAGAGATGCATATGGAGGGAAGGAAGAGGAGGAGTGTTATTGACGCGCGCAATCACATAAGGACTAATCGTCATATAACACTGTAAGCTTTATCCTTGCAGTCCTCACAACTTCAAGGGAAATGGACTTGTCTGTTAACATAACACCACACAGGTCCCAACCGGGACATGTCCACATGGCAGGACAACAGGGTCACTGACTGAGGTATTAATAGTACGTATAACACATGTATCTTTCGTTCATTCGCTCTTTCAATCATTGGGACATGGTCGAGTTGTGATCCAAGGGAGATACCAACACCTATTAATGTATTAATGATTGAATGATTGATTGAATGAATGAAGTGAATGGGGTTAGACAACCTTGTCAACGAGCAGTGTTATGACCTTTGATCCAAGGGATACTTCAGTGTCTCTCAGGTATTAATGTGGTTCCAAAGGTACACCAACCATTCAAACTTAAAGGATATCTGAATGGAAATGACCTGCTATGTGCACGAAAACCATCAATGTCCTCGTCTGGACCCTGCAAATATCGTGAACAAACGAAAGGTCATGGGTCCTAACTGGAAGTTCAAAATGTCAAGGATGTGTCGGACATGTCCAATTCCAATGCCATCCCCGTCTATAAATAAGTGTCTAGATCCATGGATCATCAATCATATCATCAATACAATTATCTCTCTATCTCTCTATCTCTCTATCAATCAATCGATTAATCAATCAAATAATAAGAATGAAGTCATTCCAAGTTATCGCCGCCTTGTTGTTGGTCACCATTGCTTTGGCCCAAGCCAGAAACGCCTATTTTGTCTTCACCGATGGATCCCGTTCCACCGGAAAGGCTGACGAGTTTGTCATCAAGTTATCTGACCCAGCCCTGATCCAGCACGCCCGCGCCTTGTTGAGCAACACCACCCAGGACGCCCCACACATCATTGGAAAGGTCGTCAAGGAGCCCGTCTGGTACAACTGGGAGTGGTCCTACCATCTGAACACCTCCACCATCAAGTTCTTTGACTTCAACGCCGAGGCCTGCGACGCTGATATTGCCTACGTTGAGGAGCATCTCGCTGAGGTCGGAGGTCAACTCCTTCCAGGCAACACATGGTGCTCATGGCAGTCGTACCTCGACCGTGAGCTCTAAGAGTTCCACAGTAGTCCATGACCATCCCATCCATTCTCCATCAATAAACCTTCACATATGAGAGTATCTCATATTACCTTTATCGCTCATCCAAAGAATAGAATTGTTTGATTGATCGCCTGCCATCAAGTAAGTCAAAGGTAGCCACTGCCTGGATCTTGATTGAGTTAGTTTATTCGAACAACGAATGAGTGATCGAACAAACATGTGCATGCGTGTTTGATTGCTGACTATCTTGGATCATGTGATCGATCACTTGATCAAGTCTCTGTAGTCACCTCCCATGGACTTGAGCGCCTCGAACCAATACTTCTCATCCTTGCCAACTTTGAAGAACTGCTGGTTGGTGCAGTCGGCTTGGAACCACGCACCCTCGTCAATCTCTTTGCGCAGTTGACCAGGGCGCCACACTGAACAGCCGATCATCATCATGAGCGACTCGGTCGCAATCTCCTTTGATTTGATCTTGTCGCCAATGTCCTTGAAATTGCCACCGAGATACAGTCCGTCGCGAACCGTCTCGGCGCCAGGCAGGTTGGCGTATTGATGCAGGACCTGAGCCTGCGGCAGACCCTCCATGCCCTTGGCAAAGAAGCCGTGCTGCTCGATCGAGCAGGGTCCGCCGCGGAACCACGACGTCTTGGTGAAGGGCGACAACGGTCGCTTCATCGAGAATCTAAAGTGCTGCATCAGGTTCTTCGAGTACGAGTTGTTCTTGATGTGCGCCGTGCTATCCATCGACTCTTGCAGCAGACGGATGATGTTTGACGTTGGGATCGGCTGATTGATGATGAAGCCATAGTGTCTATCGTTGCTGCTGTGTGTGATCAGGATCACTGAGCGGCTGAATGATGATCCAAGCGATGGATGAGAGACGAGCAGTGTGCCAGCCTTGACCTCCTTGGAGTCGATCGTCCAAAAGTTTGGATTGGCGATCAGAGGTGGAGAGGCGACCAATCCAGCGGCCTTTGCCAAGGCGTCAGCTGTCGCGGCTGCCGACACAACCATGTTGTTACTGTTGTTGTTGTTGTGGATGCCAGCAATGTTAAATATATCTTTTGATTCGACGTGCATATCTTTGTTGATGATGTTGTTGATGTTGTGTTGTGCTAGCATGGCAATCTCATCCATTGATACATTTCCTGTCTTTGTTGATGATGTTGATGCTGATTTGGATGAACCTGTACCTGATGGTGTTGTTGCTGATGATGACGATGATGTAGCATTTCCTGTTGTGCTTGACTTTGGTGATTCCAAATCACTAACGATTGAGTTGAGATCAAAGTTTGAGGCTGCAACCTCTTTCTCCAATTGCTATTCATGTCATTCGCGAATGAGTATAGTGATGTCGTGAGTGAGTAATGCATTCCCGTCACGACAATCAATCATGTCATGTCATGTCATGTTCATACCTTCTTATTAAAGGCTGTGGCCAAGTTCAAGTTACGTAATACGAAGTATCCATCACTAAGACTGTTATTTACATCCTATATGAATGATTGAATGAGAATGAGAATGAGTATGAGTATGATGAGTGCACTGTCTTGATGTGATACAGATACACATACGTTCTGAGAGGTGTAGGTATAGTTGACATAGTGTCTGAACAACACTTTGAGGTTCTGTGTGAATGAGACGCTTGGTAGGAAGAAGGTGGGCAGTTGGTATCGCAGAGTAGGTGGTGTGACAAAGTGCGCCTTCAACTTTGGATTGCTATCGAATGTATTACACTTCCTCATCAAGTTCCTATAGAGGTTCAATGTAACACGTCTGTTGGTAGCATGATTCAAGCTAGCCATATGTATATATCTTCTTTCTTTCTTTCGTTTGTTCGTTCGCTCGTGTGAATCGTTCGTTTGATCTTTCGTTAGTTATATATTAAATAAATAGATGTATGAATATGTATATGTAAGAATGAATGAATAGAGATGAATGAATGAAGGATAAAGTTGAAGAGAGATTGAAAAGGACCAAAGTGTGTGTGTTCTTCAGAAGACGAAGACATGTCACACATTCGTTTGAGATTCCCCACTCAATCCCCCGCATTCTACAACTCTAATAACTGTTGAGTAGTCTACAACAAACAATAACATATATACATATAAGATTGATCGAATGGCATTGTCATTGGCATTGGTCTTACGACTACCAAGTACTCAGTGTCGAGCTGGTACATTACTACTCCGCAACAGCATTGGATGTACCAATTTCACATCCATTCGCCACTCTCACATCTTAAGATCATCTACATCAACATCAACATCAACAACAGCATCAAGGCGATACTATACAACAGATAATATACAACAACAACAAGAACAAGAGAAGGATCAAGAACAAGGACAACATGTTATACCAACAAGTACTAGTACAAAGAGATATAGTAATATGGATATGTTCTTGGAGAACATTACATTGATAAACAATATAACGATACAGTTGACATCGATGGAGTCTTTAAAGGCTGAGCCAACATTGGAGAATGGTAGATGGTCAATGTCTATACCAAGTACATATGACAAGGGTCGTATACTCTTGCCATTGTTACTTAGCAAATCACTTCATCAACGCTTCCCCAACATGACCGAATCATACCTCCTATCCTTTGTCCGCTTCATCACCCTGCCCTCCATGCTGGCCAGCATCTTCAAGCATCTCAAGCTCGAACAATACATTCCAACAGTCGCTCACAAAGATGTATGTACTCGACTCCATCAGTGGTCAGTTGCGCACATGGAATGATCCCAGCCCCTGACCTGACCCTCTCCTCTCCACGACCTCTAGACATCAATCTCATCAGCCGAGAGAGTACAGATGTATAATACATACTTGTTGTCATTGATTGGACAGATGTGCAATGATAAAGACGAGCAGTATGTTGAGAACACTTTGTTGCCATTATTCACGGATTACTTGGACAAGATGTCGGATGCAGAGTTTGATCACTATCATCTGACCAAGCGAACAAGTCTAGTTGACACGATGCCCAACATTGATATTGATCGCAAGCCTTTGCCCGCATGGTTCCCAAGCCTCTGTCTATCAATCCTCAAGAAGGCCGACCATCTCCAGCAGCTCAATCACCTACTCAGTCAACATGGATACCCTCCAAGCCACTCACAGTAAGTAGAGACATATTCCTGCCGCGAATGTCTGGACAATGTAACATAACACCAACTGACGCCACTCCACGCCACAGACTGATACAAGAGACATCAAGAGGAAGCAGAGGATCATTGTTCTTCTACGTGTTGTACGCCCAACAGAACGAGTCGGCCAAGCCAAAGATACTTGGATATGGCGCAGGACCATCGACCAAGCAGGCAAAGTCAGACGCAGCAACAGACTCACTCATCAGGTTGTTATACAGCCCGAAGTTATAAAGATCAACGACAAAGACGATGACGACTATGATGATATGTTTGTGTTATATGTTGTTGCGCATGCAAGCATGTTTATTAGTCTGTGCACAACTGAGCCAAGTACTGTGTGAAAGAACAGGATTATCAGTCCTGTTGGGAGGATCAACAACGACAGGAGGTAGGTTGGTAGGTGAGGTGGAAAGGTGATCGATCGATGATTGATTGATTGATCAATGGGTTGCCAGGTTGCTTCTGCGAGGATGTTGGTGAATGTTCCAACAGGATTGATGGGCGAGAGGTTTAGTGCCCCTCTATTCTCTCTATTGGGTGAATGATTGATTGAGTGGAAGTTGGAAGTTGGAAGTTTGGTTGTCTTTTACATGGCCAGTTGAAGGTGATAGTGTGGTTGATAGTGTAGTTGTTGTTGTTGCTGCTGTTGTATAATAGAGGGGCAGACCTGCGCACAAGAGTAGTGATTGTTTGTTGTCGTGATCACGACTCCGCCAAAGACGACGGAGTAGAGTCAAAAGTCGCTGTCGGAAGAGTCAAACTCGTTCTCCTCACCTAGGTTGTCGTAGTCGTTGAGTGTGGCGAGGTCGAGCTTGTAGCGCAGAATGCCACCGAGACCTCCGAAACCCTTGGTGAACTGCGAGCCCTCCTGTGAACGGTTGGAGATGAACTCGAGGTGAGCACCGAACGAGCGGTAGTTGTTGGCGAACCACTCGACCAGGGGCATCTGGTCGACCATCTCGTACTCGAGACCCGACTCGGGGTCCTTCATGAAAGACTGGTCCTTCTCCTGGTCCTTGGTCAGGTAGAGCACGGTGTCCTTGTCGTGCGTTGGCAGACGGATGACGTAACGTGTCACCTCGAGGTTCTCAAAGACGATGAGGGTGAGCACGGCGCCCATGTCCAGCGCCTTGATGGTGTCGGCCACACCAAAGCACACCTTGCCACTGTCCTGCGCAATCTCGTCAAAGAAGGCGGTGATCAGCTTCTTCTCCTGGACAAACTTGACGTTGGACAGCACCTCGGCCGACAGCTCAATAGCCTGGTTGAATCCATTGTCGCCACCATAAGACACATCGACAATCTTCAACACCTTCTCACGAAGACGCTGATCGAACATATCAGAAGTGTTCAAATCATTCTTAAAGTCAGCACTACCGGCAATGATCAGTCCACTAACGTTTGGCTATAATAGTTGTTGATGATGGGAGTGGTGGGTCATGGGTCAGTACATGTACATGTGATGTGATGTGTTCGACTCGAGTCTGTATCATACTCTATCATTGGTAATGTAGAACTGAGTAGCAAGCTCAGACACCTTGCGGACGTAGTTGTGACGCTTCTCGAGACGAAGACGGGCGAAACGAAGGGCAGACTGACCTCCTCTGCCGTGCTTCTTGGGCAGATCGACTGTGATCTTGTGGAGGACGGTACGGGTGCTACCGCACAGCACACCGAACAAGGCTCCGTTACCGTCGACAATGATGAATCCAAACTTCTCGTCCGACTCGAGCAGCTCGCCAAGAGCGGCCGTGTGGAACTTGTTGTCGCACAGGTAGAGCGACGTGTTGATGGGCTTGAATGGCTCAATGTCGATGTTGACCTTCTTCTCCTTGCCCTCGTCCGTCATGATCGTGCCACAGTAGATCACCAGTCCGTTCTCTGGCACACGGTTATACAACTTGAGACGCTGCTGGGTCGACGTGATGGCGCCGAGCACCGACAATCTATTCACTCTAGACTTAATGTTCGAAGCAGTTCCAAACTCATCAGCAAGCATCTTTGACACCTTTGCGATCTGATCACCTGGACGAATGATCAAAGAGATCATAGATGTTCCATTACTATATATATATTCACATGTTAGTCTTGTCTTTGTTTGATTGATTGATTGATCGCGAGAGAGATAACATACCCTCTGGCAGCCTCGAGGTTCTTGATCAACTTCTTGATCTTCCATTGCTCGACTTGCTTGTCCAACTCTGCGTTCTCCTCACCTGGGTTTCCGGACATTGTTGTGTGTTGTGTGTGGCTGTAGGGTGGATGGTGACTGTCAACACTTCTGTTAATGATATAGTTATATAACTATATATTGCTTGATGATGATATCTCTCAAGAAATTGAACAACTCGCTCGAGTGAATGTGTGTAAGAGTGTTTAGATGTTAGAGGTTAGGTGTGTTAGTGTGTGAGTGAGTGGACGGATGGATCAGGTTGGTCTCAGTCGTCTCTCACACAGACACACACTCCAATCACTTGACGAATATAAATTAAAATAAATTTAAAAAAAACAACAACACGACACAACAACACTTCATGAACATGTTGAGAGGATGATCAGAAGAATGGATGAATACACAACCAGCCAGTAACCATCGAGTTGAACACAACCAAGCGATAGGATACATATGTATGTTGAAGTGAAGTGAAGATGACCTGGCCCGACTCCTTGAATCATGCCTTTCTGGACCATGGTGACAACCATCATCACATGTGCCAAACAAATACAACCTTCATAGAATATGATTGAATATCATTGATTTGACCAAATGTTCAGGTTTGGATTGTTGATTGATTGATTGAATGCATGATTGAATGAATGCCGCATGGCATAATTCGAATGCCACCCGACATAATAATATAAGGTTGTAGATCTATTTACGAACGAACGTCAGTCTGAGATGGAATCCATCCTCAATAAGCAACTCATCGATTGTATAAGCTTTCATGATCGATCCATCATATATATATATAAATATATTGTAATGACAATAATCATCGATGTAAATGATAATCATCACCTGTCAACTCGAAAGAACAAAAGAGCAAGAGCGAAAGAGTATGTGTGTTTGGTGTGTTTATCGAATGGAACGGAAGGTGTGTGAGTTGGCAAGAATAACTTCCATTTCGCAATGAAAGTTCACACAACTTGTTTGGATCGCGCAGACCTTCATGTGTCTGTTGATCAACTTCATGTCCTCTTCTTAGCGTGTTTGGTTGGGTGGGGGTAATCAATAGGAGGTGGTGAGGTAAGCAAGCCAGTTCCCTCCTGATAACCTTCCTTCCATTAATATCCGTGTTCTAGAACTATCCAACAGACTCTACATAAATAGTTTCAACTTCATTATTACTTCAATATAAGTTATACACTTACAAATATATACATAACAACAAGTTACCTACATCTAACAACTACACATATAAAGAAATGACTGTTCCAACATTGACTTATGTATGATTCAAAGTGTGATTGATCGATTGATTGGAATGATCCCATACTGACCCCACCACCCACTCACTCACTCATTCATTCAAATAGTTCAACGGCAGAGGAAAGGCTGAGATCATCAGATTGATCTTGACATACCTAAAGATTGAGTTCAAGGATGAGCGTCTTACCGCTGGTGTCCCAGAGGAGCTGAGAGCCAGACTTCCATACGCCCAGGTGCCACTGTACCAGGACGGCGAGATCACCTTGGCCCAGTCGGCTGCCATCAGCAGATACATTGCCAACAAGCACAACTTTGCCGGCGCCAACGCCGTCGAGAAGGCTCTGGTCGACGCCGTCGTCGACAGTGTTGCTGATGTCATCGCCCCATTCCGTGCCGCCACCGACGACGCTGCCAAGCTCAAGTACAAGAACGAGACTCTGCCCAAGTTTGTCGGCCGCTGGGAGGCCAACCTCAAGGCCAACGGAGGCCAATACTTTGTCGGCTCTGGCTACACCTGGGGTGACCTGTGCATCTACTACGGACTGTTCTTCCTCCACTCCAGCGGCTTGGCCGAGGAGCTCAAGCAGTTCCCCACCCTCTCTGCCTTCTACACTGCTATCGAGTCCATCCCCCAGATTGCTGCCTACCTCCAGGCCCGTCCAGTCACTGCCTTCTAAACAACGTAGATGGTTGCAATCATCACACCGGTTGCATCCGGGGTCGTCGAGTCGTGGTACACTACAACTACTAGATCGACGGGAATAATTATCCGTGGGCGTCCACATCACGCGACCCATGCATCCATGCATCATTCATACATTAAACTTCCCCTTTTGTAACATCAATAATAATAGCTTCTGATGAGTGATGGTCTGTACCATTGAATAGTTGAACGAGGGTTCAGGAGTTGGTAGTTTGGAAGTCAAAGTTTAGTTCGGTCCGAACATATATCATATCTTATCATCATCATCAATGAATCCCATCCATCTTGATCATTATCTTAATTACGTAGTTGTACGCATTCGACCCTCAATGTAGGGTATTGCTGGTCTTACAGACCTGGACACCACCAACAGACCCTTGTCCAGGTCCAAGGTTACACCAAACTTCAAAGCCAACCAACAAAGGAACACTTCAGATGGCAAAGTGTTATTCCGTCACTGACTCACTTTGTTCGCGATCCATTCATTCTGCTCAAATAATGAATGAAGATAATGTATGAATTGAATGAACTGACCAATTGAAGGGGGTGAGATTCTTGAACGTATCATACTTTACAGATGAATGTTGTTGATATTGAATAGGTCGCCCAAGATGGTCGATGATCGATTGACAGGTCGGGGGTGGGGTGGTGCAAGGATGAGCCCATCCAGCCATCTTGGGTGACACTTCTCCCAGTTCTCGGCAAATACCAGAAGTGTCACTCAACCCCACCCCAATGTTCTATAATTGCAAACAACCCCCACCTACAAACACTCAAAACACTTCGTCTTCAACCAAATAAACCATCAATCTTTGCAAGGCCTCGCCTTCAAACACCTCAAACACATGAAACAAATACGATACTATGTCCAAGTCAACGGAAAACACACACCAAACCATCCAACCACACTAACCCACACCCTGCAAACGAACCTTGTGTCAGATGCGTGTGGGAATTATTTTGTCTCCTTTTAAGGAAGTATCACACACACGCATCACAAAGTGTCAATGGATTGTGACACTTATTAGAGGTTCGCCCGTGCCCATTAGTGTGGGTCGGGTGGGGGTTGGATTGACAATCTGTCTATGAGCGTGTGTGACTTTGTGTTAGTGTATGTATGTTCTGGATACTCATTAACACACACGCTTGGAAGTGTTGAACACACCCTAGAGCCAGACAAAGAACCTAATTATCTCTCAATTTAATTAATATTATAATAATAAGTTAAGTTAGTGACATACTTTGAGTTATCAATCCCTTCACTCAACCATTTCTAGAATTAACACTTACTTATACATATACATTCATACAAATTCAAACACATCCTACACTCACACTATTACTTTCACACACTAATAATAATAATAATAATAATTAATTCTTTGTATCAATCAATTTAATATATATAAATAATAACTACTTAACTTTGGAATATTTTTTAGTATTATATGCCACAAAGGATATATAATACTTTAGATATAAACGAAACTGACAACAACATCACCAACTTTGATTAAAGTACTTAGAGGAGTGATTCGATCAACCAAAGAGTATTCTTAACTTGTAGGTTTCCAACACATCTATAACTGGAATTATTCCTTTATATGACTAACTAACCTTGTAATTAATTAAATAGAATTAATTATGTCACCACCACAAGAGGAAGTTGCAATTGAATTAGGTTCACCACAATCACCAAGAGAGAGACAGGAGACACCTCAACAACATCATGATGGAGATCAGGCCAACCAGATTCCATTGTTCTTCAATGTTGAGAAGCAGAAAGTTAGAAAGAGATTGAGATTGAGGAAGAGGATCAAGGATAAGATCAAGACCAAGATCAAGAGAGAGGGAAAAGAATCAAAGGAGGAAAAGGCACTCAAGAAGGAGCCCTTGGACACTTCTGACTTGACCGTAAGTACAAATCAAATAATCAAATCAATTAATCAATCATATAAATCATACTAACCATTTATTAATATTTGAACAATTTAGAATGATCATACATTGTCAATTGAGGAGTTGGCTACCAAGTTCCAAACAAACATCAATTTCCAGGACCCAAAGAATAGTTTTGTAAGTTATAATCTATAATGTTTGCACTGATGAGATCCATCATACTAATATATGTTATAAACAAATAGGGATTGACATCACAAGAAGCAGAAGTAATTTTTGAAAGGGATGGTCCCAATTCATTGACCCCAACAAAGCCCATTCCTGCATGGGTCAAGTTTTTGAAGCAGTTCATTAGCTTGTTCCCTGCGATGCTTGAGATTGGTGGTATCCTCTCATTCATTGCTTATGGTATCGATCCAAAGACTGGACAAGATAATGTATGTATATCTATCTTGTTCAATCAATCAACTCATTCATACTAACATTCAATCAATTAATAGTTATACTTAGGTATAATTCTTTGGGCAGTTGTAATTATAACATGTACATTTACATTTATGCAAGAGTCCAAGTCAGCTCATGTGATGGAGGGCTTCAGAAAGTTGGCTCCATCAAGCTCAAAGGTGATGAGAGATGGACATCTCGTTGAGCTCAACTCTGAGAGATTGGTCGTCGGTGACATTGTGCACATTCGAGCCGGTGACAAGGTACCAGCCGATGTCATTCTCCTGTTTGGACATCACTTCAAGGTGGACAACTCATCGCTCACCGGTGAGTCTGAGCCACAGAGCAGGATCGCCCAATGTACCGACGAGAACCCATTGGAGACCCAGAACCTTGCCTTCTACAGTACTCTCGCCGTCGACGGTGACTGTGTTGGTATTGTCGTATCCACTGGAGACAACACAACAATTGGAAAGATTGCCAAGTTGGCCGCAAAGACCAAGTTGCAACCAACCCCAATGCAAAGAGTAAGTAGTACACTGATCATTGATCAAAGATCAATCAGATTAGAGTCTAACATCTTCATTCAATCAATCAAACAAGGAATTGGAGCAATTCATCAAGATCATCACTGTCGTTGCCATCTGTGTCGGTGTTACTTTGTTGGTGATTGGTTTCGCCACGAGTGTCAAGTGGATCTTGGTCATCATCTTCACTATTGGTGTTGTGGTGGCTCAGGTACCAGAGGGTTTGTTGCCAACTGTAACAGTATCGCTCACATTGACAGCCAAACGAATGGCAATGAAGAATGTACTCGTCAAGAACCTGCTGGCTGTCGAAACATTCGGCAGCACAAAGACAATCGCCTCCGACAAGACCGGTACACTCACCCAGAACATCATGACTGTAGTCCATCTCTGGTACGACAACACCATCTACTCGTGTGATCCCAGTGCCACCACAAACTACATGAACAAGGACAGCCAGACCTTCAAGTCCCTCTACAAGGTCGCCGCCCTTTGCAGCAAGACCGTCTTTGACCGATCGGACGGCCCAATCGAAGATGTCCCCATCCAACAAAGGAAGTGCATCGGTGATGCCTCTGAGAGTGCCCTCCTCAAGTTCAGTGAGRAACGTCGATCCAGTGGAGGAGTACCGCAAGCAGCATCCCAAGGTGTTTGAGATCCCATTCAACTCTCTCAACAAGTGGCACATGACCATCTGCCAAGACGGAGACACAAACAAGTTAGTCCTGTTGATGAAGGGTGCTCCAGAGAGGATCATCAGCATCTGCTCCAACATCCTGATGAATGGAGAGGTAGAGCCACTATCCGACAACGTCCGCCAAGGATTCCAAAGTGCCTATGAGTACCTGGCCGGCAAGGGCGAGCGAGCTCTTGGACTGGCCATGTTGGAGCTCGATCCAGCAGTGTACCACAAGGACTATCCATTCGACTCGGACGAGAAGAACTTCCCCACTACCAACCTGACCTTTGTTGGCCTGACCACCCTGATGGACCCACCCAGACCAAGTGTTCCAGATGCCATCGCTCTCTGCAAGCGCGCTGGTGTACGTGTGATGATGGTCACTGGTGACCATCCATTGACCGCCACCTCCATTGCCAAGCAAGTAGGCATCATTGAGGACGAGACCATCAACGAGATTGCCAAGAGAGAGAACGTCGACATCTTTGACGTAGACTTTGAGCGTGCAAAGGCCGTCGTCATCCCAGGTTCAAGACTGGACGACATGACCCAAGAGCAATGGAACATGGTACTGGCCAAGAAGCAAGTTGTATTCGCCAGAACCTCACCAGAGCAGAAGCTCATCATCGTCGAGCAATGCCAGAACAGCGGAGACATCGTGGCCGTCACTGGAGATGGTGTCAACGACTCGCCCGCCCTCAAGAAGGCCGACCTCGGTTGCGCCATGGGCATCACCGGAAGTGAGGTGGCCAAGGAGGCCGCGTCCATTGTTCTGCTCGACGACAACTTTGCCTCGATCGTCGCCGGTATAGAGGAGGGCAGAATGATCTTTGACAAGTTGAAGAAGTCCATCTGTTACACTCTGTCCTCGAACGTGCCAGAGTTGATCCCCTTTGTCTGCTTCTTCATCTTCAAGTTGCCCACCGCCCTGTCTGGTATCTTGATTCTCTGTATCGATCTGGGCACTGACTTGGTGCCCGTAATCTCATACGCCTACGAGTACGCCGAGATGGACATCATGAGCAAGCCGCCAAGAGACGTCAAGAAGGAGCGACTGGTGTCTGCCAAGCTGGCCGTGTTCTCTTACATTTGGCTCGGCTTTGTACAATGCGCAGCTGGCTTCCTCAACTTCTTCCTCATGTTCTACTGGGACTACGGCCTCACTCCACACATGCTCTGGTACACCAGCTCCAAGTACTTCATGATCGACAAACCACAACCCTTCCACGGCTACAATGGTGACGAGCAAAAGCACATCCTACGCAAGGCCCAGACCGCCTACTTTGTTGCAGTTGTGCTTGTCCGACTTGGTGCTGCACTCTCGTGCAAGACCAGAAAGCTCTCACTCTTCCAACATGGCTTCAGGAACATGGTGTTCAACTTTGGTGTCATCTCAATGATTGCCGTCGCCTTGATCATTGCCAATGTGCCAGGCATCAGCAGCTTCTTTGGCACTGAGCGAATCAGTTGGAAGTACTGGCTGATCCCACTTCCATTCGCTGTGTTCCTGGTCGCGGTCAACGAGATCAGATTGTACCTCATCAGGAACTATCCCGATGGATGGATAGCAAGACACCTTTATTGGTAGATCCGCTGTCCATTCCAATCCCTATCCAGGGGGGGCACACTACCCATCAATACATCTCTATACTACCATTTGCAAACATATAATAAACAATGCAAGCCCGCACGAGGGTGTATATCTACATCTTTCCATACTTGACTATGTTGTTGAGATCAGTGATCACCAGCGATACGTATTCTGTCTCGAAGCAAACATCCAGCGCAGCCATGGTAGTATCATGGTGACAAGAGTGTACACGCCAAGTCCAATGAAAAAGAACATCCACTTCCAACCAATCCTAACAAATGATCTTTGAAGGAATGGTATCAAACCCTAGATAGATAGTAAGGACATGATGATCGATCAATCAATGTACTTTCGAACAAACAATTAGTCCAAGACATACTGTTGGATGAAGATATTCATTGATTGCTTCCACAGAGTTTATCAATTTATCAAGTCGCAACTCAAAGGCGCTTGTCACAGGAGCTAATGATAGCCGTGTTGGTATGTGAGTTGGTATGAATGAATGAATGAATGAATGTACGTTGATGGATACATACGAACAACTTTAGGTGAGTATGTTAACAATAGATTGTTGGCAACTCCAGGTGGAATGCCAAGTGCAATGAGTTGCTCCTCTGAATGATTGCGGATATAAGATGAGTCTATGAAGTTGTCATCAATGATTTGCATCACTCTGTGATCATGAGGAACATGAAGTACACATCTAATTAGATGTTCTTTGATTTCCTCCATCAATATATAATAATATTATATCATCACTATGTGATGCCGAATGATTGTGGTTGATCATTCAAACTGATCTTTTGATCAACCCGTGCTTTAGTTTTCTTTGTATTCTTTGCTTCCCTTTTATTAATATTATTGGTGCGTACTTGTGGACTATGATATGTTTGGTTGTTGATGAAGATGGAGTTGACTATCTTTATCTCTGACCAGAGAGCAACTTGGAAATGAAGTCGTTGACAACGAGCAGGATACCACCTCCAGGTCCGAGTCTGAGTACCTTTGGCAAGAATCCCTTGTACAGTGCCATGAATCTACAATGTTCAATCGTGATTGGATTAGTTGATCAGCTTGAGGATTGATTGATTGAATGATTGATTGAATCTTACCCTTCCTCCCTCATGATGGTGACCATTGATGGAATGCACCAGACGTATTTGGTTCCAGTTTTGCCAGCGTTTTGAATCCTGCTCTTGACGACATCGGCAGGGGTGTTGAGAACGGTTCCGAATGTACCGGCAATGCCTCCAGCAATAAAGTTGTTCATCAATGATTGACGCTCGTTCTGTGGCTTGGGCAGCACTGCTCTGACAGAGTGAATCAGTCCAAAGTAACCACCGTTCCAGAGTGCGTGTCTCCAGAGTGTCGATTCCAATCCCTTGAAGAATCCACCCAATCCCTCTTGTTGAGCAATCTTGCTGACACAGTCCATAGTGTTTCTATACTTTCCAGCCTGTTGTCGGTCGATGATGTAACATCGTGTCAGTCAATCTCTCGCTCGCTCATTCAATCATTCAAACATCTCGTTCGCTTGCTCGCTCGATTGTGATCTCCAAAACATACATTCTCCTTGGCTTGCAGTCTAATCTTGACGAGCTCGAATGGGACCACAATAAAGGCCTCTGTAATACCTGCCAGGACACCAGCACCAATAGCCTGTCCCTGAGTTGGTCTTGCATCTGATCAAACATGACATGACATACTTTGTTAGTTAATCTGTCTCTCTTTTGATTGAATGATCGAATGAATGAATGAACGATACACACTTCCGTAGAATGCTAGGATCTTCTCCTCGTAGAACTTGTTGGAGGCGAACTTGATGGCACGCTTGGGTGCCTCGACGAGGATAGGCGGCAGAATTCCTCTGTACATTCCGAGACCGTCCTGCTTGATCATCTGCATGAGAGCGGTGAACATTGAGCCACCCTGACCAACATGCAACTGTGCTCTAGTCTTGACGACGTCCAATGGGTACATGACCAAGATCTCACTGACACCAGCGACACCACCTGACACGAACGTGTGCCACAATGGCTGCTTCTTTGGTGGGGGAGGTGGAGGTGATCCTGCTGCTGCTAGAGTTGGTTGAGTCGATGCCATTATAGGTAGATAAATAGAATAGTTATATAAATATATATATATCTCAAGAAATATGTATATATGTGTATAAGTTTAAACTTATGTTTAAGTTGTTGTTGATAGTATGTTGTTCAATCTGATACTGGTCAGTGGGGTGTGTCCGACACAATCACAGTCAAGTCACGTTTTGGTAGCGATCATTGACAAGCCGTGCGATTGTCTCGCTTTTGAACAATTTCGACGACAATCATTTCAATCCTTATTAGGCAAGTCATATCATGACATTGAAATTATACATATATATAATTGATAGTGATAACATTCATCATTCATTCATTCATTCATTTACTTTGTTTGATTGTTTCAAGAATATTATTAAGTTCAGGGTACAACTCACTATGTGAATAATCAATATCCAGGTTTCATTCAATTATTTAATATTACCAGGTCTGTCTGTTTCAGAAACCGGGGATCTGATAAGATCTGATCATGATCAGATGTCACTTCATTTATTGTTACCCTACACATACAGGAATAAGTGTTTGCTAACTTTGAGGATTATGTGGTCATATGAGTAATCTATGGTCTACTTTATTCCAAGCATGCCTATGCCATTTTGCCTTTTGCAGCCTCTATCTATAATTTGATGGAACTACCCATCAACAATCAATTTGGCAACACACAATCATCACAAACAATCATACAAACACAAACACACAAACACACACTCGATCAAACACCCATTCATCAATCACCATTCCCCCCCACAACTGAAGAACACCATTTCAGTTGTTGCGTTGTAAACACAACTTATTAGCGCAATCATATAAAAGACTGCGATGATGGATAGAGCAGTTTAATCAAGTGCCAATCGCCCAAGTGCATCGTGGGGGCAGGCAGGCTTGCTTGCCATCATCATCAACACATTCAACAACAACATCAACAACATCAACAACATCAACAACAACATCATCAACAACAACATCAATAACAGCAACATCCAAAGTTGGTATCGAGCAACCACCCGACCAGCCAGCCTGTTATTGGGCACTCCCAATTGTCCGCGCTGCCAGCTCCATCCTAGCCAACCAACTACCTTTTCATCAGATGGATCTTGGGCGAGGCTGAGGAGGCGTCCCTCCCCACCCCCTCCTGTAGCTTACTGGCTGGCCAGCCATTTATATATGTTGAAGCAGTATCACACTTTACATTCATACATACATACATAGGCCACAACACAACTACCATGCCCGGGTTGGATGTGGATGCGACACTCCTCACTTGGATATACGGAGTATTGAGCTCAGTCATTCCTTGATTGATAGTTGTTTGATTGATTGTTTGATTGATTGATATATACATCACATCATTCATACATTCATAATATATATATATATATATATACATTCATAATATATATATATATATATATATACCAACTCTTTAGACTGACAGACAGACCTAAGACATGGACAACATTGCTTCGTCAAACACAGCTGGTGGAGGCGCAGGCCATAAGCCACTGATGTTTAGAAGTATGTTTGCCACGATGGACCCTCACTTCACATTGGAACTCATCAACAATATATGTCGTGGCGTATCATCACAGAAGACATCCGACATCTTCTACTCATTGATAGCTCTATTGGATGAGCACTTTATCGAGTTGCTACGTGTCTACATTAGGATACTTGAGCCATCTCAATCATCAGCATCACCTAGTGTTGCCAACAGCGTCATCATCAAGAAGAGCAACAGCAGTAGTAGCATAAGTGATGATGATAACTCATTCCTGAGTCATAAGAAGTATGTTCCTCACTTTTCCACTGGGATCATTCCATTCCGTCCCATAATCTAACTCCCTCCCTCCCTCTCTCCCTCTCCCATCAGTGTCGTGAACAGAATGGCATCAGCATACCTCAAGACACATACATCACATACTATAGAGACATTACTGACTGCTCAACTACAGGCGATATCAACAGGAAACCATGGTACCAATGGCGAGCTGAATGGAGACATGCCACCATTGCCCATGATTGGACTTGGTGGCGCAGCCTATGACGAACATACACTTCTCCAACTGGCAACATCTATCATCAATAGTCTACACAAGTCTGTGGACAGGTACTCACCGCAGACCTATCATCTGATGGAGGTGCTACTGAATGACACACGATCACTCGGTCAAACATACCATGTCGAGCTAGCCAAGCGTGTATTCTTCACGAAGCTCGTCTGCCCTATCCTGGCCAATCTGAAGCCAGCGGCATGGCCCATCACCAGTAACACCAAGCGACTGTGTGTCGAGCTGTCCAGGGTCATCTCAGATATCGTGGAGAATGGCGGAGTCACCGACATCAATGGCGCCAGTCCAAATCCTAGTCCAAGTCTATCACGCACGATGGACTCACCTCGCCACCTCCACACTCAGCAACTCGACCCAACACTCTTGATCAATGACTTTATAACACTTATGGGCAGTCGCTTCCAAAAGACATCAAGCTATTCAAACATCAACTCATTGATGGCCAACAGACAGACGAGTGGCCCCGTCTCCAACAAGGACGAAGCCTTTGCCTACTTTGTCCACTATCTCAAGACCGAGTACGTTCAGCTTGACGAGTTCTTCCGCAAGTCCAAGGACGCCGGTGGTTTCCAAGCCGAGCGTAACTTCTATCTCTACGGAATATTCAAAGAGCTCATCAATGGCATCAAGTCGATGTCCATGGGCATTGGCTTGGGAGGCTTCATGAAGCCTAGTATCAATGGGAGCAACGTAGGAGGAGGATCAGGAGGATCAGGAGGCAGCGACATGACACCAGTTAGCATAACTCATAGTCGATCAAGGTCGGGCAACTTGGACAGCACCAAGGACATCTCTGGGTCACCATCAACAAAGCGCGATCATAGGGATGGCGGAGTGGGCAACATCGTCGAGTTTAAGAAGTGGGCTTCAGACGAGCTCAAGTCGACATACAATGGACGATCATACAAGCGTCGTTGCCAGGTGTTGGACACGCCAATCAAACAGAAGGAGGTGTTCACGTTCAACATCTTCCTCTCAGACACCAATGTCGTGTTGAAGAGTATCCGTGTGCCAATGACTGCCACTGTTGGTTCGATAGTTAGTCGATTGTTAAGTGGAAATGAGATGCCAGACTTGGTCTTTGGCTCAGCTTCATCGGTATCCGAGTATGAGATGTGCATTCGATATGGCGAGAGAGTACAGATATTGGGCACAACATGCGAGGCGGGAAGTCCAAGCGAGGTTAGGTGCGAGCTCGACATGCCCCTGTGGATGTATGATGTAGGGACATACTGCCAGTTCGTCTTGCGTCCACAGAAGAAGCGATCGCAACAGCAGCAGCAGTTCTCAATCTACCTCAAGTGTTTGTGCCCGTCAGTGTCAGAGAGCCCGAGCACACTGTCACCACGCGAAGCAGTGTCCCCCGCGACAAAGACCAATAGCACGCCCGTGATCATACTGGCGAGTCTCCAATCAACTCCAACTTCCATCATTAACGACATCCTGCTTAAGCAGATCGTGCAGCTGGACCCAGCGCGACTTAGTCTCTTCCTCTACGACATGGAGGAGACTGCCACCAGCACGACACCCATACAGCTCGCAAGCGAACGAGTATTGGCCATCAACAAGATAGGCTCAATGGACATCATTGAGTGCGGTTATCGACAGGCCTACGAGCTAGCCTCCACTCTCAATGGCAACTACTTCACCACGGCTATTGACCACGATACAACAATCGAGAACGCCACTGGATCACTTCTCGGCTTGGTCGAGAGCCAGAGTCGACTTGGGTTCGGCGCGGCCGCCCACCACGGCTACACGCTGGCTCACGTCTCGCAGATGAACAGGTTGCTCAGTGTGTTGGCTTCGGGTAGCAAACTGTCCGACTACCAACTGAGTGTTGGCGATGAGGTGGTGCTGACACCAGTACGACTAGTTACCACCGTTGATATCATGGCTAGGAACAACACAAACAACAACAAAGAGTCATCATTGACGCAGACTCATCAACAACAGGGTGGAAATAGCAGACTTGTCCAATACCTTACGAACAAGGAGAGATTGTCAAGAAACAAGTTGTTGCAGCAACAGGACGAGATTGCCAGCGCAGGCACAGGGGCGACGATCCGCCACGTGTTCAGAATCACTTGGATCGGACCAAGCCAACCGCCCCACACTCAATCACACACCAACTCAAACGCATCAATCAGTAACAGCAACAGCAATAGCAGTGGCAACCTACTGAGGAGTCCCCTCCAGATCTCGAATGGTGGAGGTTCATTCTCACCACTCCTCATCAACAACAACAACAACAAGTTGAACTTGGCACCAATGGAGAGGAAACAATCAATCTTCTTGTCAAACACTCTTACCCTCGACCCGTCATTGGTATCGCGCAGCAAGGTGGACTACTGTATCAACAGCGACTTGAAGTTGTGCTTCTTGGGTGACGAGAACCCCGACAAGTACGCCCTGTTCAACATGTTCTTGCGCGCAACAGTCAACCGATATGAGACTCCGGGACCCACCAGTCCATTCGGCGGAAGCAGTGGCAGCAGCATGTTTGCCAGCCCGCTGGCCAAGTCGACCGAGGTGCAGGGTACCGAGTGTGGTGTGCGCTTTGCCGACTGGACATTCATGCGACCCGACCAGATGGACTACCTGTCGACATACAAGATGTACTACTTTAGTGGAGTGGAGCAGTTCCAGGCGACACACCCTCTTTTCATCACGCCCGAGTCGGTGTTTGTGATCACCTACCCAGCACAACTACTAGTAGAGTCGACCATTGAGTATTGGATGCAGATCATACAGGCTAAGGCACCCGGCTCATCAGTAGTGATCATTGGCACGTCCACAGACGACGTGTCCAAGCGCACGCAGTTGGTGTCACAGACACTGTTGTCGCGATACACAAATGTGGCACACAGTGTAGCGGTCAACATCAAGAGTCTAAGACATGTTCGTGACCTGATATACACAATCCAGGACATTGCCAAACAGAAGCAATTCCGCAACAAGATACCCATCTCTTATGTCCTACTCAGGAACCAGCTGCTTGAGACGGCGCGCGAAGCTGAGCGCACCAACTCAGTGCCAGTAACATCGCGAGCACGAATCGCCTCTATTGCCAAGTCGATCGGGCTGGCCAAAGATGAGGTTGATGACGCCATACTCTACCTCCTGCGCTGTGGTGACGTCCTTTCTGGCAACAATGGAAGTGTAGACAATGGTGGACAGCTGGCCGATCTGCTCTTCCTGAGCCCGGCATGGCTGTCCAAGCTACTGGCCACCGTGTTCACGTTCAAGCACCAGAATGGCTACTTGATGCGAAGCTCGATGTACAAGGCATGGGAGGATCGATACCCACGCACATGCTTCGCGTCCATGTCCATGCTGCTCGAGCACTTTGACATCATACACAGCGGAGGCGACAACGATTCTGAGAGCGTCATGGTGCCCATGCTATACAGCGAGGAGAAGCCAGCGGTCACCGCCGGTCTCTGGCCCGAGTTCCAGGCCGCCGACGTTCTTGACAAGGTGCACCATGAGCGCATCTTCCAGTTCCAGTTCCTTCCCAAGGGCTTCTTCTCGCGTCTGTCCATCCGGCTACTGCAGGTATTCGACCCGCTGTCGATCTGGTACAACGGTATTGTGTTGCAGTATGGAGGCCAAGTGTTTGGAGGAATTGCACGCGGTGAGATTGGCCAGACATGCATCGAGTATGATTCGACACACTACACACTCAAGGTGATGGTACGCGACAAACACAATGGCACGATGCTCAAGAATCTGATCGAGATCATCTCGTCGTTCATACTCTGGTACTTCCCCGACCGACTCGTGAACACATACGTCACCTGTACCCACTGCATCGAGCAGCGTATACGCGACAATCCAACACGATTTTCATTGGACGTGCTGGAGAAGGAGGCATCACAGGGCAACAATCATGTGTTGTGTAATGCCACCAACCTCATACGAATCAATGAGCTTGCATTTGAGGTGACGATACACAGCAACAAGTCATTCTCTATCATTGACACTGAAGAGCTGATGGTTGGACCACCTCTCGGCTCTGGCTCGTTCGCCACAGTCTATAGAGGTATCTGGAACCAATCCGACGTCGCCATCAAGAAGCTCATCCTAGACGAGGACGACACAAGCACAGAGAAGTTCAGGGAGTTCAGACACGAGGTGCAGATCAATGGGTAAGCTACATTCGTCACTCAATCATTCAATCAGTTACTCACTCAATCGCATCATTCAGTGAGCTACATCATGAGAATATAGTGTCGCTCAAGGGAGTCACGATGAACCCTTTCTGCATTGTGACAGAGTTGTTGCGATTCGGAGACTTGTCCAAGTTCTTGCGAAACACCAGTGATGCATTCACATGGTCCACCATTCTAAAGCTTGCCATGGACATTGCCCAAGGCATGAACTTCCTACACAGCTGCAAGCCAATGGTCATCCACAGGGACCTTAAGAGTGCCAACATCCTCGTATGTCCTTTTTCCACTCACTTAGGCCACTTACTCGATCGCTAACTCACACACAATCAATAAGATTGGAGGACAATCAATGGATACATTGGTGGCCAAGGTGTCTGACTTTGGACTGTCAGTGCGCCACATTGACAAGGAGGTCAAGGGTAGGAAGGTGTGGAATTGGAGATGGTTGGCACCAGAGATAATCAAGAATATGCAGTACACAGAGAAGATTGATATATACTCGTACAGCATGGTCATTTGGGAGTTGATCACGAGGGAGGTGCCATTCGAGGAGTTCTTTGCCGAGCTCAAATGGAACAACGTCATCGAGGACAAGATCATTGGTGGCTTGCGACCAACAATACCTGCCACATGTCCCGAGGCAATGGCCAATCTGATGCGAGACTGTTGGCACGACGACCCCAAGCTGCGTCCATCATTCGCCGACATCATCACCGCACTAAAGAGCATGCAGCAATCATTCCCGCTGTCCACCAAGGTCGAGTACTCTCGATCCATCTATGATGCGGAGGGTGGTGGAGTCGGAGACTCACCCTCGTCGGGCGGCGATGCGACTGCCACGCAGACGTCAGATATTTCACCATTCATCACGCCACGAAGTCTGGCCTGTTCGCCAATCTCTGAGGCGCTGATGGAATCACCACGCAGCTACACATCGAGAGTTGGCGAAGAAGGACTTGGAATCAACATACTCAAACAGTCTTTGAGCTCATCATTCACGTTCTGTCAGCAAGAGGAGAGTCCGATCGCATTCAAAGAGTGTCTATCGTCTGTGTTGACATCTTCCATCTTGTGCATGATGTACGTGCACCTGCGCCAGGAGCCCCAAGTATGGTGTGGATGCGCCGATGGTTCAGTGACTGTTATCAACGTCCACACCAAGGTGATCATATCATCTTACCGTAGTGCCGATGCTACCAAGATCCTGGGCATTGTGCGAGTGTACAAGTCTAGCAAGATCAACCCACTCACTGTGGACGATGACATCCAAGTTTGGGCCTACCATCAGGATGGTATCACAGTCTACGACCCGAAGCAACCCTATAAGCCACTCAAAGTGATCAAGACTAATGTTGGATCAATGTTTGATGATGGCAAGTCTGTGTTCTGCACTGGCAAAGAGAAGAATGTACAGGTCATCAAGGTGTTTAGCAAGACGGTAAGTCTCAAAAGTGGACTCGGGGAGTCGTTAGCGCGAGTATGAATAGATCCTGACCCTGGACCATCACATAATCATTTAGAAGTTGAAGTGTAAGAAGACTATATCACTGGCCAACAGAATGGCGGTCACTCTCGACAGCTACCCAATCACATCGATGTGCTTGGTGAAGGGAGTCACATCGGGCGTGCGATGCTGGATGGGCAATGAAACGCGGACATCTGTTTGTCTATGATCATCCAAACTATGCTACGTCGTCGGCATGTGTGGCCAGCGACACGACCACTCACATTGGACCGATACACACGATCAAGAAGCTTGGCCGATACATATGGGTGGCGAGCGAGCGAACGCTGAGCATCTACGGCAGTTCCAGCACGGGCGTGCAGATTGCGCCTCAGAAGAAGTACGACAATGTGACGGCACGCGTCATGAGCCTGGCGCTGCACGAACGACTGGTGTACGCGCCCTGCTGGGATGGCTCCATCCTGGTGTTTGACAAGGACACGCTGCAGTGCGTGCACCACTTTGTCAAGAAGCACTCGTCCGATCCCATTAGCTTCATCGTCTCTGTCAAGACATCGTTGTTCACATCAGAGTTGTGGGTATCTGGTTGGGACAAACGTATAGCCGTCTATACATTAACTTCATCAGACAGCACATCCGATCATCATCATACACACATTCAAGGAGTGTCAGCATCATCATTCGATGACAACATAATCTACACCATCACTCATCCCAATTTACTACCATCGTCGTCCAACCATACCAACTCCTCTTCTTCTTCCACAATGACTGCACAGTCATAACAGCTGCTGTCAATACATGTATATATATTATACTCATTCATTCTCCAAGTCTTTGTCATTGTCTAATTAGGTTGCCAAATTGGGTCTCCGCCGGACAAGGAAGGGTTGTAGCCGCGGAAACTGAGTTACCAAAAGGGGTGTCGCGCAAGGTGACCTTGAGCACTTCAACAAACAAAGTTCATTCAATCATTTATCCAATTAACATAATCATACACATACATATACATGGATAACATACCTTATTATGCGATCAATAATGTATTTACATTGTTGTTAAGAGGAACAGATTATAATAATAATGACACTCCTAATGCTAAAGATAATGATGATAGAGAGAGGGGAGCGTTGGATGTATTGTGTCTGGGACTCACATCTAAACGTTTATATAGTATAATGTGTACATTATGTAATAATATCAATCAACCTCGATCGGCACAGATGATCGTAGGTGAGAGCATTGAACAACATCGACAACAATATCAACAGCAACAGCAACAACATCATCAGGAACCACTGCATCCTGACATTGGACAGCTGCTACTCGCTCAGAACTTGCATCATCAGCAATTGGAACAACAACAACAACATCAACAACAGTGGGAGAATGGATTGCCTCCGGTCGAGCAGCAGGATGCGCCACTCGATCACGTGTATGATATGCTGCGCCGCGTGAAGCTACAAGTGCAACTGCAACAGAGACAGCAGCGACAGATTCAGATACAGCAGCAAGTACTCAATCAGGTGCTGATGCAGGTGAAGCTGCAGCTGAAGCTAGAGTTGGTGTATCGGCTTCAGCCTTCCCAGATTGTGTATCTGACCAAGACAGCGGGCGCAGAGAATGAGTACGTCAAGCACGATTCATTGCCTCCAAACATATCAGCATTAACATTTGGACCGGGCTACGACCAACCGATTGTGCCTGGCACCTTTGGAGAGTCGCCCTCATTCATATCATTGGATTGTTCATTGAGATATAATCAACCGATCGCGCCACACTCCTTGCCAACGTCGCTCACCTCATTGACGATGGGCGAGATGTTCAACCTCCCACTCGAGCCAGACACGTTTCCAAACTCGTTGATCACATTGAAGTTTGGTTATTACTACAACAAACCACTGCAGCCCTCTTGCCTTCCATTATCACTGCGTACACTGCGCTTTGGAACCATGTTCAACTGTCCTATCATGCCCACAGACCTGCCGCAAACACTACAATCACTCGAGTTGGGCTTCTATTTCAACCATCCTCTGCAACCCAATGCCCTGCCTGACTCACTTACATGGCTGAAGTTTGGAACAATGTTCAATCAACCAGTTGACGCGATACTGCCCATGGCACTCAAGACATTGTCGATGGGACCATGCTTCATGTACCCACTGACACTCAAACGACAGATTGCCATAACATCACTTGAACTCACATCGACTGTGCACTGCTCGATCAAGATTGAATCAATGCCACCTACACTCCAATCTCTAAAGTTGCATCCCGTCAGCGTTGAGACACTTCCAATGTCGATCACCGAGTTAACATTGGGCGAGTTCTTTGACGGGCGCTTTGAAACGCTCATCGGACATTGTTTGCCAACATCATCAGTGACCTCACTAAAGTTTGGAGATGTGTTCAATCAGGAGATACCAGCAGGCAGGCTACCAACGGCACTTAAACGATTGATATTTGGCAACAACTTCAATCAAGAGATCGCGCAAGACTCTCTCCCAGAGACCCTGACTGAGCTGGAGTTTGGTCTAAAGTTCAACAAGCCATTGAGCAACCTTCCACCCAGTCTCTGCAAGTTGACTTTGTCCACATTCAACAGTATGCAACCAAACACGTTGCCTCAATCACTCAAACAACTGCTAGTCATCCAACCATTCACCGTGAGCGTCAGTGATCCGGACAGTCCCAGCCATCATCCAAGATACCTAATCAAGAGTGGAGAATCAATTGTGGAACCATTCAGTAACAGTTTGGACTGGTTCACCTTTGGTGTGCTGGTTGGCAACAGGTCAAGACAACAAGTGATCAAACAGATGTTGGTCGACTATCCCAATGTGACAAACTTTCGCGCCAACCTCTATTCAGCCAACTCACTGCCGCCTCCAACAATGCTAATGAATATGGTCGTGTACATACGTAGGACAGCACCCGAGTTCCGAGGGCAATCAGAACACAACAGATGCAGGAGAGCATGGTGTCGAGTCACTGGAGCAACAGGTACAAGTTCAAATATCAATCATCTCCCAGATAATATCAACTTTTATTCAATCGATATTCCTGATGATACCAATAATAATGATACCCAGTCAGTGACCATTTGATGACGACGAATCAAAATCATGTGACTTGATCACTTTGTCGCCATCCCACTACCATTCATTCATTCATTCATTCATTCATTAACTCAACAAGATACACAGACATGAGTAGAAGTAGTAGTAATAGTAGTTGTATTAGTTCTGATGATAGGAAATCAATGATGTGTATCCCTAGCATTGTGATGAACATTGTGTTTGACATGTTGAAGGATATTCCTTTGGATGTGATGTGCTTGGGTCTCAGCTGCAAGAGGTTCAGACACCTCTCTTTACAAATGATCAGTTCAATCAATAATGAGAACAATAGGTTATTACAACAGGTTGAAGCTCCTTACATGCATGGCTGGATCAAAGACAATGATGACAGAAGCAGATATAAAGACCAGAAATTTGACCTATCTATCAAGTACCTTTGGTCACTTCCATCATTGATTACAACATTGGTGTTTAACGATCGATTTAATGTGGAGTTGTGGCCTGGTGACCTGCCACCATGTCTAATGACTCTAGTGTTTGGCGCATACTATAATCAACCTATCAAGCCCCAAACTCTTCCAAGCTCACTCAAGAACTTGATATTTGGCTATACTTACGATCAATCATTGGAAGGTGTGTTGCCACCAGAGTTGACGTACCTGTCAATAGATATCCAATCGAATAGCCCTGTTGAACGACCTTGGCTGCACCCTTCACTCACATCATTAATCATTGACAAAATCTATGTAATCCGTCAACTGGAAGGATTGGAGACGACGACACTTACATCTCTGACATTTGGCTCACAATTTAATATGAAGATCCCGACTAGGGTCCTGCCACCAACACTTCTATCACTGAACCTTGGCAACAACTTTGAGAAGCAGATTATCAAAAACTCTCTTCCAACATCCTTGACATCATTGACCTTGGGCTCTGGATTCAATCACCCACTTGACAATATACCATCAAGTGTTCATACATTGACCGTGAATGACTTATGCTATGAGTTGCCTCCATCAATAAGACACTTGACACTTCTAAAGTGGATATACTTCAAATGCTCAACAACAGGATATACCGTCGACCTCAATTGGATCAAGATACCAGCCAATCGCCCTCTATCCTCATTGACCTTGCAAGTTGGAATATCTTCGAAACATAGAGATAGCCTTCATGCCAACATCAATTGCGTGGCCCAACGGGTATTGTCATCCTATCCAATCCAAACCTTACATTTCAATTGTCTTTTCATTAACTTTGAACTTGTAAAGTATGAGAGAACATACTCATCATTCCGGAAAGAGTACATTGATTGGACACCTCCAAACATGACACGTGGGAGGACAATGACATCGTATGGCTTCAGGACTGACTACAAACATAATAATCTATTATGTGTTAAAGTGGCACGTCATCAGTTTGTTCAATACCTTCCAGGATTGAAAGGAGACACTGAGATGCTATTCTTGGATAGAGATAAAACATACTACCAATCATCTCGCTCAAGAAATATGTCAAAGTCAATGATCTTACTTGTGATGGCCTGTATGATATATTGGATACTATTAATTCGAGTACCAAGGAACTGGAATCATTTAAGAAAATCCCAATAAATCAATTAAAACAGTGATCGATCACATCAATCCAATCATGTGACTCCAAACACCACTCTTATTCAGCAACTACAATAGATAAGATAGATATATATATACAATCATGAGTACATCAATGATGTGTATGCCTAGCATTGTGATGAACATTGTGTTTGACATGTTGAAGGATGATCCTTTGGATGTGATGTGCTTGGGTCTCAGCTGCAAGAGGTTCAGATTGATTTCTTTGCAAACGATCAGTCCAATCAACAGTGAGAACAATAGATTGTTGCAACAAGTTGAAGCTCCTAGCATGCATGGATGGCTGGAGAATGATAGATACAAATCGAGAAAGTCTGATCCATCGTCACCATTCCTTCACACTCTTCCAACATCGCTCACTACATTGGTGTTTGACGATGGCTATAATCAATCTTTGAAGCCAGGTGACTTGCCGCCATGCCTAATCACTATAGTGTTTGGAACATGCTTCAATCAACCAATCTTGCCCAACACTCTACCCATCTCACTCAAGAACTTGGTATTTGGTTATCTATTCAAACAGTCTTTGAGAGGGCTGTTGCCACCTGCATTGACATACCTGTCAATCAAGAAAGACCATATACACAATAATGAACGACCTTGGCTCCACCCTTCACTCACATCATTGTCCATTGACAACATCTATGATTTAGATGAACTGGCTGGGCTGGAGATGATGTCACTCACTTCACTTACATTTGGTTACAACTTTGATCGAGTTGTCCCACCTGGAATCCTGCCGCCGACACTTAGATCACTGACCTTTGGCAACAACTTTGAACAGATGATCATGAAGGACTCACTTCCATCATCCTTGACATCACTGACCTTTGGCCCAAGATTCCGTCACTCACTTAAATACATACCATCAAGTGTTCATACATTGACCTTGGAGAAGATATACGATAATGAATTGCCTGCATCAATTAGACACTTGGGACTACTTAAAGAGATATATATTGAGTCTTCTCCATCAAAAAATAATGTAGACCTCACATGGATCAAGGTACCAGCCGACCGGAAACTGTCCTCATTGACATTGCATGTTTGGTCAATTGACGATAGAGGGAATCATCGTGACAATATCAATGGATTGGTCCACCGCGTAATGTCAACCTACCAAATCGAAACATTACATGTGAGTTGTCCTCAGCTCCACTTCTTCCGTCATACTTCAAATTTTAGAGGAAAGTATGTTCGACCATTTGGTTCTTTCAGGATTGAGCGAGGTCAACAACCCGTGGATGGACCAATTACAGAAAAGACGACACCAACTGGCAGGACGAACATTCTGACCAAAGTATATGCATTATCAGTTAAGGTGGAACACTTCAAGTTCGATGAGTGTCTTCCAGATATGATTGGAAACATAGACATGCGATACAAGGATATAACTGATCAATGTGTTGATCCTCATATAGCCACAAGACCTTTGTGGATGACAATAGTCATCCCTGTAATGGTATCCATTATTTTTTTGGTCGTATTCAATCGATTAGCTCGGCTATTCACAACACAATAATCATACTATCAATGAATCAATACAAATTAAGTCCATTTTATTTAAAAGAGGAATGTGATGATAGTTATTTGTAGGTGAAGAAAGAATGATTTCCAACTATTGCGAGAGCCATTGGTTCATATACCAATTTAGTATTTGCACTGATCGGATGTTATTGTATTTCCATATCTTATCCTTGATCTTGACCTCGATACTCAGGATTCGGCTGGAGTCCAAATCAAAGGTAACCTCAACCAGAAGTGATTCTGTAATTGATGGTATACCAGTCAGCTCAAACTGGTAGAGGAAGTTTTTCTGATCATTAGTTCACGAACATACATACATACATACATACAGAGAGATATACTACTCACTCACTTACATACTTTATGATACATACCTATATTGTTTAGTAGTATGGATAAACTCTCATCGTACATTATCAACTATTTGATAAAGATTATAAGACAACAGCAGGATGATGAAGATAGATGTTTGATTGATCTGTTGTGTCTTGGTCTTTCCTGCAAGAGACTATTCGAGATAATGATTGTCGCACTACGTAAAAGCAATCAAACACGTTTGGAATATATGACTGATGGTGATAGTGAGGAGGTGCCAATGGTACATGAAGGCTATCAAACCTGGTTGAAACTCAAATCATCATCAAGGCCTGCTTTCGGGACCAGAGCAGCGCGTTCAGATCGCAAATACATCCAACATTCAACACCGCCAACGAATGCTTCAACACTATATCTCGAGCCAAACCTAAACAATCCCCTCAACAACTATCCACTCCAATCACTGCATTCAATCACCTCAATGGTCTGTGGTCGAATGTTCAATCAGGTCATCACCAAGGACTCACTTCCACCCTCACTCACATCATTAAAGCTTGGAACAAAGTTCAACCAACAGATTGTCCCAGGATCATTGCCTAGCACATTAGTGTCGTTGCAATTCGGCATAAACTTCAATCAACCATTCAAACCTGGTTCTCTACCTGACTCTCTCACAAGTTTAGTGCTGGGAACAAAATTCAATCAACCTCTTACAGACTCGATCTTGCCCTCCTCACTACAATCACTTGTCCTTGGTGTCTACTTTAAACAAACCATCAACACAAACATACTTCCATTGTCTCTGACGTCATTAACTATTGGTACACTCTTCAATCAACCATTAGATCATTCGCTGCCGCCTGGCCTTCGAACATTGAAGCTTGGAAGGGAATTCGCCCAAGTGTTGACACGACTCGACTCCATCGTCACACTTCAGATATCATTCAAAGCCTTCAGGATGATTGATATCAAGAACTATCCTCGCTCACTCAGATCATTATCATTGATTGGCCAAACACTACCATTGCCCGCCCTACCCGACTCTCTCACAAAGTTGAACTTTGTTGAGCTCGCCAACGTGCCCGTTCAACAATTGGTTGGCAATGCAATGTTGAGCTCATCACTGACCTCATTGTCATTGAGAGATAACTTCAATCAGGAGATACCGCCACTGGTATTGCCAATGAACCTCAAGACCCTGGTGATGGGTGACAACTTCAATGAATCCCTACCAACCGATGATCTTGGATCACTTACTTCCATATCGTTTGGAATATTGTACAATCGACCATTGGCTGACATACCTCCGAGTGTGACATCATTGTCACTGTCAAGCTTGTATGATTATCAAGTCATCCCTGGTCATGTCACACATCTACGGTTGACTGCAGCACATGTCATCAAAGAGCGGAAGGGTCAATCAAGCTCAATCCTACTGCCACGTATCAACAATGTATTGGGATCAATCAATTTATGGATTGAGGTTGACTCATATGATTGTCCAAAGCAACCAATTATCAAGTTGTTGTTGTCATTATATCCAAACACAAGGAACATACATGTCCAGCTTGGTACGACATTCATTCAACCGATTGAGATTCTACACATCAGGAGAACAACATCAGGTAGTCCCGTACAACCGGGTCATGCATGGTGCCAAGTTCAACATTTATTCTGTGGAAAAGGAGAGAATGTGTTACTACATCCTATCGTCAATGATGACAGTCCAAGCTCCAACAAAAAGGATTTGACAAAGAGGATAGGATGGACTGATGATCAATCTCAAGATGATGGCAATCAATGGTGGCTGAAAGGATTGGCAATCACTTCACTTGCCTTCATTCTTGGACATTGGATTACCAAAAAATAGGTCGCTTTTGAAATAAAATGATCATTTTGATCCAAGTTTTATCATTCATACAAGTGTTGTACAACTACAAAGAGATACATACCCATCACATAATATTATACATATCATTCAAACTAAAAGATTGGGAATGGATAAACTCTCAACATATGTCATCAAGTATGTGATAAATATTATTAGACAACAACAGGATAATGGCGATTCATGTCTGATTGATCTGTTGTGTCTTGGTCTTTCATGCAAGAGATTATGGGAGATAATGATTGTGGAACTAAGCCAAAGCAATCAAACTGGATTGGTATATATGACTGATGGCGATAGTGATGTGACATCATTGCAACATGAGGGCTTTCAAACCTGGTTGAAACTCAAATCATCATCAAGGCCTGCTTTCTGGACCAGAGCAGCGCGCTCCGATCGCAAATACATCCAACACTCAACACCGCCAACGACTGCCTCAACACTATATATCCGGCCAAGCCTGAACGTTCCCCTCAACGACTATCGGCTCCAATCACTGCATTCAATCACCGCGATGGTCTGTGGTATGAGGTACAATCAGACGATCACCCATGATTCACTTCCACCATCACTCACATCCTTAAGGCTAGGCACAAAGTTCAACCAACAGATTGTCCTGGGATCATTGCCCAGTATATTAATGTCGTTGGAGTTTGGCAGACAGTTCAATCAACCATTCAAACCTGGTTCGCTACCTGATTCCATCACCAGCCTAATGTTTGGCAAGGATTACAATCAACCTCTAACAGGCTCAGTCTTGCCCTCATCCCTGCTATCACTTGTCTTTGGTGACTATTTCAACCAGGTCATCAAAACAGACACTCTCCCATTATCTCTGACGTCATTAACCTTTGGTTCAAGCTTCAATCAACCAATTGACGATGCTCTGCCACCTCGCTTAAGCACATTGAAGCTTGGAGAAAGGTTTGATCAAGAGCTCACACGACACGACTCCATCGTCACACTTCAGATATCAATCCAAGGCTACAGAAGGATTGATACCAAGAGCTATCCTCGCTCACTCAGATCATTATCATTGGTTGGCCTAACACTACCAATGCCCGCCGTACCCGACACAATCACCGAGTTGAATTTCATTGGCATTCTACATGTACCGATTAAACAGATGGTTGGCAAGGCACTGGTTCACTCGTCGGTGACCTCACTTACATTTGGCTATATCTTCAATCAGAAGATACCACCTAAAGTCTTGCCAATCAACCTCAAGACCCTGGTGATTGGTGACAACTTCAATCGACCATTGCCAATGAATGCACTGAGATCACTTACATCCATATCGTTTGGAAGATTGTACGCTCTACCATTGACCGACATGCCTCCGAGTTTGACATCATTGACATTGTTCAAGTTGTATGATTTCCAGGTCATCCCTAATCATGTCAAACATCTACAGTTGACCTCACACTACACCATCAGTGATCTTCAGGGTCCTTCAAAGTCCCCTCTGCCTAGTATCTTCTATGTTTTGGAATCAATCACATTGTTGTACACGGTGAACTATAATGATTGTCCAAAGCTACCAATTATCAAGTCATTGATGTCATTGTGTCCCAACACAAGTAACATACATGCCCATCTGCGTACGCAAATTGTTGAACAATTTGCGACAATACACATCAGGAGAACATCATCAGCAGGATACCACGAACAACCATTAAGACCACGACAACAACCGGATCATGCATGGTGTCAAGTACAACATATACACTGTGAACAAAGAGAGAATGTGTTGTTACACCATGTCGTCAATGGTTACAGTTCAAGTTGGTACGATAACAACAATAAGGATATGACTCTGAGGTTAGGATGTGCAGATGATGATGATCAATCACAAGATGGTGGTGGCAATCAATCGTGGCTGAAAGGATTGACAATATCTACCCTTGACTTCTTCTTTGGACATTTTTTCAAAGACTAGGCTACACCATGGTCATGATGGACAACGGATATTTGTTGATCAAATCGATCAAAAGTTGGAAATTTGAATGAATAAAGCTCATTCATTGGATGACCAAACAATGTTATAAACAAAGAGATAAAGATATATATATATATGATTGATTGATTGATTAGAAGTATGGACAACCTTACAACTTATGTTTTAAACTATTTGATAAAGATTATTAGACAACTACAACAACAGGATGATGGCGATGATGATGAAGATACATGTTTGATTGATCTGTTGTGTCTTGGTCTGACTTGCAAGAGACTATGGGAGATAATGATGGTGGAACTACGTCAAAGAAATAGACCTCGATTAGGTTTTATCACTTATGGAAAGAGTGAGGAGGGACCTTGGATACCTGATGGCTATCATATATGGAAGAAACTCAAATCATCATCATCATCACCAAGACCTGCATACTGGACAAGATCAGCGCGTTCCGATCGCAAATACATCCAACATTCGACACTGCCAACGCATGCCTCAACACTGTATATCGAACCAAACCTGAACAATCCCCTCAACGACTATCACCTTGACACCAATCACTCTATCACCTCACTTGACTGTGGCCTGTCGTTCAATCAGTTGATCACCAATGACTCACTCCCACCATCACTCAAATCCTTAAGGATAGGCACACTCTTCAACCAACAGATTGTCCCGTGTTCGCTACCCAACACATTGAGGACGTTGCAGTTCGGCCTAGACTTCAATCAACCATTGACCCAAGGTTCACTGCCCGACTCCCTCACCTGTTTGGAGTTTGGAAGAGATTACGATCAAACTGTCCCTGCCTCAGTCTTGCCCTCCTCCCTTCAATCACTTGTCTTTGGTTCATGCTTCAACCAAAGTATCGTGGAAGACTCACTTCCATTGTCTCTAACGTCATTAACCTTTGGTCTAAATTTCAATCAACCAATAGACCATGCGCTGCCACCTTGTCTTCGCATATTGAAGCTTGGAAGTATTTTCGATCATGCTCTGGCACGTCTCGACTCCATCGTCAAACTTCAGATATCATTCATAGCCTTTGAGAAGATGGACGGCGTGTACTACCCTCCAACACTCAGATCGTTAACACTCATTGGCCAAACAACACCACTGAGCACAATACCCGACACACTCACCGAAWTTGAACTTTGCTGAACTTGCCGATACACCTATTCAACAAACAGTTGGCAATGCATTGCTGTCCTGCACCTCACTGACCTCATTGTCATTTGACTACCTCTACAATCAGGAGATACCAAAGCAGTTCTTGCCAATGAACCTGAGGAACCTGGTGTTTGGCGACTACTTCAATCAATCGTTACAAAAGATTGATCTTGGATCGCTCACTCATCTCTCACTTGGAAGATTCTACGAACGAACATTGGCAGACATACCTCCGAGTGTAACATCATTGACATTGCACAGAATCCGAGACCATCAAGCTATCCCAGGTCATATCATACATCTACAGTTGACCGGAGAATACTCCATCAACCCTGATCCAGACGAGCAACCACAGGCAATCACACTACCTCGTGTGGACAATGTATTGGAATCAATCACTTTATTCATCAAGGTGAGGTTGCATGATTGTCCAAAGCTACCAGTGATCAAGTTGTTGTTGTCATCATGTCCAAACACAAAGAACATTCACGCCGAGTTGGGTACACCATTCATTTATCAGTTTGAGACTCTACACATCAGGAGGACAACACAACAGCAAGCATGGTGTAAAGTACAACATATATACTGTGGACAAAGAGAGAATGTATTGCTGCACTACTATGACATCAATGATTATCAAAAAGGAAAGTATAACATTAAGAAGAAGAAGAAGACTGGTGGTAATATGAGGATAGGATACACAGATGTTGATTCTCGAGTTGGTGATGGTGGTCAATGGTCTCACAAGATGATGGACTTTATCTTTAGAAAGTCGGACAAGTAAACATCTGGCGCGACCCATCATTGGTATTACTTGTTTGTCTTTGATTGTTTGGGGTGTTGTTATGGAGGATTATCCAACTCGGACTTCCTACGCATAAACAACGGTAATGGCTATTCTCTAGTAAGTATATTGTACAAAAAGTAGCTATTTAACCCTGCCAATGATGATTATCAAAGTTAATCAGTCTCAATGAGAGACACTCATACTGACACTGGCACTGGTACTGTCACTGATGATGGTACTGGCGAGACATGGAAACCATCCCAATTTACAATTGGATACTTGAACAAAATAGAGCACTAGTTAAAATAGGGACAACTTTCGTGACATCTGTCCAGACAATCAACAGAGCGAAACACATCAACCAAGTACCAACAATCAATACACACAATTATACACCTTGGAATCATTCCAAACTATATGAACGAATGAATGAATGAATGAGTATGGATATGGGATTGGAGGAGTTTCCAGGCAACTATCACCTGGCGTATAAAGGGTAAAGATGTTATTCAAATGAATTTAAATTAGAAACCATTCTGGACATTGATTGATGAGATCAATGTGTTGATGTTGTTAATGGCAGCATTGGCTTGGTCAATGTCGAGACCCATGGCACGATCCTCAGTCATTGGTGGGTTGAGTGGCAGCTGGGATGGGGACTCGGTGAACTCGAGGGCAGCGACCAATGGGCTGGTGCCAGCAGAGGTGGTGTACTTGTATCCGTAGGCGGTGATGTTCATCACTTGGGCCACGGTGACGTTGGGTGTGCCGACAAGTATGTCGTTCACACTGGCGGGTTGGTGGCGACAGCCTAGTCTGTTACCACAGGTGGTGTTGCAGAGTGGGCCCTCGTAGATGGCACCCTCCGTCACGTTGATGTTTTGCCAGTCGGCCCAGATCTTGTCAATGAATGAGTGGTGCGACCAGAAGATGGCGTCGTTGGGCGAGGCAGTGCCGGCCATGTCTCCGCCAATGCCGTGATGGAAGTTGTTGTGTGGACCAGCCTCGATGGTGGAACGCAGGGAGTTGTAGTCTGGGCTAGAGTTGAGCATCTTGTGCATGAGGGCTGGGCTGGGCATGGAGGTCATCCAGAATGGGTTGTACTCACGGGTGAGACATTGTCCTGGGGGGTCAGTCTCGTCGATTCCATCGTAAAACGTGAGCCAGTTGGCGCACAGACCGTTGCGGATGCAGTGCTTGGTGGCGGTGCCAGTGGGCGAGCCAAGGTACTTGGAGGTCATGACGGCAGAGGCGTTGATTCCCTTGTAGTCGAGGGTCCAGTCCCAGTAGGGGACAGAGATGGATGAGTTCTTGGACACCTGCTGGAGTGCGAGCTCAAAAGTGCGCACGAACCATCTGTGCCATGGGAGCAGGGGTGAGCAGCCGTGGATGACATCGTAGTTCTCGACGTGGATGCGGACAAAGTCGTCATAACGTGATGCGTTGGGGTTGAATGTAGATGGTGTGGCTCTCAACTTCTTGATAGCGTTTGAGTAGTTGTCCCACTCCTTGGTGGACATCTTGCGCACCTCCTTGCGCTCCACCAGTCCAGACACGCAGCTCACCACACAGATGGCCACCAACAACACTGTCAATAACTTAACACTGAACATATTTGATTGATTGATTGATTGAACGAATGAATGAATATGTCTTGTCCTTGATTGTTTGTCCTATGTCTATGTTCCAGTTGTATTTATAGTCGAGTGGACTATAAGTGTCCTTTCGATAATGGGCATGATCCATGAATGGACTTGTCGGTGCAGGGCTCGCACCTTATATCCCGACCTTCAGACCATTGTCGGTGCTCAGTGATGCAAAGATGTGAAGATATCCAATCAATTAGATGTCTATATATTTGAAATCACGTCAATCACGTCGAATCATTCATTCAATAATTCATTAATTCAGACATCGTTTGAGTTGCCCTTGATCAAGGGCCAAGTATACCTCCTGTACACAGTAGTACTGTTGGGTAGTGGTAGGGCAGGGCAAGGACCTTGGTTGCCCTTTGGATGGATGTGGTGCTGGGGATTCCTGTCTCGACTTGTGTCTTTAGTCTTAGTCTAGTCTTGTGTCCACTCCCCACACACTGTGAGGCATGTGTCTATCTCGTGTTAGTCGAGGTACTTACAGTGGCTATGACCCATTCAATGTCGTTGAGTTTCATACCACACGCGCGCGAAATAATAATTATAATCAATCAATCGTTTCCAAACAAATCAATGATGGTGGACCTCCTCTATCTTACTTCCTCACTTACCTACTTTATAATCTTGTGGACATTTAGACCAATGTGGCAAACATTTAAAATAACTACTTTCATCATTGATCACACGATTCCATTGATCATTGACTGACGCGACCAGACCACACATGAATATGAATGTTCAACTATTCATTCATTCATTTGTTCATTCAATTATTCACATCAATCAAATAATTATTATTTCTTGTTGTTGTTATTGAAGAGGGATATTATTTACTTTGTTGATAATTGATTGATTGATCGATTAGTTGACTGATTGGTAGTTAGATCACTCTGTCAGAGGTGCACCCTACCCTACACTTCCCTGGTATCGGCTGCGCAACACTGTTGTACTCAGTGAGGCCAACCCAACGAACCATGCACCGGTTTCTCTCTTTTGGTCTGGTCAACGCTTGCAGTCCCAAGACACACCTGAAACCCCGCCCAGCCGGCTCAAATGCTCAATTCGTTGGATGAGAGCGGCAGTTTTTTTTTTTYTTGATTTATTTTTAATTTTTGCATCACTTTAATTTGATCTATTTTTAAAAATGATTTTTCATTCATTGGTGTGTGAGGGATTGAATGAATGAGGGCGCCATCATCCATCTTGAGAATTCAAGGCTCCTCACACATATTATTATGTTTCACTCGCTCACTCACTTTCTTCCTTGCTTGCTCGCACATTTCACACTTACAGATAGATAGATAGATAGATTTATATATATATATATTATTTGTGGTTCTCAAGTGATTCTCTGTCCCCATCCAGCCCACTATTATATTATTATTTCAGACGATCGTGACACACACTTCATCAATCAATCAATCAATCAGTCAGTCAGTCAATTATAACATTACATCAACTTATAACATTGCATAACCCCCATCCATCTAATCAATCAAATATATATATAATATAATACATATACATATATATATATTTACAACAACAAACAAACAAACAAACAAACAACAATAACATTATTTGTAGCAGTAGTAGTTTAAAATCACTTTTAAAGAAAGAGAAGAAATATGGACTCAAAATGGTTCTTGATCGTTTTCCTTGCATTCTTGGTAGTGTTGCCAAGCATTGTCAATCCATACCGCAAGAGTGTAACAATAACAAACAAAGAGCCATCACTCGATATCTATCATCTTAAGAGGTATGTTTAGGATGATGATCAACTCAACAACAACGTGATGATAAAATAACTAACAAACGACATTATTATTTTCAATAATATTTAGACAAGGTGCTTCATCGAACAACAACTTAAACATTGCGTCTCTGTTGACTCAATCCTACTCAAATATCCTATCTCATTCATCATCATCGAGCTCAAGCAGTTCATCATCTTCATCATCATCTTCATCATCTTCATCTTCATCATCATCATCATCCTCATCATCCTCATCATCATCATCAAGCAGCAGCAGCAGCAGCTCATCCAGCAGCTCGAGCTCATCCAGCAGCTCGAGCTCTTCAAGCAGCTCTTCATCGTCAAGCAGCTCCTCGTCATCAAGCTCTTCATCGTCAAGCAGCTCATCCTCTAGCTCGTCTTCAAGCAGCTCTTCGTCATCAAGCTCTTCGTCGTCAAGCAGCTCCTCGTCGTCAAGTTCTTCATCGAGCTCTTCAAGCAGCTCCTCGTCATCAAGCAGCTCTTCGTCATCAAGCTCGTCTAGCAGCTCTTCGTCGTCAAGCAGCTCTTCATCGTCAAGCTCATCGTCAAGCAGCTCTTCGTCGTCTTCAAGCAGCTCTTCATCAAGCAGCTCCTCATCGTCAAGCAGCTCTTCCTCTAGCTCGTCGTCAAGCAGCTCTTCATCTAGCTCAAGCTCATCTTCGAGCTCCTCATCGTCCAGCAGCAGCTCWTCATCATCWTCATCWTCATCWTCATCWTCATCATCMTCWTCWTCATCYTCATCYTCATCATCMTCTTCATCAATCTCATCTTCATCA